AGTTCTCATGTCATATCAGGTCAGTTCACGCTGTGCTGAATCATACACATCACTCGTTTTTGATTGCTGAAATGATTTCAGCAAAAACAGTTACATATGGTTAATTAAACTGTGGACACTGAATGCTAAGAATGAAACGTGAAAGTTACGTTTATTAAGGTCAAGTTGGTTTTATATTCACACATTCATTCAGTGACAACCTGTGACACACTCCCTATATTGTTTACCACGGCACTTTGAATATTCGGTCTGAAATAACCTGCAAGTGTGACTTGAAGACAACATTAGCACTGTTTATTTGACTGTGAACAATGATGTACTTTTATAGTCATTGGCTGCTGCTAATATGATTTCGCTATTTAGAGTTTGCAAATAATCCATTTACGAAATTATATTATTAAGTAGAAAGTCTGAATGTGCGAATATAAAACCAACTTTACCTCTATGTGTAGGTTCACATATCCTGCCGTACAGGTGAAGTTCACTGTCAGAATGCAGTTGTTTGCGTTACCCAGGCCTTGTATAACGTTAGCTCCGTCTTGTTTCTTTGTCTTTGGCTAGGCGGAATCTCGGTGTTTAGCTCTTGAATCGAGATATATCCAGCTGCAGGCCCGCAGAACCACACACGTTTGAGGCACACACAATCTAGGACACACAATCTAGGCAAACCATGTATGGTAACTTACTGTTTAGCATTATCGTCATCTATTGAATTTCACAAATATGGTTTCCCATTTCAGTCATTATTATTATTATTATATCGTAACGATCATTATAACATCTCTGCAGTTTTTGAACTTAAATTATGTAAATAAAAATAATTGGTTAAAGAAACTTATGACTTTATTCATGTGTCCATATACACAAAGTAAACATAATAGACCGTCTAATTGTTGGATCAAGTGTAATAAACTAATTCAAGCTCTTAATATTATCATTCTTGGTATAAAAAGCAAACAATAATATGTCACTTTAAAATAAATAAGCCTACTATAGATAACCATTTAAACAATATATATAGTTATAAACTGATTATCTTAACTGATTATAATTATAAAATCATATATTAACTTCTATCTTTTACTAAACTGTCACTGTTAAAGCTGTTATATATATATATGTATGTATATGTTTATAAATGTATATATATGTATGTGTGTGTGTGTGTGTGTGTATACACACTTATGATTTTTTTATTAAAAGTTAATTTGTTCCTATTTGTTTCCTATTACTGTAGTATTAAATTACAGTTTTAAATGTGGGAAATCATTAATTAAAAGGTTATTAGAAAATTAAGCTAATATATTAGTTTATAAACACTATTAAATTGCTTGAGTAAAATATTAATAAAGTGTTATACATTTGTTACATGTAAAAAGATTTTTATTACATATAATGTATTATTGCCTATATTAACTTGCTATTATTTCCTTCATCATAAATTAATCCATTATATAAATTAAACATGTCCAAATGAGATCATTCAGCAAGGCCAGCAAACGAGTATCTGCCATATTATTGTCAGATAATAATGATCAGCTATAATGACTAATTAAAAACTGTTCACTTTATTATATTGAATGGCGATCGGAAACAATGCTCCCCATTCGGCTGTCTCAATCGCAATATTTGTGAAATAAAGTAAATTAAACACTATTGTTTATTGTGTACAATATTTATTAATCATATATATCAAAATATATCGATGACGATGTCCAAAAAGACGTTATTATTATAACATTAACATCCGTCTTAACCATATATGGTTTGCCTAGATTGTGTGTCCTAGATTGTGTGTGCCTAAAACGTGTGTGGTTCTGCGGGCCTGCAGCTGGATATTATTGGCTTGAATCTGGTCATCATGGAGCATTATTACTTGCACATGACCACAAAGAACAAAATTGTTGGCATCTAAAGACTTGTAGACCTTTAACTTCTCTCTTGTAAAATCACTCGGAGCTTCAATGAGATTGTATATTTGGGGCTGGATGCTTGGTCACTTCGTCTTAGCCAATATTCATTGGGAGGGTGCTATCGCTAATAGAGCTGTCAGATGAACGCCGCTAACTTTAACGTTAATTTTGCTGAATCACTGTGCTTGTCACTGGGTGACGAGCTGTTATAATATGTTGTAAGCATTATGTAAATAATATATATAATATGTAAGTAATATATCTTATTTCTAAGACAACAACAAACTCTGCACCGCATCTGATGTCATTCCCTCGCTGTAAATGCTGGCGCTCCCGGTTCCTTTCTGCCTCCTCCCGGCGCACGCATCCTGAATGTTTACAAACATGGTAATTGGTCTCTAGCTTGGCCACCATTGGAAAACCATTACATTTGCAAAACATTTTGAAACAGTGATATAGATTTTACAGTATCACACATATTGCAGCAGAAAATCATTTAATTTCCAAAACTTCAAACCATACAAAAGTTTCGTAAGTGTTTCCTGATGCAGTGCTTCAAAAGCCATCACTAATGTACAGTATGTCATTTAAGACACAACAAAGCACAGCAGTGCATACTGAACTTCTTTTACCCCTGAGTAAAGAATGAGATTGTCGTCATGCGTATATCAGGGTTAAGTGTTTTACAAACGCTGCACATATCCCTTCATTCAATCGCTCGTACACAGAAGAATAACCACGATCCTCTTAAAAGGCCACACAGCACCAAACACTGCTGCTTAGCTGAGATTTCAATGCTAATGCCACTGTGTCATGCTAATCGGTCTGGCATCAAATCTAAAAAGCGTATTTTCTGTTCACGTGAGGAAGAAAACAAGAGCCAGAGAGCAAGGGTTTACAATGAGTGTGCCCTCAACCTCTTGCCCATTTCATATGCCAGCATAAGCTGAGAATGGCAGGACTGTAGCTCTGCACAAGGCCGCTATTCTTCTGCTAAAGGATTAGCATATTCATAGCTACTTTCACTTCCTTTGAGGGGAAATAAACTAATTGAAGCGGGTTATTAGCAATTTCACAGCACAGATCATCTTAGCAGTTCTAATGTCTCAGGTATTTGCAGATTTTAGCTTTGAGAGTTTTGCAGCAGCATGTTTAACTGACTCCTTGCTTCGTGCTGAAGGTCAAATGATTCAGATTCGTGGAAAATGTAAGGCAAGATCTGTGTTCAGAGGTTTGGGGTGTTGTAACGGTTTTGAGGGAAAAAAGTAGTTTATGCTCACTAAGGATACATTTAATTGATCGAAAATACAGTAAAACCTTAATATTGTAAAATAATATCAGTTTTAATTTTAATGTAATATTTTCTAATGTAATAGCTCCCATAATCGCTTGAATATGTTCCTTCACCAATCATTATCATACACATTCTACTTGGAAATAAATGCTTTATATTGGCTTTAAGGTTTCCACAAAGAAATTTGAACATTTTACTTTCCACAAAATATTCTTCATGCTAAAAAATAGTTTTTTGTAACCCCCTAAAATAATTCTTCCAGAGCATTAATAGAAAAGTTCAAATTTAGTGTTTTTTTTTTCAGTTCTTTTCATTTTTTGAGATCTGTGTAACAAATTTACAGAAAGAAAATACATTTAAAAAATGAACAAAAAACGTTTATCATGGCTGATATTTTTTTAAAGTGAAAGCTGAGATGCAAGTTTTTTTTTGGTTTTTTTTTTTAAATGTATTTATTGAGTAGAAAATTCACAAGAAAAAAAGGCATTTTAATAAAATGACTGTCATTTACGGTCATCATAACCCTTTCTAAACATAGTTTTTTTTTTATGGAAGCCCATTTCCTACACTGACTAAAAAATAAAAAAGTGTTGTGACTTTTTTTTTTATCCCAGAATTGAGAGATCAGAATCCTGACTTTAAAACTCAGATTTGCTACTTTATTTCTCAAAATTCTGACTTTATAATTCAGAATTGTAAGTTTATTTCTCAGATGTTTGACTTTTTAACTCAGAATTTTGAATTCTTGGATAAAGTCAAAATTATAAATTTATTACGCAGAATTGCGACTTCACTTCTCAAAATTCTGAATTTCATTCATTTAATTTCTTTTCGGCTTAGTCCCTTTATTAATCTGGGGTCGCCACAGCGGAATGAACCGCCAACTTATCCAGCATATGTTTTACGCAGCGGATGCCCTTCCAGCTGCAACCCAGCACTGGGAAACACCCGTACACTTCCATTCCCACACATACACTATGGACAGTTTGGCTTACCCAATTCACCTACACCACGTCTTTGGACTTGTAGGGGAAACCAGAGCACCCGGAGGAAAACCACGCAAACAAGGTGAAAACTTGCAAACTCCACACAGAAAAGCCAACTGACCAAGCTGAGGCTTGAATCAGCAACCTTCTTGCAGTGAGGCGAGCACGCTACCCACTGCGCCAAATTCTAAATTTATAACTCAGAATTGCAACTTATTTCTCAAAATCCTGACTTTATAACTCAGAATTGTGAGTTTATTTCTCAAAATCATGACTATAACTCAGAATTGTGAGTTTACTTCTCAGATGTTTGACTTTATAACTCGGAATTGCAACTTTATTTCTGAAAATTCTGACTTTATAACTCTGAATTGTGAGTTTATTTCTCAGACTTTTGATTTTATAACTCTGAATTGCAACTTTATTTCTCAAAATCCTGACTTAATAACTCTGAATTGTGAGTTTATTTCTATGTTTGAATTGTGAATACTTGGAATAAAAAGTCAAAATTTGTAATTTATAACTCATAAAATCAGGATGTTGAGAAATAAAGCCGCAATTCTGAGCGATAAGTTCAAAATTTTGACTTTTTTTAATCAAAGAATTCACAATTCTGAGTTATAAAGTCAAACATCTGAGAAACAAACTCACAATTCTGAGTTATAAAGTCAAACATCTGAGAAACAAACTCACAATTCTGAGTTATAAAGTCAGGATTTTGAGAAATAAAGTCGCAGTTCTAACTCAGAATTGCAACATTTTTTCTTAGAATTTTGACTTTATAACTCAGAATTGCGAATTCCGAGTTTCAATACATTTTTTTTAAATTATTATTATTATTCAGAGGCGGGAATGGGCTTCAATAGGTTTTACATTCTTTCAAACAACAACAAAAAACAAGAACGGCAGTATATATATGAGCTGTTTATGACAAGACTTTACAATAATGTTTAATTAATTACCATTATGCTGTAAGGTTCATTTTAACTGACCCTTAGCTAACATTTATATGAGGAATATATTTGTACAGAATTTCTTAATCATTATTCATGTTAGTTCACAATTAAAATATGTATTATCAAGCAGAAATGAACACTAATCGGAAAACATTAAGTGCTATAGATGTAGTTTATTGTTTATGTTAAATGAAAACTTTTTGTAAAATAAGAACTATGAACAACAGTATTTTTAGAAACTAACATTAACCTACATGAATGCTATATAAAGGGCTGTTTATGCCATCATTTTCATCTAAAATTAGAAATCTTAAGTGTTTGCATTCATGTACACAAGCACTTCTAGAATTGCAGGTACATTTTTTTTAATGAGTAATAAGAGAAAAACAAATAATAATGTCATGTAATGAAATCCTGGAAGGTATAGAGGCATATTATTTAATATATTAATTATTTGTCAACTGTTACTGTGATATTTCACTTTTTAAAAACAATAATATAATGAAAATTCAGCTTTAAGACAATCTTTATGCATCTGGTTTGAGGTTAGAATCTTAAGCTAAAGCACAAAATGATGGTGGCTCTGTTACTGTCAACTGTTATAGATGAAAATAACATAAATTAGTAACAGAATGAAATTGTATAAATAACGGATTAAGTTTACTGTACATTATCAATTTTTTTAAAGGAAAAATTATGGAAAAAGCTTAATGTACCCACAATTCTGGAATGTAACACATAATAAATGTTTTGTGGGCCAAAAAAGTGAGTAAACCTTTAAATAACATTATACATTGTCCTGTTATTGTCTCAATTTAACTACAAAAATGTGAATTAGGGAAAATGCTATCTAATGCCAAAATGAATGTTTACTAGTAATTCAATTTCACTGTCTTCATAGTCAGCATCCCTTACCAAAATATCTATTCTGGGGAAACTCCAGTCCTGTAGACTCCTGTATTTTCCGCAGGGAGATCTTGATCTCAAACTCCATCTCCTGCTGTTCTCCTCCATCACAGACATAGCTAGGTTTGCTGAAACCATATGACCATGTAGGAGCCAATGTGTTTGGAGAAACACCGGAGAACTTTCCGTTACACTTAAGTATACCCTTCCTCCTCCTACCGTTATCTGTGCCTATTCTGTCCATGTCTTCACTGGTTCCAGTAAACCCAGACCTGTCTGTATACTCAACCTGAGTGTAGCGCTTCTTTAGGATGCCCTTCTTTGGATGTTTCATGGGCTGGTTGTGGGTAGACGATTCAATGGCTGACAGCAGAAAAGAGTTGCTGTTTGTGGCGAACGCCCTTTCCTTTGGTTTCTTCCTGGGTAATGTGGAGGCACACGGTTTACTCTCTGTGAATCTTGAGAATGCTGTATCTGGGAGTCTGGGACGGTTTAGGTTCAGCCACCAGTGGCTGGCAATGTCTTCAACAGTGGCCCGGTCTTCTACTTTCACTGTGAGCATCCATTCGATCAATGAACAGGCCTCTGTAAGAAGAATCATGGCAAATCTTCACTCGTGGTGTTATTTTGGTGGACAGATACTCAAATAAACTGTTTGATGAATGAAATAGCACTAAAAAGGGGTTAATTGGATTGCAATCATGGGAAGACCACTTTAAGTATTGGATAATGTACATCCAGGTGGTTGTTATCGCAGAATAAAGCCAGATAAGCTGTTGTATAAGACTGAAGGGCTTTATTCTGCGATAACAACCGCCTGGATGTACATTATCCATTACTTAAAGTAGTTCCCCCATGATTACAATCCAATTAACCACTTTCAGTGCTATTTCATTTATCAGTTTGAGTATCTGTCCACCAAAATAACACCATGCTGTTGTATAAGAGTGAAGGGCTGTATTTTGTAAAAAAAAAAATTTGTAGTACCGCCTGAATGTATTTTATCCCACTTTTTCAACCCAGGCTCATTCTGAAAACGTAGTCCCGTGGACGTTTCTGGAGACCGCAAAACACGCTCCGGGAGGTACGTATGGCTGCATTTAATTTTTTTAAGTGAACGATTCGGGGCGGTATGGCGCTGTTCCCTTTCGCGCTGACCGTTTACCTCCGTGTGGAGGGCTTTCTCTCCGCAACCAGTTTGTCCAGTCAGCTCATCGTGTACGTCGGCAGACTTCAGATGCAGAGAGGAGGAGTTGACCACAGCAACCGGGTTCGAGTCCGGGGACGAGCGGTTCCAGAAATCAGGTAAGACAAAAACAGAATCCAAAAAATAAAGTGAGCGAGTTCATAACAGGGTGAGAACGTGGTGAAATCAGACGAGGGCTTTTCTTTTTCTAGACGGCTTTTCTAAATTGTTGCTTGGGTTTAGGGAAGTGAGTGGACAGGCGGGTCAATCGGTAAAATTGGTTGGGTTTAGGTAAGGAGGAGGGTGGGTCAGCCGATTGGCCGGTCGCACAGTCAATCATTCAGTGCCTCTGGTGGGTTCATGCGAGAACAGCGCGGGCGCGAACGGCACTCACGAGAGACATTTGAGATACAAAAAAGCGCACACAGCGGCCTCTTACAAATTCGCGAAAACAAAAACTGCAAAAATACGTACCTCCCGGGACGTATTTCGCCGTCTCCAGAAACGTCCACGGGACTACGTTTTCAGAATGAGCCTGGGTTGCACTTTTTACATGGTTACTTGCCACAGAAGGTAAAACTTGGACATTGTTCTGAGCCATTTACTTTATTAATTATTTAATTAAAGGGAAAACAGACTGAATGGAGCATACACTAACCTACACTTAATTCAGTCACAAGATGATGCCAAACAGTCTAAAACAGTGCTGTGACAGACAAGTATATAAATATGGATATTCATTGATGATCAAGGTGGTTTTACGTAAGTACTCAGATGAGGTTGCATTATTAGATTGAGCAGTTGTTATCTCAGAATAACATACCTTGGAATGGTGCGACTGACCAATCCAAATCAAGTATTCCAGACAGCCATATGATAAGCAACCGCTTAAATGTACATTTTCCCAATTAGTTACTTGTCACAAGACTAAACAATTAGACACAAAACATTGATTTGAGCGGAATAATTTACTAATTCTTTAATTAATCGTAAAGCTGAGAGAAACAATCTAGACTATAAAACTTACATATTACTCAGTGGCAAGATGGCGCCAAACAGTCAACCGCAGTAGTGTGACAGATAAGCATATGATACTTACTTTAGTCATAAATATGATAAGTTACTTTAGTCATTAACAGTCAAGATGATTTGTAGTAGTTGGATGAGCCTGTATTATTAGTTATAGAATAACATGGACAGTCGCGATCAATAAGAAACGAGTATAATATATATACTTATATAGTCCCTAAGGATCAAATGCCCCTTCAAGTATAATAATACCAGTATTTTTGTGGGGGAAATTGGCTCAAATGGCACATAAATCACACAGAATGAAGACATTTTGAAAATGCAGATTATTTCCATTGAGGTTTGGGATTAGTGGTAGGGTTAAGGGTAGGAGGCAGGATATAATATACAATCATTTAATCTATGGGAAGTCCCCAAAAGATAGCTGTGCTAGTGTGTATAAATCTCACCTGATGGGATATTTGGGGTCTTGTATAGTCCATGGCGGATCTGCTCTTTAAGGATGCTGTAATTTGTACCGTCAAATGGCATTGAGCCATAAACCAGAGCATATAACAGCACACCAAGAGACCAGCAGTCCACCTGAGACATGAACAGAGCATTTGAATGCAGAGTTATTTGTTTTGTTTTTACTGTTCAGATGGTTGGATTTAAAGTATTAAATGCCCCTGTGAACAACAAGCTGCATTTGCTCAAAACTTCAATTCTTAAAGTCCCCCTAAAATGCTGTTAAAGTTTAGTAGTTTTGTTTTGAAAGTCTCCTACAATAGATTAACATGTGAGGTCAGAAAAACGCTTGTGATTTCTTGTATGCACTACAGCATCAGCTCTTTTTTCTCAGTGTCTGAAATGGTTGGTTTAAGGATCTGTGAACTCCACCTTTGTCTGTTATGACTTTATCATTTTATATGTACTAAGAATATATGCACTTTTAATCTAAATCACAGCAGTGTTAATTGTTGCTGTCAAATGTAGTCCTTTCAAATTTTTTTCATTTTTTTCAAATTTTGAATAAGCAAAAAAGTAAACCAATCAAAGCAGTGGGCATTACACTTTGAGTACAATCTGCCACACATATTAAAACAATAGCTGGGTTTCCATCACCCTGTGTTAAAGGGCCAGGACACCCCCCACTTTCGGTTCAGGTCCACCTCAGAATTTATTCAAAAGATGCATCAGAGTGGGCGTGGAGCTCCGCGAGCAAAGGGCAGGAGTGGGCGTGGCCAGCAGAGCAGGGGAGAAGGAGGGGAGCGAACAAGTGTTGTCAGTCAGTTTACAAAGTGAGACACGAACCATGAGGAGGCCCATGATTTTATAGTTTACAAAGTTAATATGCAAAGAAATAAACAGTAATTTAATGCCCTGCTACATTTATAATTTCATATACAGATAACAACAATTTATATCATTATAAAGATAATCGTGTTCATATAAACACTAAATGAGGACTTTTCCCTCAATCCCCGGGTCTGAATGCAGACTCAGTGCACAGCTCTCTTGTCCTGTCTATTTCAACCATTAGCCCTGCTGGTAATATGAAGGGGTTAGGCAAACACAGCAGCACGGCGATGTGTCTAAATGTGAACGAACTCTTGATAGAAGACAACGTCCGCCATTCTCCGATTCTCGTACTGCTCTCCCGACATAAATGCTTGCAGCACACATAACTTTGCTGTATCGGCCCTGACAGGATCGCGGGGAAAAACATTTAACAAACCCCTCGAATAATGGAAACAAACACATACGACTCTTTATGAACAGCTAAATACTGTGTGCTGTATCTCACCCAGTCATCAGCTATGAATAATAATGAGAAATCAACGTGTCATCTTTGCACTTGCCGTTTTTGCACTACGTCGGCGATTTTGATCCCGCCCCTAAAATCATTTTAAACCCGAAAGCTGAAATTAGCTGACAAAAGCTCAAAATTACCCAGTTTTACCCAAAATTAAAGCTAACAGGTGCTAACATTGTCTTAACTGTTGCTCAACACGCACAAATCTGTTAAAATCTCAACAACAAAAAAAGTACTCGAGGGTTTTGTGAACCTTTGAAGCAAATTTTGAAGCATCACATGAGAAACAAGTAATGGAAATGCTACATTTCAAATAAAAAATCCCTTAATTAGCTTTTTGTTTTATTTAAGATTTTTAATTTAAGCTTTTTTTGTTAAATTTTTTTACTTAATTGAAGTTTTTATGCTCACTTGACGTGGTTTTTGGTGCAACAATGATAATGTGAATAATGGGAGAGTGAATTGCATTTGCTAAATAAACTCTGATGTAGCGAACATGACTCCATTATGCTTGCCTTGTTTATGGTTGGTTGCTAGGTTACCAATACAATAGTCAGCTCCTCTATCAACTTCATGGAAATGCACCTAATTTGCCTTTGGCGTTTTTTCTTTTTTGCAAACTTTGAAAGATGGGCCTCCAGTAAGGATGAAAACCTGGCCAATGTGATGTGGAGGGTCAGAACAGAAACGGAAAGAAACAGAAGAACTGAGGGTGAGTACATTAAGGATGCACAATATTTATTTGGTAAATTATTGGGTAACATGAGTAAAAATGAATAATAAAATCTGATAACAATAGCTGATAAAGTGTGCTTGCTGGTAGATTAAAAAAGAAAAAAGAAAATTAATGATTTAATAAAAGTTCAATCTGAATACATGACTAAGGAACTAAATTTGTCTAAGGGATTTATCAACCAACATGAAACAAACAAAATTACAAACAAAATAACAGTACTACTAGTAGACTAATGTAGGGGATAGAGAAAGAGTGTATAGGGGTGCTTTCAATACAGCGTACAGTTGAAGTCAGAACTATTATTTCCAATAATATTTTTTCTTCTGATGAAAGACTTTTTTTGTTTTATTTCGATGAAATTTCAATTTTTTTTAAACCATTTTGAGGTCAATATTATTAACCCCCTCAAGGGATATTGTTTTTTTAATTGTCTACAGAACAAACCACTGTTATACAATGACTTGCCTAATTACCTTAACTGATTAACCAAGTTAAGCCGTTAAATTGCACATTAAGCTGAATAGTAGTATTTAAAAAAATATCTAGTCAAATAATGTTCTGTCATCATGGCAAATATAAAAGAAATCAGTTATTAGAAATTAGTCATTTAAACTACTGTGTTTAGAAATGTGTTGGAAAAAAAAATCTTCTTTTCTTAAAACACAAATTGGGAGTAAATATACAGGGGGCGAATAATTTAGGAGGACTAGTAATTCTGATTTCAACGAACACACATTTGTATCTAAAGAGTAATCAGACAAACAGGTGTGGTGGATTGTCACCTCAGGGCCGTGGTATGGCAGTCCATTGATGATCTCTGGTGATGCGTACAGTGGACTCCCACAGAAAGTGTCCAGACACCGGCCTCTCATGTAGCGGTTGGACAAGCCGAAATCAGCTAACTGTAACAAACACAGCGTGCTCAGATAAATCAGCTCTGCATTTTAAAATGGGTCACCTACTTCTATTTATTTCATGGAATCTATTTCCGATTCACAGAGGATGTGCAAAAATAGCAGAATTTCATATAAAAGGAGGTTAATTTCAAAGTACAATTACAAAGTACAGCTGCTGAGATGAACATATTTGCAGCACACTTGAGTGAAATCATTTCTTTTAAGATCTTTAAAAATACTTCTTGGATGTAAAAGTCTATGCTGAATTGCTTCCAACTAATGTGTGATAATGTAAATTGTGCTCAAATATGAATAAAACACATCTGTCATTCAGAATCGGCAATCTAGTGGGAGAAAATAAAATCCATGGACCTAAAGTACATTGTGTGGGTCTAAATAATATGTTGATATTTTCCTTTAGAGCAATAATGATTAGATTATTAAGTTAAGATTAAGTTCCATGAAGATATTTTGTAAATTTCTTAGTGTAAATATATCGAAACTTTTTTTTGATCCCTCAGATTGCAGATATTAAATTATTTGTATCTCTTTTAAAATAGTGTCTTTTAACAAGTTATACATCTACATATTTTTTTTTTTTGGCTCAAGATGATTTAGTTTTAAAAATTGTGTGGGTGTTTCCCACTGAAAGTTTTACACAATGCTGGGTTATGACAAACACTGTAAAACATTAGCGGGGGTTAGGGCTGGGTTATTCAATCCAGTTGGTTTTCGTGCACAAAACCTTTTCTAGTAATCCTCAAGCACGTGCTTTTAGATGGAGCAGAGTTTACTACACAGAGTTGTATTACATGTATAAGCTATGCAAAAAGTATCATTCAAAATTCGAATTTAATTTAATCAAGTGGTAAATGACATCAGGATAATAGTTCTGTGATAATAACAGCTTCATCTTCTCGATGAACTATATCTATAGTAAAAGCTGCACATGAAATTCCGACATATAATAATCGATTTTTACTTTAAACTCACTTCAAAAATGCAGTTGAACATTTGAACTGAATAAATCATATTTGTAAATTCATTCATTAATTCATTTATTCATTTGTTAATTTTCTTTTTGGCTTATTCTCTTTATTAATACGCCACAGTGGAATGAACCGCCAACTTATCCAGCACGTTTTTACACAGCGGATGTCCTTCCAGCCGCAACCTCTCTCTGGGTAAATAATTGTTAATAATTTAAAATAAATCGATTTAAACTTCATTTATCGCCAAGCCCGATGGATTAATTTGCGGTTCAATGTGCTGTGGCAACCCCTAATAAAAAGCAGAGACTAAGCCAAAGGAAAAAAGAGTGAGATTTAGTTTCACCCAGATGTCATTTTTTTTGTCATGGAAATTTTCTATCTTTCTCAAAAGAATCAAACCAGATCAAAATAGTTAGAGGGAAAAAAATCCTGCACAGTTCCACCTAGATATGTTATTTCTGAACCGTTTGGTCAAAAATCACAATTCTCAATTCATTATAAATCTGTTATGAATTAAAATTTTCTCTGAAAATCTACTTCAATTCAAATCTCCGTCTAATTCCACCAAGCATTTTGGGTAGAATTTCATTTAAGGTAGCATCATCTTTAGACCATGCTTTACAAAACATATGATTTTGCATCAATATATATATATATATATATATATATATATATATATATATGTTGATGGCATGATGCCAAACATCTCAAAATTACCCATACAAACGTTACATGATCAGTTTCAATCATATTACTAGTGGCTTTATTTACCATTTTGACTAACTTTCTTAAAATATCTTTAATTGTTCATTTTTGCTATAGATGTGAGTTTCCATGTCATACTTACATCCAACACTTTTTTTATTTAGTGGCTAATATGTGTTCATTTCTACATTTTAATATAATTTACTCATTCTATAATGACGGTTGAGTTTAAAGGTGGGGTTTGTGGACATTCTACCTTTAAAAATATAACAACCTTCCTTTAAAAAATAAACCTTTTTGTAAAAATGAAATCATACAAATTCATAAAAATCAGCCACTTCTTTGCAAATACACAGAATAGTTGCATTTCATCATGAGATCAGGCTGTTACAATTTCATTCTATCTCTATTTTTCTTGGCCCCTTAATTGCCGCTTGCAGCAATATTTGTTGTAATAATCTGTTTAGAGTATATATATATATATATATATATATATATATATATATGTAGTTTGATCCCCTGCACCTAATACCTAAATGCAAAACAACTGGTCTCTATAAATTTATGCTAATGAACAAATTAATTTCTTAGTCAGTTTGCATTAGGACCATTTACCTTCACAGTTAAGTCTTTGTCCAGAAGTATATTCTCCAGTTTGAGGTCTCGATGAACCACACCATTCTGAAGAACAACAAGAGGTTTTATATTATACAAAAAAACTAAATGTAAACCCAAACTATATAATAAATACATTTATGTATACATGCAGGCGACGCAGTGGCGCAGTAGGTAGTGCTGTTGCCTCACAGCAAGAAGGTCAGTGGGTCGCTGGTTAGAGCTTCTGCGTTTCTGTGTGGAGTTTGCATGTTCTCCCTGCGTTCTCGTGCGTTTCCTCTGGGTGTTTCCTTTGGACTGTACCGCAGTTCAAAGACATGCGGTACAGGTGAATTGGGTAGTCTAAATTGTCCGTAGTGTATGAGTGTGTGTGTGTGTGTGTGTGTGTGTGTGGATGGATGTTTCCCAGAGATGGGTTGCGGCTGGAAGGGCATTTGCTGCGTAAAAACGTGCGTAAAAACGTGCTGGATAAGTTGGCTGTTTATTCCGCTGTGGCGACCCCGGATTAATAAAGCCAACAAGAAAATGAATGAATGAATGAATGAATGAATGAATGTATGTATACGTGCTGAATTATTATATTTGGATGCGATTGATCAAAATCGAATTGCAATCGGGATTTGAAATGTTGCGATTAGCTTATGAAAGATATTTGTATTTAATTTTTCCCATTCAGAACAAAAGCGTGACTGCCGTCTGTGTGTAACAGTCTTACTAGCCAACTGATTGAAGACACATTCGTTCTGCCCAATCAGAATTGTACAACTGGACTAAGTGGAAAACAATAAAAAACAAACAAGCATGAAAGTCCGAACGAGTGCGGGATGATGAAATTTGCTGCTTCAGAAGCATTAACAGACAAATAAATATCAGTGAAAAACAGCACTTTGGTAATATGGTAATATTGTGACTTCAAAGTCACAGACACCAAACAAAAAAAACAGGTTATTTGTAAGAGCTGTCACAGAATTGTTGCCACATCACAAGGAAATACAACAACCAGCACCTAAGTGAAGTTTATTTATAAACTAATTCCGAAAGGATCACGTGCTTATGATTGCTAGCGGCTAGATCCGCATTATCCAATTCACAATGCTCCAATCAGACGACTCCTAAACTGTTACAAATACCCTGGGTTATATTCCACTGCTATCTTCGTTTTGAAGAAACCCCCCTTCCACCCCTACTCCTCCTCCTCCTTCCTATGGGTGACACGGTGGCCCAGTGCTTAGCACTGTTGCCTCACAGCAAGAGCGTTTCTGGTTCCAGGCTTTACCAAACCAGCAGACGTTTCGGTGCGGAGTTTGCACTTTATCCCTGTGCTCACATGGGTTTCCCCCGGGTTCCCTAGGTTCCTCCCACCGTCCAAAAACTAACAAAACTAACAAAAACAAATTAAGTCAATTGACTAATCTAAATCAGCACCATAGACATGCTTCTAGTATGTAGTTGTCTCCCAAGATCACTTACTGTTCATTGGTTACTACAGCAGGGGAGTTCTCGAGATCCTGAGCTCAAACTCCCCTCCCACCTTGCAACAGGAGGGAGCCCTGGGCTCAAGGATCTTATGAGCTCACGCCTCTCTCCCAGGACAGCATAACAAACAAGCTTCATAATCAATCATCAGCTAAGTGTGAACTCTTGAAATGCACCACAGGTGGCTGAATGAGAAGTTTTGCCAATGATACTCAATCTAGTAAATGTTGGATTAAGGTAATATGTTTTCACTTTTTTTAACTACACTTACTGCAGTAAGAAGCTATGATACAGACTATTAAGCTGAAACTTGACTTTAAATTTAAATCACAACTGCAACGTCTGTCCGAAAAATCGCCATTAGATATTTTCCCTAAATCGCACAGCCCAATTTGAAGAGCAAAATCCGGATCACATCGAAAAGATGTTACTACACTATGAGAATACTACTCCAATAATTATTGTAATTTACAACCACCATTATAATTATTGTTTTTGGAGTGCCCTAATTTTTGTTGTTTTTAATATGGCTCATATTGTCAAACATTTATCACGGAAAGTTCTTATAATGCTTTCTAGGTGATGCATGCAATAAGAAACAGCCAACCCAAGCTCATTCTGGAAACGTAGCGTGATTTACGTGGCCGGAGGTACGTGCGGCCGCGTTTAGTTTTTTTCGAGCGAACGCTACGGGGCGGTGTGGCGCCGCTCCACTCCTCCTCTCCGCGCTCGCCGGCCGACGGCTCGCCTCCGAGTGGAGGGCTTTCCCGATGCAACCAGTTTGTCCGCTTAGCTCACAGCGTTGCGTCGGCGGAGCGGAGGCCCCGGAGGAGGAGGAGGAGCTGGCCGCGGGGACGACAACCGGGATCGAGTCTGGGGAATAGCGGTTCTAGAAATCAGGTAAGATGAAAAACAGAATCCGAAAAATAAGGGCGAGAACGCGGCGGGATCCGAAAACGTGGTCGAAATCGAAGACGAGGGCTTTTTTTTTCTTTTTTTCTGGACGGCTTTTGCAAACCGTCGCTCGGGTTTAGGGAAGGAGGAGGAGGAAGAAAAGGAGGGCGGCCGGGTCTGAGCAGCCTCTCGCGGATCCACAAAAAACAAAAAACGCACGAATACGTACCTCCAGGGACGTAACTCGCGGTCTGCAGAAATGTCCGCAGGGCTACGTTTCCACAATGAGCCCGGGTTGGAAACAGCAACTATTTTATTTTAATAAAAATGTAGAAGTAAAACATTCTGATAATCATTTAGGTGTCAAACTAAATAAAAAAATACAATATCTATATTTAAAAAAAATTATATAGCATATTAAACAATTATATATTCGCATTTAGGTACATTCAGCTGGTAAAATGTTGATAAAACTAAATAACATTAGTAATACATTTCATAGCATTTTGAGATGAATTATCACTTACCTGATGGCAGTAATGCACAGCAGAGGTGATCTGTCTGAAGAAGTGTCTGGCCTCATCCTCCGAAAGTCTCTGTTTGTCCTGAATGTATTCATACAGCTCCCCTCCACTCGCATACTCCATCACCATCACTATCCTCTCTCTGCTCTCAAACACTGAACACACAATGCTTCATTCATATTTTGCTTTATTAACCTCAGCATTGGCATTATTACACATTCACGCAGTGGGATTGTTCATGTGATTTACCCTCATACAGTCGGATGATATTTGGGTGCACCAGAGAAGAGGTGATTTCAATTTCTCTCTGGATGTGAGCTCTGTCCAGATCATTCCTCAGTCTCTCTTTTCTAATGGATTTAATAGCCACCTGAAACACACAAGGTAAACAAACACGTTATTAAATCATACTGGTCAATGATGTGATGCTCTTTACTTTATTCAAACACTACATTAAATCTGTTTTGTAAATTAAAACCTAAGCTAATGTATAATATTGTTGGAAAGTTTAAAAAATGAGGTTTGCTGTTTGTTTAAATTACTTATTTAAAATGAGCTCAAACACAATTCTCAATTTTTTTTGGAGACAACTAAATTGTTTTATGTTTAATCCACTTAACTTAATTCCTTCATGTTGTCCCAACACAAATTGATTGTGCAGAAGCCAGAATTTTTTACTGTGTAAGACTTCTGAACACAGATTTTACCACTTTTTTTTGTCAATTAAGAAGAGTAAAGGAATAAAATGCATTTACTGTCATCCTACAACCTGTGGGACTATTTATGGTTACATTTTAAAGGGGTGGTCCAGAATGTAATTTTAAGGCTTGGTTGTGTTTATAAGATGCAAAGCAATGTGTGCTCATGTTTCACTTGAAGGAAATCGCGTTATTTTTTCATATATCTCACTTTGATTATATACAGCTAATCAGCTAACATGAAAACGACTGATATATTTCCTAGTTCTTCTGAAAGCCCCGGCCTAAAGTGACTCTGATTGGTCATCGTCATAATGTGCTGCGATTCGCGGATGGGCTCCACGCCACGCCCGTACAAGCACCTGCCTCCTGCCTGCTCTCTAAAATAAAATCTGACCAGTGTCTGTAACGAGTGAAAATGGGGTGCGGCTCCTTTAAGAGAGATCATCTTTGCGTGTGTCTATGTGTGTGTTTGAATGTGTGAACTTTCTTTAGATGTGTGTAACAAGCGCATGTGCGCGGGACTTTCTTTTTCTTTTTCATTGATGATCGGATTAAGTTATTTTCTGTAATAAATCGTGAAACTGCTGAAAGAAGAATAAAGCACAAGATGTGGAATGAGACCTGTGTGAGCCTTGATTTATTTTTCTGCTGCAAAACGAGTTAGGCGAGCTTTGCTGGATTTTTTTAAACTCAACGCTTTGCACGGTGTCCTCCAGTATAAAAAAAATTCAGTTCCTATTCCTCAAAACATTGGGGGCACCATTGGTCACCAATGGAACTTTGATGTTATCTGGTAAACAAACAAAATCTTACTGAAAGCAAACTTTTTGAGATATCAACTTCAAATTTGGAAAATAATTTGTTCAGATATTTAGCTGGATTTCCTGTAGATTTTAGTTTTTCTTCAATACATGTCTATGGAGTAGCACTGCATTCATCTTTTTTATTTTATAAATGCTCTTAAATTGCTCCTAGATCACACTATTGTGTCTTTCTTTTCTTTTTCAGTCTTTTATAATACGTTTTAACACATTTAATCTGTTTTTAATAATTTTTATTATTTGTTTTTATTTTCTTATACTTGTCTTTTTTATTCTTGTTTATGTAAAGCACTTTGAATTGCCACTGTGTATGAAACGTGCTATATAAATAAACTTGCCTTGCATTAAAATAAAGTAACAGCTTTCTGATTCCCTCTGGGAAATAAACGAGCACCTGGAGGATTCCCTTGGGCGATTCCACTAGGATTTTTGTACTGTGCTGGTGTAACAGAGCCCAGCTATTGTGTGCTGTGCAGGTAAACCTCACTCCTCTGACCTCTAAAGGTCCTTGTTAGAGCAACCAACTCCCATGCGGAAGGTCACCAGTTCGATCCCAGCTCGGAGTGGGTTGGGCGGTGTAGGACTGGTGAGGTTACATTGGTGCCGTGACCCGGATGGGAGTAAGGTTTAGGGGGTGAGTGTAACAGAGGCCAGCTAGTGTGTGCTGTGCAGGTAAACCTCACTCCTCTGACCTCTAAAGGTGCTCTGGCGACTGACACTAGAGGCCATGGTCTTTAGCCTCCTTGTTAGAGCAACCGACTCCCATGCGGAAGGTCACCGGTTCGATCCCAGCTCGGAGTGGGTTGGGCAGTGTAGGACTGGTGAGGTTACACTGGCACCCAGCATACATTGCAGCATGAATGAATTAAGCACCATGGTTGAAGTTCATATCCTAAGTCTTGATGTCTGTGTGACTTTATAGTAGTTTTGTGGAAACTAATTAGATTTATCATTAATTTCTTGATAAGTGTTTGTTGAACCTCCATGGGAAGCTGTATCATATCCCAAACAATATCAAATGAAACTATTTGCAATGGCTTAATTTATAAAATACTAGAGATTATATCTGTAATGATTAAGTGCACACTGTAGAGTTTCTCATTGCCTTTCTTGCTAAAACTGATGAGTTTCAGATACACAGTTATAACAGCCATTGAAACATTAAGATAGAAGAGTAAAGGTTCAGGAGCTCAACTAAAGCAGCCTCTGATCTCCATGATGGTGAGGTCAAATGAAACATTTTCAATAAAAATTTAAACCTCTGTTAACTATCAAATATTCTTGCAGATATGAGAGAATTGAAGTCAAACTGTAATCAGTGAAGCTGCCAATGCTGTTATTTAATGGAGTTGTTTAATCCTCTGTTTTAATTCAGTTGGTTTGGCGAGTGGCTGTGTCTGTAGTTTTATTTCCTGTACTTTCCTTCAGTGATTGTGCTTGTTAACAGCAGGTGTTCATCATTCAGTCATTTGTGGTCATTCACTCTGTCTAGTGGACTAAACTAATTGATTAATTGATTGAACTAATTGATTTAGGGACTAGTGAATGAGGGTGTGTGGTGAGATTTCAGACACTGATTAGATTTTTAAAAACGCAGGTTTGATCTGTTACAGCTATTTTCCGTTTTTTTTTTTTTTACAGAAATGAGCTGTTAATCATTTCCCAGGTTTTTACTGTAGATTGTACAGACTTTTACTGTTAAAATCACAGACATTTTTTACAGTGTATGTTTGTGTGTTCTTGTTACTCTGTGGGGGCAGAGTAACAAGTAACAGTAACAGTAACAGTGAGTAACAGTGAGTAACAGTAAAATTTTGCATAGGGCACTCTTTTGGCCAGCACACATACACACGGACACGCATACGCACACACACATCAGTTCTGAGTCTTGTTTAACTGTTTGTAAACATGCCGATGTGTTTTCTTGCCTTGTTTTGCCGTGCCGTGTTAGACCCTTGCTTTGTTGTTTTGTTTATGTACGTTGTCTGCTGCATGCCTTGACCATGACTCTAGATTTGCCTGAATACATTTGTTTGCCCCTGTGTGACCGTTTCTTGCTTGCATTCAATATTGAACAAACCTGCATTTGGAAACTTCCTTGTCACTATAAACAATAAATTATCCTACATGAAACAACTCATTGAAACTCATGATTGTATGTAAAGGTCATTTATTTTTTATTATAAAAACTAAAATCTTTCCCAGAGATGGGTTGCGGCTGGAAGGGCATCTGCTGTGTAAAAATGTGGTAGATAAATTGGCGGTTCATTCCACCGTGGTGATGCCAGATTAAGGGACTAAGCCGAAGAGAAAATGAATGAATGAATGAAAAATAAAATCTGTACTATTATTTTATTATGATAACAATTATTATTATTATCAGTAGTAGTATGTTAAAGCCAACATTAGTAGCTAGAAAAAGAGTCCCTCGAATTGTTCTTTTTTAATTTCACCACAAAGGTATTGTGTAGTTTCTGGCACATGTTGAAGTCTGTAAGTGTTTTATAGCATGCAGTGAGTTTTAGGACCAGCGAACACAAAGCTCCATTGTAAGCCATTACATTTTTACAATTCCAAAATTCCTTGAAATTCATTAACTGAAGTCATGCTGTAGCTAAATAGGTAAACCATGTCATTTCCAATGGAATTTGCTCATGCTTATATAGAAACGCGTGTATAAATGTAAAGTATAAATGTATGACATATGTCACTGAAACCTCATGTCTGTGTCTGTATGGCGGCTCTGGCAATGCCATCTGGGAAGCTGCCAGGCAACTCTGACCCCAGTCTGAAGGCATAAAGAGACGCTTCGCTCCTCTGACACATGCACACACCGCCTGGCTCCTGCTGAATGCCATCAGTGTTTGTCTGCAGGAATCCCAACAATGCTTCGGCTCTCCTGGATTCCAGAATTCTTCACCTCTGAGTCCAGATGAGTGACAGAGTGAGAGAGGGGCTCAGCCGCTGCTCTAATCTGATTGGACAGCGAGATTGCTTCATTTTTTCCATTAATCCGATATGTTTTCAGGCTGTGAAAGAGTGCGGACGGCAGGCTGTGGGGGTATATCTCTTGTTAACTGACAGACTGAGCGATGAATGAGTGGTTAAGTATTTAATTAAGTGTGCTTACATACTGTAGACATGTGCGTACAAAACACAAAGCACCTACTGGAGGACCTCAAGATTTATTAACTGAGTAGACCAGCAAGGTAAAGACGTGCTGAATGACTGACACACTGTCAGACCTGAGGGAGGGATGGTGGATAGTCTTATCAGCATGGGGAAATTAAGCATTTAAACATTTCTAAGTTACAGTAATCAAAACTGAAATTAAGCCATTGGCTCTATTTAGTGATACTTACTTCAGGTCATTTTAATATTGTCTGTTCTTCCCACTCCACCGATCGTGCAAACTAACTAACGTTTGTTTTAAGAGTTCACACTTAGCTGATGAATCATTATGAAGCTTGTTTGGCATGCTGTCCCGGGAGAGAGCCCTGAGCTCTTAAGATCCTCGAGCCCGGGGCTCCCTCCTGTTTGCAGGGCGAGAGGGGAGATTGAGCTCAGGTAGATCTCGAGAACTCCCCTGCTGTAGTAGCTAATGAACAGATAGTGATTGTTCTTAAGAGATAACTACGTACTAGAAGCATGTCTATGGTGCTGATTTGAATTAGTCAATTAACTTAAGTTGCATGTTTTTGGATGGTGGGAGGAAACCGGGGAACCCGTGGGAAACTCTGCAGAGAAACGTGGGCTGGCTTGGTAAGGACTAGAACCAGTGACGTTCTTGCTGTGAGGCAATAGTGCTAACCACTGGGCCACTGTGCCACCCATCTAGGAAAAAAGGAGGAGTGGGGGTGGAAGAGGGGATTCTTTAAAACGAAGATGGCTGCTATATGGAACTTAGGGTATTTAAAGTGGCTTAGGATTTGTCTGATTGGTGAATCATAAATTGAATAAAGCACGTGATCCTCTCGAAATTAATTTATAAATAAACTTCACATTGCTGTTATAGCATAATCATTTCAATCTATTATTTTATAATAATTTTCTATTATTAAACTGTTAAACATTATATAGTCAATTAGTCCTGACAGCATATGTTTAGGTCATTGTAACTTATTAAACTAAGTTTACCTTGTTCTAACTTAATTTTATAAGTTACTCAAGCTGTTTTATTAGTTTAACATAATATCAGTTCAATTGACTCACAGGGTTTATTTAATTCGGCCAAAAAAATTTAGGCAATCAGGATTTTTTACAGTGTAGAATTATGATATGATGCTGTATTATTAACATATTATATTCATTTATAAAGTGTATCAACAATAACGTGGATATGTTTTCCTATATCAGCAGCATCTCTCAGACACACCTGAACTTGTTTCATTATGACTTCTGACATTTCATTATGTATTCAACGGTGAGACAAATTATAAGGTGCAATTTCATCGTGATCTAATTCAGAATTGAACACCAGAACTAATTAAAGCAAAATCCTGTGGTTTTAAAACTAATCAGATTTGAAACATTAAATATGATGCAATATGTATCTGAAAGTGTCAATGCATATAGCAAAATCATTCCTGCAATGATATTTAAGGTCATTCATATATTATAGCATTTTTCCCTATCTTTTGTAGTTTCGAGTTTAAACAAATCTGAAACAAAATCAATATATTGTTACTCCCTCTGGGTCCCCAGTATGGAAATCCCTGCATATTTCTTTTACATTTTTTATTTGAATCATGTTTTTATTTTACAACATTGGAATCACGTTTGTCAATTACCAATAACTCTTTATTTATTTATTTATATATATATATATATATATATATATATATATATATATATATATATTATGTAAAACCATACTAAGGTAAAATATTGTACATTGATTTAGTGTAAATATACTGCATTTCACACTGTTTTAGTGTTATCATTACAGTTAAACCCATAACATAATTTAGTTTAACTAAAATAAAATTATTCGTTGTTTCAATAATTAATTTTACTTTCTAAAACGCCGTTTATTGCTTAGAATATCAACAATAGTCATACAGATTTTTCTTATCAATGTTTGATAATGGTAAACAGCAAAAACCGCATAACATAAAAACAAAAACAAAACAATATATTTTTAGAAAAGCATATATAATCTATTTGGCTCACCGTCTTTCCATACTGTCTCTCCACCGCGCGCTTGACCTTTCCGTAGGTGCCCCTGCCCAGCGTCTCCAGCACTTCAAACCGACGCTTGAGGCTGTGTTTGTGGAGATGTTTCTTCACCCGTGATGAGGTCTGGTCCTCCGCTGTGTGTGCTTGAGCGCTGAACTGCTGGAGCTCCATTGAGAGGAGAGGTGAAGCTCACCTGTCAGCAGACAGTCGGGTTTTAATCGCTGTGTCGGGTAAGACAGATTTCCTTATATTTCCTTAGACAAACTGGTGGGAAAGAATGTCTCAAGCATCTGGTTATTATGCTGAGGACCGGCATCACTGATGGGATTTACCACATGGTGACGTGAGTATAAGGGGCGGAGCCATGCTGTCAAGCGGTGGCACGCATCAGTGCCAGCCAGACTGTAATAAACGAGACTACTGACCTCAATCCTTCCCAAAAACAATATCAGTGTAACTGCAGCTTCAATATACATTATTTGTTATTCAGAGAGAACATATATTTTTGCATGAAAAATAAGTAAATTAAGCCAGCTAATATAACTATTAGATTTTTTTTATTTAAAGCAAATAAGAACAAACAGACAAAGGTAAATTATTGTGAACTTAACACCTTAAATTTAATCCTTTAACACAGTCAGGGTTATATTAAATAACATTCTTCTCAGCTTTGTCTTTGTCCCTTTATTAATCAGGGGTTGCCACAGCGGAATGATCCACCACCTTTTCCAGTTTTATGCAGCAGGTGCCTTTCCAGCTGCAACCCATCTCTTGGAAACATCCATACACTCCCATTCACACACATACACTATGGACAATTTTAGCTAATTAGCCTAAAGCGGGTGTCTTAGGACTGTGGGGAAACTGAAGCACCCGGAGGAAACCCACACAAACACAAGGAGAACATGAAAACTCCACACAGAAATGCCAACTGAGGCAGCTGAGGCTTGAACCAGCGACCTTCTTGCTGTGGGGCGACATCGCAATACACTCTGCCACCGCACCACTATGACCAATTTAGTTTATTCAGTTCACCTATAACACATAAACCGGAGCTTCTGAAAGAAACCCCCAAGAACATAAGGGAGAACATGCAAACTCCACACAGAAATGCCAAGTGGCCCAGCCGGCACTCGAACCAGCAACCTTCTTGCTGTGAGCTATCAGTGCTAACCACTGAGCCACCATGCCATCCTAATTTAACATATTTCAAGCAAAAGTGTAACATTGACTGTTGACATATTTTTACCCTTTAAATAAACCCTAGAGATGGTTGTGCGTGAAAATTCCAGTAGATCAGCAGTTTCTGAAATACTCAGACCAGCCCGTCTGACACCAACAGCCACGTTCAAAGTCACTTAAATCTCTTTCTTCACCATTCTGACGCTCGATTTGAACTGCAAAAGATCGTCTAAACCAGGGGTGGGCAAACTGGGTACTGGAGGGCCGGTGTCTTGAATAGTTTAACTCAGGGGTCACCAACATGGTGGCCACGGGCACCAGGTAGCCCGCGAGGATCACATGAGTTGCCTGTGGGCCTGTTATAAAATTAACTTACCATAGCACCACACACCAGTAAGCTGCATCTAATATTTTTGAAGCAATTTTTTTTAAATCACACTTGCATTGGTTGATGTTTATCTGTTTCCAATCATTGTTGACAACTATTGTGAGAAATCATTAACATGATCAGTGTCTTCACATAGATGAATATCATTAATTATTAATAACTTATAATTAAAAGTAAATTGAGCAAATTTGTTATTAGGAAGTGTGTATCAAACTGGTAGCCCTTCACATTAAACTATAGCCAAGAAGTAGCTCTCAGTTTCCAGAAGGATGGTGACCCCTGGTTTAACTGCAACACTAATCAAACACACCTGAACATGCTAACCAGTGCCTTCAAGATCTCTAGAAATTTGTAAGCAGGTGTGTGTTGGAGAGTTGAAGCTAAACTGTGCAGGACACCGGCCCTTCAGGTGTTTGCTCACCATTGGTCTAGAACAGGGGTGGGCAAACTCGGTCCTGGAGGGCCGGTGTCCTGCATAGTTTAGCTGCAACACTAATCAAACACACCTGCACAAGCAAATCAGTGTCTTCAAGATCACTAGAAACCTATAAGCAGGTGTGTTTGATTAGAGTTGGAGTTAAACTGTGTAGGACAATGGTTCTCAAAGTGGGGGTCGGGACCCCCCGAGGGGTCGCGGGGCAATGAAAGGGGGTCGCCTGGTGATTTCCAAAAATCGATTTATTTTTATTAAACCATAAGAATTAACATTTTATTCATAACTATACTGAAAATAAGAATAGTCGTTTATAGTTACTATATACTATATAGTTACTATAGTAGCTTATAGTTACTAGTTCTATTGGATTGCGACCCCTGGGGTAATTACATTATATTAAAGGCAGCAATAGCGTCAGATGCATTTTGATTTTATAACATCAGGTTATACTTTCTGGCACATTTAAAGCACTGACACAAATTTAATTGGTGTGTCTGCATCATTGCATGCAAGGTTTCTGTATTTATAACCACCTCAGAGGATATTGGGGGTCGCGAGTCACTGGCATTGTTATTTTGGGGGTCGCGGGCTGAAAAGTTTGGGAACCCCTGGTGTAGGACACCGGCCCTCCAGGGCCGAGTTTGCCCATCACTGGTCTAGACCATGTCCACAAGTCTAAATGCATTGAGTTGCTGCAATATTGACCGATTAGAAATTTGCATTAATGAGCAGTTGGACAGGTGTGCCTAAATGTACTGAAAAAAACAAAACAAAACAAAGTAGTAAAGTCAACCGAAGTGTTTCTCACTGCATATCTTCATTTAGAAAGCTGATATATGGCTCGGTATATGGTAACATATTAGTACCTAAAAAGTACAAAAGTGTTCCCGTAATACTAATATTTACTTTTAAGGTACCAATTTGCAATGGTGGAAAGAGTCCTAAAAATCATACTTAAGTAAAATTACCATTACTTGCCTAAAAATGTAGTGTAAGTAGAGTAAAAGTATCTGCTGTGAATATTACTCAAAGTATGAGTAAAAAGTAGCCCTTTCTAAAGTACTCAAGAGTAGTGAGTAGTGAGTATTACGATGTGAAAAGCTGATGGGTTTACTTGTAATTTGTGGATGTGTGTGTAAATGTAACATTCTGTGGTGCAATTAGTTTTTCTCCAGCAGGCACACAACGTCATAAGACATATTAGGTTCGATTTAGGTTGTGATGTCAGGTGACCACCAGGGTCGGCGCGTCCATAGAGGCGACCTAAGCAGCCATCTAGGGCGGCGTCCCCGACACTACCCTCACCCCCCGCGCCCTATATCCATGTAGGGCGGCCGAATATAGAGGGCGGTGTCCCCGACATTAACCCTCATCACCCGCGCCCTATATCCGTGTAGGGCGGCCGAATAGAGAGGGCGGTGTCCCCGACACTACTTTCATCACCTGCGCCCTATATCCGCGTAGGGCGGCCGAATAGAAAAGGCGGTGTCCGCGACACTACCCTCAACACCCGCGCCCTTAGTTATATCCGCGTCTAGTGAGGTACCCATGCTTTCACTTTAGGGTTGAGGGCGGCGCAACCGTCCTTTGCCTAGAGCGGCAGTTCAGCTTGCTCCGGCTAGCTAGCGTCTAAGGATAACGTTATTTTGATGTCCAATAACGACATCAAATCACGTTGATATTTAGACTTTAGGTTGTGTTGGAAAGTAACCAAAATCCAACGTTGAGCCAAAATCTTAAACCAACATCATATTGATGTCAAATACTGACATTTATTCATCAGGTCTGGCAACCAAAATCCAATATCTGATAGACGTCATGCTGATAACGTCCTCACAACGTCCAGCTGTAACATCATTAGACGTTGACACTGGGGTACAACGTCATTCTAGCATCATGTTGACGTCTTGCATCTGCTGCATGTTTAAGGTCATTATACAGTACTCATCTGTCATCTTCTCACCAGTGACATGCATCTAAACAATCTCTGGCTCACTGTGTGTGACGATTTTCGACTTGTTCTTAGACACTTGTAATGCTTCCATACAGTTTGCTGCGATTGTGAAGCGCCCATGTCTTGAGTGGCTCATTATGTGGCGATTTACCTTCTTTATGCGATTTGATTGGACAGGAATCACAGGACCGATTCTTCTAATCCCCATAGACAAGAAAAATAAAGCAGTGACTGCAGGTTGAAGGAAAGTAGTAGAGTAAAAGTATTGATACTGCACTAAAATGTACTCAAGGAAGAGTAAAACACATTCATGAAACTACTTAGTAAATTACAATTTCTGAGCAAAACTACTCAGTTACAGTAATTTGCGTATTTGAAATGAGTTACTTTACACCACTGCAAATACGGACCCTTTAAGTACAAATGTGTACCTTTTGAAAAGATGCCAGCTCGTGGAGTGACAGCTCGTGTACCTTTATTTTTAAAAATGTATGCAAACTATATTTGTGACACAGGTTCATAAGTATATTTGGATTTCCCATACATAAAACCTATATCATGTCAAAATATCACAAAAATGGCGAAGCAGTGGCGCAGTAGGTAGTGCTGTCGCCTCACAGCAAGAAGGTCGATGAGTCGCTGGTTTGAACCTCAGCTCAGTTGGCGTTTCTGTGTGGAGTTTGCATGTTCTCCCTGCCTTCGCATGGGTTTCCTCCGGGTGCTCCGGTTTCCCCCACAGTCTAAAGACATGCGGTACAGGTGAATTGGATAGGCTAAGTTGTCCGTAGTGTGTGAATGTGTGTGTGGATGTTTTCCAGAGATGGGTTGCGGCTGGAAGGGCATCCGCTGCATAAAAACTTGCTGGATAAGTTTGCGGTTCATTCCGCTGTGGCGACCCCAGATTAATAAAGGGACTAAGACGACAAGAAAATGAATGAATAAATATCACAAAAATCCCAGTTGAGTTTTTTCAAGTACTGGAATTACAAATATGTGCTTACATGTCCCAATAAAATATTAAAATCAATTATTAATATTATTATTATAATTATTTATTCATTCAATCAATTTTCTTCGGCTTAGTCCTTGAAGTAATCAAGACTTGCCACAGCGGAATGAACCGCCAACTTATTCAGCAAATGTTTTACACAACAAATGCCTTTCCAGATGCAACCCAGTATTGGAAAACACTCATACCCTCTCACATGCTGTTACGATAACCAGCGATCGCTGGTTCTCCCACACAATAACCATGGACTACACTTCCGCCTTTTCCTGGACTACATATTCATACATGCTCTCCGGTCACACTCACACATGCTAACTCATCTAGACTGATTACATTCGCACCACCTGAGGATTGTCAGAAACTGATTGCACTCACTACTTAGGCCACACATTCACCCTTTCAGTTTGAAGAGTCTTGTTATCTTTTACAGTAGCATTACAACGCATTTCCCAGTCGTGTTATCCCATGTACCGACCGTTAGCCTTGTTAGCCTCTTTGTCTTTGCCTGCCGCCTGCCTTTCGGATCTCTTGCCTGTATTTAACTGTGATTCTGGATTGTCTCCAAATACCTGTTTGCACCTGTGTTGACCATCGCTTGCCTGACTTTAAATAAACCTGCATGTGGATCCAAAACTTCAGTTGTTTGTGTCACTCCCATCACAACACATGCACACTCATGCACTACAAATAAATTAATTCAATTTACCAATAGCACATGTCTTTGGACTGTGGGAGAAACCGGAGCACCTGGAGGAAACAAGTTAACTCCACACAGATATGCCAACTGACCCAGACTCAAACCAGCAAACTTTTTGCTGTGAGGCGACAGTGCTAACCACCGAGCCAACATGTCACCCCTATTATAATAATAATTATTATATATTATTACTGTAAGAAAAACAATACTCTCCTTAAAACTGTTTATCAGCAACACAGCAAAAAGGTAAACACTGTTTTTGTTGGTGCGTTTGTGAGTACGTGAGGTGTCAGGAGTTAATTTACAGGAGTGTGATTCATTTGGCATGCTCGTGTTTATGGGACTGCGGTGGGTGTGCTGTAAGGACGGACCTCTGAAGACGCTGATAAGAACTCAAGGACTCTGATAGGAGAAAGAAACATCTCAGTTGGACATTTCACAAACAGAAATTCCACTTCTAGGAAGACTTTGACTGCTTCAATAGATGGCTCCTTCTTCTGTGTCGTCCTGGCTTAGAAAACCATAGATTATCCTCAGTTAAATGGAGATTCTTCACAGATTCACTCTCAAGGAAGAGAAAAGCATCTGAATCCAAGTTATAACCCATGGGAGAGGATTGAGTTATTAAAACCCCTGTAGATCTAGGCACATTGACGGACTGTACCATGAGGAACAATACAAGCAGTGGGGTCTCTAAACATGCTGGAGAAAAACACTGCATGGATAGGATCATTCTGGATGAACTTAAACTAGAGGACGTAGCACAATGGCAGAGGGAAATCCCAGAGCCTTCTTTAAAGGAGAAGATCCGTGACTCTTTGAGGTAAAGAAATATGAGTGTGTGCATTTCATTCATTCATTCATTTTCTTTTCAGCTTAATCCCTTTATTAATTCAAGGTCGCCACAGCAGAATGAACCGCCAACTTATCCAGCACATGTTTTACGCAGCGGATGTTTGAGCTACATACTGTTAGTCATTTTACTTGCATATAAATAAAGTCATGCAACAGGATGTTATGAAATCTTGCATATTTTACCTAAATTCTATGATTTCCTTAAGTGCAGCAATTTCTTCCATTTTAATTTATCTGGATTAGATTTTTGTGCTTATTTTTTCAAAATATCTGTAAATTAGTACCTTTTTTAGTACTTAGTCCATTCATTTCTCCTTTTGAATTACATTAATGGACCTTGATCTTTCTTCCAACAACTTTTGACTTTAAAAAGTTTTTTAAAAAGTGATTTTTATTAACATTTTTAATAGTTTAGTGATATATTGTCTGTGTTGGTGTTGTATATTAGAGTACAAAAACCTTGTAATAAACTACTTTGTCTGTTATTTTTATAAAAAAAAAAAAAAAATTGGTGTCATTTTAAAGAAACCCCTTTGAATTTTCATAAAACACTATTGAAAGTGTTTAAAATAACTGTATATGTTGTCTGTGTTATAATAAACACCTAAAAAAAGAGGCGCTTTTTGCATTTTTCTTTTTTATAAACTCAAATTTGAAAGTGTACCTTTTAGGTTCTGTGTGGTCTAGCGTGCTGTAATTAATTTTGGTGGTTCCTGCATATGTCTGTAATCATAGGAAAAAAGAAAAAGGTCTCTACCATAATCTATGCAAAAGTTATTGCATTCCAACTGATGAGGGGTGCTGTACAAGCCACAGGGACCGATCCTTGTTTACATATTTCACTATTCTTTTGTTTGATCAAACATAATTCACTGTGTTTGGACCACGTCAGACATATAAAAGGATTACTTATGCACATCACCTCAAAAACAGAGGAGAATGGCCCTGAAGGGCACAGCATAAGATAAGAGATGACAGCTGTCTGTGCTATCTGGGGCTGCTTAGTGATCATGAATGTATTGTTTACATTTCTGCACCATGGAAACACCACAATTTATTCAACAACTGTTTGGCATATGAATATAATTCAGTAAAAAGAATGCTAGAACTGTATGAGCACCGGCAAAAGCTTTCATTTGAGCTATAACTTGTACACGTATCATATGGAAAATATGAAAATGAACCAATGTAAAATACCCAGCTCGAGTATCCAAAATACTGTGTATTTAAGTGTAAATAACTTTTATACAGTAGGATAAAAACCACAGTGATGCATATGTACATAAAATATAGATTCTACACTTTCAAACGACACCACTTACGGGGGTCTGGTGCAACGCTAGCCCTTTAAATCTAAAAAGCGAAAGTCGATGACGTCACGGACACGGTACCGGGTCCACAGAGTTTAAATATTTTTTCAGTGGTTTTCATTTGTATGGTTAAAGTAAATTTAGTAGTCAAAAAGCATAAATGACATGTTTAACATTTTTTTAAAGCTTCTTAAACACTGTAAAAAATAAATCCGTAAAATTTACAGTAAAAAAATGCAGCTATGGTTGCCAGTATTTCACCGTTAAAAATATGGTACAAACCATAAAGTAATTTCTGATTCTTACAGTAAACTACCGTATTTCATTCATTTATAATGGTCTGTAATTTGAATTACGAACATCTAGAAATCTTTTGTTACACAGATAGACACGTTAACACAGCCATATACAGTTGGTGATGAGAAAGTTACATAATGAACCAGTGCTCAACACAACCAACTTTTCCCACAAGCAGAAAAGAGTATTAGTGTGAAGAAGGTGCTCAGTTTCATTCACACAGCTACTAAACACCAGTACGGTAACACACATAAAATTAAAGTCATGAAATAAACATTGTTTATCAATATTAGATGTAATATAAATGTCTATATAAAAAAGATCTATAGTGATGCCAACAAAAAGTATAAAAAGTGACATGCCATGCAGGGAATTATGGGAAAGTCAATTTACGGTTATTCGCTGTGTATATTAAGGAAACATACTGTTAACCAGGTTACAGATTTTTACTGTAGCATTTTTACAGTTTTTTTTACTGTGTATATTCTTTCACTGTATGATATAGGTGCACTGTGGGACAGTGGAAGGTTTGGATTCTAGCGTGGATGCCAGTTCTGTCCTGGATCCCCTGTTATTCCATCCGAGAGAATGGACTTGGTGATCTGGTTTCAGGCGTCAGTGTGGGAATCATGCATCTGCCTCAAGGTCAGTTTACAAGAGCAAGCTGCAAAGTGAAACTACACATGGGAGAAGAAAGACATAGACATGTTTCTTAAAGACATAGTTCACCCAACAATAAAAAATTATGTTATTAATTACTCACCCTCATCTTGTTCTAATCCCCTGAGATCTTCGATCATCCTCAGAACACAAATTAAGATTGAGGTGAAATCGTAGAGCTTTTTCATCCTCCATAGAGAGTTCCCAACTTATTCAAAGTCCAGAAAAACAACACAAACATCCAAAAACATACCATGTGCTTTGGGGAATAAATCAAAATATTATCAAGCTATGAGAATACATTCGTGCGCCCATACAAGGTAAACAGAGCCTTTATACACTGAAAAAAATGCTGGGTTCCAGACAATCAATTTGTTTAAGTTAACTTATTAATTTTTAAAGATTTAGGTTTCCCAAATGGGTTGCGGCTGGAAGGGCATCCGCTGTGTAAAAACTTGCTGGATAAGTTGGCGGTTCATTCCGCAGTGGCGACCCCGGATTAATAAAGGGACTAAGCTGACAAGAAAATTAAATGAATGATTTAGGTGAACTGAAAATTACTTTATTACTTTATTACCAAATTAAGAATTGTGTTTCAGCTCTTTTTATATAAGCTTGAACACACAACAAACATAATTTTTTAGAGAGTTCAACAGTTTCTTCTTTTCAGTGTCAGTTTAGGGGTCACGTTCACGAAAACACTGTGCTGTTATGTGTTGCACTCAATCACACTGCAAACAGAGGAAGCTTCTTGTTGGCAAATGGGGTATATCAGTGCACAGAGAAACACTCTTGTGAACATGCACAATATACTGACACTGAGAAGAAGGAGCTATTGACTAAAGCTGTAATTTCAAAAGTATAATTGTAGCTTGATAATATTGTGATTGAACCAGTAAAGACATGGTCTGTTTTTGGTCTGATGAGGTTTTTGGTACAGTTTTGGACTTTCAGATCTCAGGGCTTTGGAACGACACAAGAGTGAGCAATTAATAACAGACTTTTTATTTTTGTGTGAACTATACCTTTAATTTGCTCTCTTAAAAACAGATAATCTCCGAGAAATTAGTTAATAGCCAGGCTAAATAACATTCTCTTTTGAGTGTGTGTGTGTGTGTGTGTGTGTGTGTGTGTGTGTGTGTGTGTGTGTGTGTGTGTGTGTGTGTGTGTGTGTGTGTGTGTGTGTGTGTGTGTGTGTGTGTGGGTGTGTGTGTGTGTTATTTATTTTTGCTTTATTAATAAAAAAAACAGCATGCACAGTTTAATAACACAACATAATCCCATTATTTTGTTTAACAAGAAGAATTAAATGAGAAAAAAATTTATTAATTAAATAAAATAATCATAAAAAAGGGGGATGAGGGTACATAATTATCGAACTAAAGTCAAGTCAAATGAAGGCAAACTTTAGCTATAGAGCATTTTAAAAACACAGAAGTTAGCCAAAGTGCTGTACAGAAACATAAAACAAAATAAGCATAATAGTAAATAAAATACATAAAATACGAAATAAAATTTAGCTAAACTACCTAAAAAAGCACATATGAATTAAAATAACTAAGATCATATTTAAGATCAGGTGTCAAACGCCTGCGAAAAAAAAGTTTTATGAGCTGATTTAAATGAAAACAAACAAGAGTTCTGTCTAATGGGCAGAGGCCAATCGATCTACCACAGCGAAAGCACCGTCCCCTCTAATCTTATGCTTTATTTTTGGCACATCAGAAGAAGCCGATCAGAGAATGAGTTGGGCTTGTAGGGGTGTACCAGCTCAGTGTTATAAGGTGGGGCAAAACCAGTTAGAGATTTAAAAAGAAATGAAAAAACTAAATTCTAAAATGCACTGGCAACCAATGAAGCGAAGCTAACACAGGGAAATGTGGTCGTATTTGCCACACTGGTGAGTACCAGTTAACAGATGTGCTGCAGCATTTTGCGCCATTTGCAAACGGGCAACAGTTGACCTGCTACTTTCCATATTCAGTGCATTACAGTAATCTAACCGAGTGGTCACAAAAGCATGGATTACTGTCTCAAACTGTTGTTTTGGTATATATTGCTTTGTTTCTGCTAGTTATCTTAATTGAAAAAAAAACTAGATTTAACTACCACTCTAATCTGGTTGTTAAATATAAAATCTGAGTCCAAATTCCCAATTAAATTTTATACACAAATATTATGCATATGGCAAAAGTCTTGTCCTATCCAGGTTTTAGGAACAACAAATAATAATTTGTCTTCTAGTTGATCAGTTGGGATCATAAGTGGCTTATAAATAAAATATGATCATGCCTTGATTTAAATTATTTCATTAGGACAGTAAGGTCTGACTTTGCTGAGACTAGACTTAAGATAAATAATGTACAGTATAGAATATAAAGTCAGAGTGCAGTGGAAAATGAATTAATATTGTATTTGTGTATGACTCCCATGAGCGTGGTCAGACTGCATACATCTCTGCAATGACTCAAATAACTTATTAATAAACTTATCTGGAATGGCCGAAAAAGCGTTCTTGCAGGACTCCCAGAGATCATCAAGATCATTTGGATTCATCTTCAATGCCTCCTCCATATTACCCCAGGCATGCTCAATAATGTTCATGTCTGGGGACGGGGCTGGCCAATCTTGGAGCACCTTTACCTTCTTTGCTTTCAGGAACTTTGATGTTTAGACGTATGAGAAGGAGCGCTATCCTGCTGAAGAATTTGCCCTCTCCTGTGGTTTGTTATGTAATGGGCAGCACTTGATCCCTTAAGCTGTTGATGTTGCCATCCACTCAGCAGATCTCTCCCATTTTTTCTTCACCAAACTTGACTGATTTTTGTGAGAATCTTGGGTCAATGCGGATTCCAATAGATCTTCTGCAGTATTTGTGATGATTGGGATGCAGTTCAACAGATTATTCATCAGAAAAATCAACCTTCTGCCACTTTTTCAAACGATCAACTAGAAGTCCAGTTATTATTTGTTGCTCTTACAACTAGGATTGATGACAAAAAAAATACATGTATGCGCAAATGTTAAAGGAGACGCTTATATTAACCATTTTAATTGCTTTTCTATTGACAGACTAAGAAATCTCTTTTATAAACATTTTAATCTCTTTTCCTCAGGTATGGCTTATGCTCTTTTGGCTTCTGTCCCGCCTGTGTTTGGTCTCTACACCTCCTTCTATCCTGTCCTGGTCTACTTCATCTTCGGCACTTCTAAACACATCTCCATAGGTGAGTGGAAGATAGAGAATGAAGCTTATAGTGAAAACATACAAAACCTACAAAGACATTCACTGAGTTGTTGTGAAGCCACTCCATTGATATTTTGGTGGTGTGCTTTGGGTCATTGTCCTGCTGGAAGATGAGCCTTTGCCCCCGTCTAAGGTCAAGAGCACTCTGAAGCGGGTTTTCATTCAGGATGTCTCTGTACATTGCTGCATTCATCTTTCCCTCTATCCTGATTAGTCTTCCAGTTCCTGCTGCTGATAAACATCCCCACAGCATGATGCTGCCACCACCATGCTTCACTGTAGGGATGGTATTAACCTGGTGATGAGCGCTGCCTGATTTTCTCCAAACGTATCGCCTGGCATTTACTCCAAAGTGTTCAATTTTAGTCTCATCAGACCACAGAATTTTGTTTCTTATGGTCTGAGAGTCCTTCAGATGCCTTTTGGCAAATTCCAGGTGGTAAGTGGCTTCCGTCTGGCCAATCTACCATACAGGCCTGATTGGTGGATTGCTGCACAGATGGTTGTCCTTCTGTAAGGTTCTCCTCCCTCCACAGAAGAATGCTGGAGCTCAGACAGCGTGATCATCAGGTTATTGATCACCTCCCTGACTAATCTCCCCTGATCACTCAGCTTAGATAGTCTGCCAGCTCTAGGAAGAGTCCTGGTAATGTAATGTTCCCTAGTGGTCTCCCATCCAGGTACTGACCAGGTTCAGCCCTGCTTAGCTTCAGTGAGTAACCGGTCTTGGGCTGCAGGGTGATATGGCTGTGGTGCTTCCAAACATCTTCCACTTACAGATGATGGAGGCCACTGTGCTGATTGGAACTTTCCGAGCGGCAGAAATTTTTCTGTAACCTTCCCCAGCCTTGTGCCTCGAGACAATCCTGTCCCTGAGGTCTCCAGACAATTCCTTTGTCTTCATGCTTGGTTTGTGCCTTGACATGCACTGTCAACCCAGGGACCTTATATAGACAGGTGTAGGACTTTTAGGATCATGTCCAATCAACTGAATTTACCACAGGTGAACTCCAATTAAGCTGCTGAAACATCTCAAGAATGATCAGTGGAAACAGAATGTACCTGAGCTCAATTTTAAAGCAAAGGCTGTGAATACTTATGTACATGTGAATTTTCGTGTTTTTTTTATTTTAAAAAGAAATAAATAAAATAAAAAAATAAAAAATACGAAAACTCCTTTTTCACATTGTTATTATGAGGTATTGTGCGTAGAATTCTGACGAAATAAATTTAATTAATCCATTTTGGAATAAGCAAGCTATGAATACTTTCCGAATGCACTGTATATCATTTTAATCATATTACACTTAAAAAAATAGCTATTGTTGGAATATCAAGCCAATTCCATGCGTGTTCAATAAGAAAAGGTCTGGAGAGTGTTTTCTTCAATGCCAAAAATATTAGTCATTTATTAGACACAAATGAATAATTCAATGACAGAGCTCTGGGTTACATTACCTCAATGCAATACAAGAATTACATTCAAGAGGTTCACAACTAACTTAAAATTCCTGACTTCAGCATATGTACACAACTGATATTAACAGGTGGAGTTTTGGTTTAACATCACTTATCAGTCATTCTGCAGTCCTTTGGCTCTTTGTACCCCCAGACATACTTCCTCTTTCTGCAACCCTTCTCTGCATACCATAACTGAACAATTACGTGCATCTTTAATATATTTCACAACTTCTACAAGCATCATGACAACTTGTGACATGTCTAGACTTTGTATTAAACAAAGGCCCCCACACTAATTCTTATTCTGCTTTTTCCACTTGTCAGCATGTTCCTTAAAAAAGTATGCAGCACAGTAAAAAAGAGGAAGTGTGTCTGGTCAAGATGTGTTATAATACAATAGAAAAGATTGAATAATCTGTTGTTAGTCTAAGCAATTTTCTAATAAATAAAAACACAAAAGTAATAAAAATAAATTCTTTTTCTCCAACGCTATCCAAAATAGTCAGTTCATTATGTCATCAGATGATGCTTGTTTTAAATATGTCTGGCATGTTTTTCTGCTATTTAAACTACTTTAAAAGTGACTGTCAAATTTATTTTTATTCTGCAAATCATAGCGATTATTTTAATTTATTGTTTTGCTTGAAAACCCTTTTCATCTTTGACTTATTTACATATAGCTTCTAGCAATTAGGGTTAGGGTTTCCTGCCAGTGTTATTCAGTAATGCTGTTTTGCTTGCCTTCAATGCTTTAGGAACTTTTGCTGTGATTAGCATAATGATTGGAAGCGTCTCGGAGCGACTGGCTCCTGACGGTCATTTTCTTACCAATGGGACAAATGGATTGGTGGTTGTGGACACAGAGGCACGAGATCTGCAGAGGCTGAAAGTGGCTGCAGCAACAACATTACTGTGCGGCATTTTCCAAGTGAGTCTTGCAGAAAAACACATGAACAAATCTGGTAACATGCATGCAAATATCAAAGGGATAGTTCACTCTGAAATGAAAATTCTGTAATTTATTTATCCTTCACTTGTTTATTCATTCATTCATTCATTCATTCGCCACAGCAGAATGAACCGCCAATTATTTCAGCATATGTTTTATGCAATGGATGCCCTTCCAGCCACAACCCATTACTGGGAAACACCCATACACTCTCGCATGCACAAACACTAATACACTACGGCCAATTTAGTTTATCCAATTTACCTATTCGCATGTCTTTGGACTGTGGAGGAAACCGGAGCACTTGGAGGAAACCAACGTGAACACAGGGAGAACATGTAAACTCCACACAGAAATGCAAACTAGTCCAGCCGGGACTCAAATCAGCAACGTTCTTGCTGTGAGGCAACAGTGCTAACTACTGAGCCACCATGCCACCCCCTTCACTTGTTCAAAACCTATTTGAGTTTCTCTGTTGAACACAAAATAAATTATTTCAAAGAATATTGCTAGCACCCGTTGACTTCGTAGTTGTATAGTCATAATTTTCCTACTATGGAAGTTCATGTGTACCAGCAAAACAGCTTTCTTCAAAATATCATCTTTTCTGTTTGACATAAGAAAGAAACGCATAAAGTATTAAAATTGCATGTGGGAGAATTTATTAAATACCCAGAGGTGTAAAGAGTACCTGAAAACCCTACTTGAGTAAAAGTATAGATACCTTACTGTAAAAATTACTCCATTACAAGTTACAAGTCACCAATTCCAGTAAGACTTGAGTAAAAGCATTAAAGTATCCAATTAAAAAAAAATGACTTAAGTATTTTACTCATACTGAATGCAGGCTCAAAGAACACCAAGAAAGGTTTTATTTCCTAACATAGAAATTAAATTGAACACTTCAATGTTTCAAAACGGCAGAACAAAATAGATAAAAAAATATAGAACAAAAGGTCTCAAACTCAAATGTTCAAAATGGCACAAACTATTTTTAAAAAGTTGTAAAAAACGTAGTAAAAAAAATTCAGAGCTGACTTTCATGTGATTCACTTCACCGTCTCAAAGGGGGGCAATACTTTTATTTTGAGTAGTTTTTCAATTGATTAGGATGTTTTCTCTATTAATATTAAACACTGATAAGAAGTTATTTTTCAACTTAGTAAACTACATATAAATTCAATTAAAAAAATACATCACAAACTCATAGCTAAATGCAAAATGTATAATTTCAATAAAACATTTATTTATGTTGCACAAAAATAAATTAAGCTAAAACATAGTCTTGTCATGTCGCAGTGGCTTTTGCCATTTCAGTAACTGTATTAAATTCACTTAATTCACATTAAATTAACATTAAATAGACTCTTACTTCAATGTGTTTCTCAAATTTTACAATAAATTCTTAAAAGCATTATTCTCGTGGCAAACAAAGTAGACACTGCATCCTGTAAGAGCCATTCTGCATATCGGCAAATGAAAACATTTCTTTCAGATAAGGCCATGGATGTTCATCAGTGCTGGCACTGCTTGATGTGCCGACTTCGGCTTCATCATTTGCTGCAGCCATGTCGCTAATTAAACACCTGGTATTTGGCAAGCTGTTATTTCATGTTCACGTGATTTAGCTCATAAAGTGCATACAGTACCTCCAGCAGCCTGCAGATGGCGATATTGCCTCGTCCGCCCAACGAATTAGTCGTGGTAGATAGAGATGCCGACTTGTCATGCACAATCACAATGTAACGAGTAACTATAAGCGTCCATTCAAATGTAGTGGAGTAAAAAGTACATATATTCAATCAAAAATGTAGTCAAGTAGAAAGTAAAAGTTGCTTCTATTTTTAATACTCAGCACAAGTAAAAAGTAGCCAAGAAAATATTAAGTAACGAAGTCCATTTACTTAAGTACTTAACACTACTGTAAATACCTAAAAGAACTCTCCGTTTAATGAGCGAGAATGAGAACAAACAAATGAAATAAAGTATGTGGGAGGAAAGCTGATGAATGAATGTAGAAAATAAACATTGAAAATAAATGAAAAGAGAACGTTTTTGTTCGTTCAAAAGCATTTATTTAATTTTCATAGGTTTTGTTGGGTGTTGTTCGGTTTGGCTTTGTGGTCACATATCTCTCAGAGCCTTTAGTCCGAGGATACACAACAGGAGCAGCCGCTCATGCGATCACAGCTCAACTCAAATACATGTTTGGAGTTTCACCCAGACGCTTCACTGGACCCCTGCAGCTGCTTTATGTAAGCATTTCATTCAGTTAAAGGAGACCTATTATGCAACTTCTATATATAATATTTATAATCACACTTCTTAAAAAACATGGCGCATTATTGATGATCTCTTCCTATTAGCATAGGACATTAGTCATGTTTTGAATCTGCCACTATGCTGACACACAGGCATTTGTAGCTCCACCCTCTTTTGAAAAGAGTACAATCTCATTTCAATTTATAGCCACAGTCACCAAAACGGCACAATTTGGCTCTAAGCCAAAAAGTTTCAAAGAGTTATGAAACATTATTTGTTTGGTATTTTGAGCTGAAACTTACACATACACACTCTAGGGACATCAGAGACTCATTTTGCATCATGTTAAAGGAGGCACAATGGGTTTCCTTTAAATCTTGAGATGTTTAAACACTGTACAAAAAGTTAAAATTTTTTCCAAAATTGTCAAATCAGCTAAGATGATGCATGTCAGTTCAGAGGTTTTAGAAAATAAATAACACGGTCGGATAACACGGTCGGATCCAAACGCAGCTTTTATTAAGAGTAGTCAGGCAAAGTTATGTTTCCATCCAACTACTTTTATGCGCATTTTGGATCTACGCATAAAAAATGGTTGATGGAAATGCCAAGATGCGCATTCATTTTGAAAATGCGCATGACTGTGTTGGATAAACTGTTTATTCGATAAAAAAGTTGCGCATAAACTACGATGGAAACACTTTTACCGAACAAATTTTAGTATGTGATTTTGTTATTAGAGATCATTTGATGATGAAAATGTGTGTAAATGGATAAACTAGCTGGCTGAGCACATTGTAAAACATCTGAAATGTTGTTTTGGTTATTCTAAAATGCCTAACTATTTCAGTATTAGTGATATTATATTATTAATTACCTCCAGAAGAGCGTCAAGAGCGTCTGCGCTCCGCATCCCATACCTTCAAACGCCACCACGTGTTCATTGCGTGTCTGCATTGTCTTTTGAAGCAAGTAATTTATTAAATAAAAAAAGATTCACACAGCTTCTCCTACCGCAACAAATTTCATCTTAACTGTTGATATTTGGTGCCAGTTAATCAGGAAGTGATGATTTTGTTATCTTTGACTTGTTGAATAGAAACAATATTTTATTCGCGTGTCTTTTATGCGATTATCTGGTTTTGCGCATAAATCTAATTAGCATCTTTGGATGGAAACATAGCTAGTTACAGGTGAATGGTCAAGGCAGGCCAAACACCATAAACAGTCAACAAAACAAAAGGTCAAAACACAGCAGGACAAGACAGCACAAGGGAGACGCTCTGTAATGTTCGCTCTAAAAACAAGACTCAGCCATGGATGTGTGACTGTGATGTACAGTTCAAGTAATCAGTCCTGATGAACTTCAGCTGTTTGTGTGTAATCAAGAGGTGAACTGGACCTGGTGTGTGACTGCGGTGCATGATGTAGTTCGTTAGAATGGCAAGGAGTGTTCTCCTGCGGTCTGTGAGGGCTACATTGCTGATGATCCTAAGGCTGATATTTAATTCTCAACCCCACAACTCAAACTCAACCCAACTCTCAACATAAACAATCTCCGCGAAAACTACAAAAATGTGATGTGATGTCAAAAAAAACATAACACCTATTATAACAAACTCTGCAATAGTTATTTGAGTATTAACTTATTCTCTTCTGTGATTTTTTAAGTGGGTTATATAAATATATTTTCATATATTTAAGAAATTATAACACGTATTTATTATGTTAGGTTTTATATGTTTTTGTTTTATTGTAATGTTTTGAATGATGGGGCTGCAAGTATATCCCTTTAAATCAAATTCAAGTCACTTTAAAGTGAGTTTCAAGACATTTTAAGCATACTTATTGTGTTTGATTGTTTGATTTTTTCGTTATAGACTCTGGTGGAGCTGTGCGGTTTATTACCGCAGACTCACGTTCCCACTTTAGTGGTCAGTCTGGTTTCTCTCACAGCTTTGGTTATTGTGAAGGAGATCAACTCCTGCTACAGTCACAGATTACCCCTGCCCATTCCCATAGAGCTCATGGTGGTGAGTACTCAAAGTGCTCAGGTTTCTTCAGATGTCAAACCAGTACATATAGCCATAAGCAGATCTGTGTGTATGTTTACAGATCACTGCAGGGACTCTCATTTCTCATTATACTGAAATGAAGACTATTAATGGTGTTGACGTGGTGGGAGAAATTCCCAAAGGGTAAGAGTGTGTTTCATATTGCATGCTTGATTGTAAAATATTTTGAGTGGACACTACAGGAACACAGTGAGCTTGAAATCACTGTAGTCTACTGTTTGTTCATCCAACAAAGCTAAACTGTTTCTTTTAAAAACAGGATGTTTTCTTGAGACTCACTTCTTTGTCTTGATCTCTGCTGACTGACTTTCTAAAACCCCCATCAAAACACGTCTACAGTAGAGCACAAATCCCAGCCTTCAGGAAATATTACTGCTTACAGTACACCCTCACGTGTGAGATTTGCAAGACCTTTCACTTTCCTAACCCTATAATCTATTAAAATATGCTGTAGCATTTAATAATAAAGTGCTGTAAACACTATGGCGTCACTGTGGCGCAGTATGTAGCACAATCACCGCAAGAAGGTCACTGGATTAAGCTCCAGCTGGGTCAGTTGGCATTTCTCTGTGGAGTTTGCATGTTCTTCCCGTGTTTGCAGTGGTTTCCTTCAGGTGCTGCAGTTTCCCCCACAGTCCAAACACATGCACTATAGGTGAATTGGATGAGCTAAATTGGCCATAGTGTATGTCTGTGAATGCAAGAGTGTATTGGTGTTTCCCAGTGTTGGGTTGCAGCTGGAAGGGCATCTGTGTAAAACATGCTACACTCTCAGAAAAAAAGGTACACGGGGGTACAAATAATGTTGCTTGAGGGCCAGTTTTGTACCTTTGTAAAAGTTGTACCTTATATGGTACAGAAAAGACCTCTTATGATACTGTTCTGGACCTTTTATGGTACAATTCAAATGAAGGTACATAATTGTTCTCAAATAAAGGTACAGAAGCTGTCACTGGGGCGATACCTTTTTTAAATGGTACATATTTGTACCTGAAGGGTCCATAATGGTACTTCAGAGGTACTTTTTAGGTACATTTCGGTACTAATATGTATGTTTTGAAAAGGTACTGCCCCAGTGACAGCTCCTGTACCTTTATTTGTGAGAATGTACATAAGTGTTGGACAACTCCTTCTTTATTACAATATCTATGAAAATAAATATAACTGGAAAAGCAAAGTGATTTATGAATAATTTCCATATTAAAACATGATTCATCATTTAAAAGCATGTTTAAAGAAACTCATAAACATAATTATTAAGTTCTATAATGCAATAATACAAAACAACTAGAAAAACATTTGTATCTTTGATGAAGGTACATTTTGGTTTCCCATGGTATAAATCATGTTCTTAAAGGTACAAACTGCAATGGTACAAATTTGTTTCTTTGTCTTAGAGTACAATTCTGTTCCATAAAAAGGTACTGCCCCAGTGACAAGGGTTTGTACCTTCTTTGGTACAACATTGTACCATTTTTTCTGAAAGTGTAGATAAGTTGGTGGTTCATTCCACTGTGGTGACCCCTGATTAATAAAGGGACTAAGCCGGAAAAGAAAATGAATGAAAGAATGAATGTAAACACTTTAACTATAGAGTACGATAGGACTATTAAAGAATATAGTATTTTTCATATGGGTACCTGTCAGGGTTCTGCCACTTTGGTCTTGTAAATTCTTGTTTTGGTGGCAGAGCTCTGACACTACTCATGTCTGGTCCTGTTTCTGTCTCTGTGTGCGCGCGCCGTCGTGGGTGTACGCAGAGTGTGCGCGCTCCTGCTTGACGCGGCCGCGCGCGCGCTCTGCGTCCCTCAGACGCGTGCGCTCTTGTACTCGTGTTTGTGTTTTCGTCTGTCAGCAGCGTGGTGTTTCATTCCCAGCGTCTCAGTCTTGTTGGTTTCGGTTTTGGTCGGCGCTGGGATGAAGCATGCACGCTGCGTGTGTGAGCGCACGGTGAGTGTTTTCATTCATCGTGCGCTCGTGTCTTGCGTCTTTTGTCAAAGCACGTGGCTCGGTGTTTACATTGTGGCCATGTGCTTTTGTCGTGTGCTTCAGTGTTGTGTTATGTGAGCGCATGGCTTGTATTGTCTCTCTGTGTCATGCGCTCTCCCGTCTATTGTCTAGTCCCACCCTCCTTGTTTACTCATTATTAGTTTGTCATGTTCGCCTGTGTGTCAATTTACTTTTTGCTTTATAATCCCCCTCCTGTTTTCAGTCATTTGCCAGTTCGTCGTCGTTATTTCCATGTCGTGTGCTATCTAGTCCTGTTTGTCCTGCCAGTCCATCCAAGTTTGTTTGAGTGTTTGTTTTATAGTTATGTTTTTCCCCCTCGGGGTGGTTTTTGTTGTCCTTTTTGTTTTATTTTTATTAATAAATACCATCTTATGTTGCAATTGAGTCCTCGCTCCCTCATCCTTCCCGAACCCTGACAGGTACCATTTAATCCCAATAAAGATGTACCTATTAAGACAGTGGTTCACAACCTTTTTTTGCCTGAGACCCCCTTTTTCCTCGGAAAATATTGTAAGGCCCCCCTCAACATTTAATGATATTATTACTCATATAATTTTGCTGTAATTATGACAAAAAAAGTTGTTTTCAAACAAACCTTATGTTTATTACTATATCTAGATATGATTATGCACAAATAAAAGCCTAATGTAGAATATAAGAGCAAAACATCTGTAGGCCATTTTTACTGAATAATGTAAGGCTTTGGCTTTTAAATTGGCCATATATTAGTTGCCAAGTTTTTAAAATTTTCCTGTCAGTAGCTGTGACGTCTCTCATCTCATTTTGGGTGTCTCAATTATTTTTCCTTGCACTCAAAAAATGATCTGGGCTCGTCGCGGTATTGGGGATGAGTCATCTGCAAATGTCTTATTAATTTGGACAGCTAGCAAGAATTTTTGCGCAGATAATGCACTGTGGCTGGGTCAGGGACGTTTTGCTTCGAGAAAATTGAATAAAACCATAGTTTAGGTACCTTTCTTGGTATTTGTGTTTCCAGTATTGCTAGCGCTGCGACCCGAAATGTTTATAGATTCCTCACCTGGGTCCAGCATGCTTGGGTCATTGGTATTAGCTGCTGAAGGCGAATCATTGAGACTCAATCTTTTTTTGTGGAGGACGTATTACAAATTTGTCCATTTATTTTTTATTTTTTGGTCAGCATAAAATGGCAACATGATCGTTCTCCTAATTGTCCCCAGCTAAAAATTAGAAAAAATATGAAGCGACCCCTGACAAAGCTCACTGAGGCCCCCTTGTGGGTCAGGACCCCCCTGTTGGGAACCACTGTACTATTGGCCCGTTTCCACTGAGTGATACGGTACGGTTCGGTTTGGTAGGCTTTTATGGCCGTTTCCACTGTCAAAAAGCGTACCGAATCAAACCGTACCGTACCACTTTTTCGGCACCCTTTCGAAAGGGTACCAAACAGGAGAAAGGGTACTAAAAGGTGGAGCTACACGTGCAGCTGAACGCTGATTGGTTACAGAGATACGTCACGAGCTCGTGGAGCTACACAGAACGTAAACAAAGGAACCGCCATGTTTTTTTAAATACAAAGCCGAGACATTACATGGAAATACTATATGGAATATAATAACGAGCCATGTATGAACAAACAAAGCTTTTTGTCGTCTCGATGAACGGACACAAAGCCAAGAAGAAAAATCTGCCGTGTCGTTGTTTTACGAGCTCGTCTAACAGTGCGAGCGGTATTCGCTTTCTTCCGGGAGCTCACGATTGCTTCTATATTTGATATAACAAACTTCTTGAGCTGACGATAATAACGTGTATGATTATTGAAGTGTCTCCGTCATCAGATCTATTCAGAAAAAAAGGACAAGCGCGAGAGTGAAGCGAAAGTAAAACGCGGAAAAAAAAGCCGTCAAGACACAGGAGCGAAATTGTTTTAGCAACCTGAATCATGAACAAACTGCCGTGTTTATCTTCGCCTTTTGGACTATTATGAACTGGGAATGACAAAATGACTCTCTAACAGAGCTTACATGTGCTGGTGAACATTACAGACACAGATAAGAGGTTTGCGCTGACTGTGGGCTTTATTGCGTGTGTTTTGAACTCAAATAAGTACTAAATGTTTGCTGTGTGTAATTTTTCTGTAATTAATGATATATCGGAGACTGTAAGGGGCTGTATGAGTTCATATATGTTGCATTTATGTATTTATTTTATATAATTACAGACGTTACAGTAGGCTATTTCGCACTGTCATTGATCTGCAGTTATAATCAAATCATGTTCATAGAAAAGTTAGTAATAAACATTTATAAACAAGTATTTATATGTGTAAACCATCTGTTTTGTGAGAAGTGCTGCTCATTATGATATGTGAACAATCTGTACAGATTTACTGTAAACATTTATGCGAGTGAGCATGACTTCGACTTAAACTTTGTCATAAACCACGCCCACCAAAAGGGTACCCTTTGTGGTGGAAACGCAAGCCTGATAAAGGTGACCCGTACCGACCCGAACCGTACCGTACTGTACCAGTCAGTGGAAAGAGGCATAAATTATCTGTTGTTTTTGCTCTTTTGACTAGTTTTTTGGTTATTACCCCTTTTCTAAAATCTTAACCACCTTCCAAGTGCATTTTTAAACTTTTCCAACACTCGAGTGTGGCAAATTACATATTTGCATACATATGCATACTTTCCCACATTATTCATTCAATCATTCATTTTCTTTTCGGCTTAGTCCCTTTATTAATCTGGGGTCGCCACAGCGGAATGAACCGCCAACTTATCCAGCATGTGTTTTACGCGGCGGATGCCCATCCAGCCAAAACCCGGCTACGGAAGACACCCATACACTCTCACATTCACTACCGCACATACACTACGGCCAATTTAGCTTATTCGATTCACCTATGGTGCATGTCTTTGGACTGTGGAGGAAACCCACAAAAACGTGGGGAGAACATGCAAACTCCACACAGAAGCAACACTGCGCCACCATCTTGCACCTTTTCTCACATTATATCAGATGCTATTTGCTATAGTACAGTAGTAGCATAGTCTAGTCTAGTATAGTCGGTCATACTTTATTTTGATGGTCTGTTTATTGAATTTAAGTTACATTGCACCTACATGTCAACTAATTCTCATTAGATTATAAGTAGACTGTTAGGTTGGGGTTAGGGTTAGTGTAAGTTGACATGTACTTGCTGAGTTTCATATTGTCAGTTAAATGTCTGTTGAAGAAGCAGTATCAACAGATATTAAGCAGACTAATACTCAAGTCCACCATCAAAAAAAACAGTACAGTCTAGTCTAGTTTAGTATAGTATCCTAGGGAAAATGGCATGTTTGCCCTAAGCCCTATATTGAATTACTGTCATTTATATCTTTATTAAGATGTATTAATCTTGTAAAATATATATTTCCTACAGTATTTATTAAGATTATTGGTTATGAAAGCAACATCTACATTTTCAAGCACTTCATCCAAAAGCTAAACACATTTTAAATTTTAATAACACTGGATAAAAATTCAGGCATTCAGCTTTTTTGAACCGTGTAGTTGTTGTGTCTCTGTCTCTTCTGACTGTAAGACAAAAACTTGTGGACAAGTTAAATAATGCAACAAAGTCAGTGTGAAATGTATCATTGTTTTGTGCTTATACTAACGCACAATAATAGAAATGTGCATTGTGCACTTACAATATGAGCATAATATTCTGATTTAAAACATTTGCATCACCCTCTCTATATGCAGTCCATGCATGAACATACATTTATAGTCATACATTGGCCGTTGGTGATTTGTAATCTTTGATGCGGCTGGATGTTAACGAGAATTATTTACATTATTTATTAAATTTCCTATGAAATGTATTTTATTAACATCTACCCCAACCGTAAACCCAACCATCACAGTATTGTAAAAACAGTAGTTGAGTGTTATTTATGCTATCTATTAAATTACCCAATACATTTTTTGACACCTACCCCCACCTCAACCCTGAACCCAACCATCACAGTACTGTAAAAATATGAATTATTGTTATACAGCGTCATAAAGAAATGCTGCTATATTAATGTGCATATCTTCCGGCCGGCCATGTATCCAATCTAGACTTTACCACCTTTGACCTCTTCCCCAGGCTGATGCCCCCCAGAGTCCCGGAGGTGTGTTTCTTTTCGTCAGTGGCAGGAGATGCATTTGCTGTGGCTGTGGTGGGATATGCCATTAGCATTTCTCTGGGCAAGATTTTTGCTCTCAAACATGGATATAAAGTTGACAGCAATCAGGTACAACATGTAATACAATACTGACACCGGTCAACCAAACTTTGCTACATATGTACAATCAAAAGCTTCAGAGTTATTCAGACACCTTCAACGTTTATTATATTTTTGGGGTATAACACTTCCCATTTTGTTTTATTTTGCTAAACTCACTTTTGTTAAATGAACTGAAGTGTCCTGCATTCACTAGTAAGAGGATGGCTGGTGTCTGAATACTGTTTGATTTGACTGTATGTGATTGTAGGCACATTTTGTGCTAGTTAAACCTTCTATTATTTTTCCAAAACCAAACTTAAATGAAACAGTTTTGAATAATAAGACAAATGAATAAAGTTCTTGAATTGAATGAATAAAAATATTGTTTTTATATGTGTATTTAAAGACATTTTTTTAAATATTAACTTAAGGATCCCCACTAAGCATTTTTGACTCCTGAATCATAATAATAATAATTCCTTACATTTATATAACGCTTTTCTGGGCACTCAAAGCGCTTTACACATAGGGGGAATCTCCTCATCCACCACCAGTGTGCAGCATCCACCTGGATGACTTGACGGCAGCCATTTTGCGCCAGACCGCACACCAGCTGATTGGTGGAGAGAAGAGTGTGATGAAGCCAATTATGATATGGAAAGGGTTAGGAGGCCATGATGGACAGAGGCCAGTGGGCAGATTTGTCCAGGATGCCGGGGTTAAACCCCTACTCTTTTTCAAAGGACATCCTGGGATATTTAACGACCACCGAGAGTCAGGACCTCGGTTTAATATCTCATCCGAAAGACGGCACTCACTGAGCAGTATAGCATCCCCGTCACTATACTGGGCCATTAGGACCCACACAGACCGCAGGTAGAGCACCCCCTGCTGGCCTCACTAACACCACCTCTGGCAGCAACCTAGCTTTCCCATGTGGTCTCCCATCCAGGTACTAACCGGGCACAGCCCTGCTTAGCTTCAGTGGGCAACCATGTGAGAGTTGCAGAGAGCTAGCTGCGAATTAGAGATCTGCGCGGGACTAAATTTTGAATCCCGCTCCCACCCGCACCCGCCAGGTTTTAGCCCGAACCCGACCGCTCCCGCTAAAAGCGGGGGAGAACAAAACCGAAAATCCCCCAGCTATACAGTCCAGACAGCCAAGCTGTCTGTATAAACACACACACAGCACCAAGCACACACACACAGACAAATCTCTCTCTCTCTCTCTCTCTCATACGCACACACTAACACACACACAAGCACCAAGCAGACACACAGGCGTTTACTGTTATATCAACTCAAAGGCTTGTAATACTATGTATCAAGTACCAATGTAATACCAAAAGGTTTTATATAAAGGTATATAAATACTGAGTCATGCCAGCTGCGGGCCGCAGCGCACATTACTCTCGGGCCGATTCCGTCGCGGATGCAGCAGCGTCGGCTTGCTTACGGCCGCCGCATCTGGCCCGATTGATTTGGGCCGGAATCGGGCAGTGAGTCCACAAGCATCCGGAGTCCGGCAGCCGGAGCCGGGCTGAGTGGTAAGTCTCCGGCAGGCGAGAATCTAGCCGGAACTGGCCCGAGTGTATTTTGCTATCTGGAAAAGCTCTCTCTCTCTCTCTCTCTCATTCGCACGCACTAACATACACACACACAAGCATCAAGCACACACACAGGCAAAGCTCGCTCTCTCTCTCTCTCTCTCATTCGCATAGCAATATCCGCGATATTGCTAGACAGCCCGCTCCCGTCCCAAATTAAACCTGTTACCGACCGCTCCCGCGATTTATTCGGAAATTTATTCCCGCGCCGCAGAAATCTGGTCAGGTCCTGCGGCACCCGCGGGACAGCCGCGGAAATGCAGACCTCTACTGCGAATCATACATTCAGTTTTAATTCTTATGAAGTTATTAAGTCTAAGTGCCTGAGTTCTGTTAACTCTGTTACATTGCTTATAAAAAGGCATAATAATATGTAAAGTGCTAATAGAAAAATTATTTGCATATGATTTGCACCAACTTCTTTTGATCTCTTACTAATGCTCACATACAGTTGACAAGACTCTGAAACTGGTGTGTGTGAGTTGCATGATGGGGTATGTAGTCCAGTTCAGTTCAGATGTGTAGTAGCGTGAATAATAGTGAATTCTCCAGTGATCTGCAAGGGTTAGCTCGCCGGTAATCAAGACAATATCCAGGGGTGCTGATGGCCGGTTCAAGGCCTATGACAGAAATGTTTTGGTGTTTGGTGGCCCATCTGGTGGTTTGGTTTCAGACAAAATTGTGGTTTCAGACAAAATTCATGGAAAATGCTTTATAAACCCGCAATTCTACAACGAGTCCTGTATTTTGCACACTTGTTTACAATAATATACTCTGGAAAATGTTAAAGAAAGGTGCAGGTATTAGTTGCTCTTTTGGTCGCTCTGCAGGAGTTGGTGGCGTTGGGTCTCAGTAACACCATTGGTGGATTCTTTCAGTGCTACGCCGTCACTTCCTCAATGTCTCGCAGTCTCATTCAGGAGAGCACAGGGGGAAAAACACAGGTAATAATCCCATACTGAATTTAAAAAATTACCCCAATTTTTTCACTTTTGCATAAATAAATAAAGAGTTCAGATGCAAAAATCTGTAAGTGCCGTCTGAAATTTACCTTTGAAATTTTTACTTTTGGGCCTCACAGTGGTGCAGTGGGTAGCATGATCGCCTCACAGCAAAAAGGTTGCTGGTTTGAGCCTTGGCTGGATCAGTTGGCATTTCTGTGTGGAGTTTGCATGTTCTCCCCGAGTTGGCGTGGGTTTCCTCCGAGTGCGCTGGTTTCCCCCACCAGTCCAATAACATGCAGTATAGCTGCATTTGGTAGGCTAAATTGTTCATGGTGAATGGGTGTGTATGGATGTTTCCCAATGATGGGTTTCAGCTGGAAGTAAAACTGCTGCGTATAACATTTGCTGGATCAGTTGGCGGTTCATTCCGCTGTGGCAACCCTAGATTAATAAAGGGACTAAGCTGAAAAGAAAATGAATAAATGAATTAATTTTTACTTCTATTTTTAAGTTCAGTTATTTTACGTTAAAGGCAATTAAAATAACCCATTCCTTGCACTTAGAGCAAAATCACTTAAACTAAATGTAACAACCTGGAAAAAATTTTTAGACGGCACTTAGAGGTTTTTGCTTCTACACTCTTCAAATACAGTTATGCACAACTGCTATACCCTTGTGTCCTGCAGGTGGCTGGATTAATATCTGCTGTTATTGTGCTCATTACTGTTTTGAAGCTTGGTCCACTTTTTGAGGAACTGCCCACAGTAAGTCATGCGCTCAAGTAAAGGCTGAACAAACATCATTTAACAATTGTCGGTAATAAAATATTTTCAGACACTTTTAATTAATTGGTAACTCTTGGGCCTCGTGTTAGCTTAATTGTGAAGATTTTATTTATTAATAAAATAATAAATAGCAAAATATTGATTAAAATAAATATTTGAAATGAACACGGTGATGCAGTGGCGCAGTAGGTAGTGCTGTCACCTCACAGCAAGAAGATCGACTGGTTCGATCCTTGGCTGGTGCAATCCTCGGCTCAGTTGGCATTTCTGTGTGGAGTTTGCATGCAAGTTTCCTCCAGGTGCTCCGGTTTCCCCCACAGTCCAAAGACATGCGGTACAGGTGAATTGGGTAGGCTAAATTGTCCGTAGTGTATGAGTGTGTGTGAATGTGTGGATGTTTCCCAAAGATGGGTGGTGGCTGGAAGGGCATCCGCTGTGTAAAAATGTGCTGCATAAGTTGGTGGTTCATTCTGCTGTGGCAACCCCGGATTAATAAAGGGACTAAGGCCTCATTTACACTAATGCATTTTAGTTTGAAAACGCATAAGTTTTGCTACGGTTACACCATCCGTTCACACTACGCCAGAGTTTTTGAGCGCCGAAAAGGGAGCGTTTTGGAAACGCTGGAGAGGCCGTTTTCATTCTGAAACGCTGCTGCTCCGTGTGGATGGGGGAAAACTGAGACATCTGAAAACGGAGGCGGGACTGCTGAGATTCGCTACCTGATTGGGGCTTTTGTGTCATTGCGTATCCTTCCCTTATTCGTCAAGCCCCTATCACATGACTATAACACATGGCTTTAACGCTACCGGAAGACAGCAAACCAGCCTTCACTGTAAACAACAACATGGACACAGAAATGGGAGCGTTGTTTGCACTATTGTCTGTTTTAAGTGTCATTGTGCAGTTATTCGTTTGTTACGTTTAGTAACAACTCGATCTCGTCGTCTGTCCACAAAAATACCTCTCTTGCTTTCTTTGCCATCGCGTTCATTGTTCAACCGGCGTTTGTTGACTAACAATAACCAAATGCCGAGCGAGACACATGCTTCCAGTTTATACTAGAACGTGCATGCCCAGAGTGAGTAAATGGTCACGTGATATACGTTTTTGGTGGCGTGGTGTGGACGGAGATATGTTCAGAAGCGCTATGTGAAACGCTAGTGTGGACGCGGATCGTTTTTGATCTAAAACGCTGTTTTAAAACTAAAATGCACTAGTGTAAATGGGGCCTAAGCCGACAATAAAATGAAATGAACACCTAAACAAGTTTGCCAATTGTTCAAACTAAGTATTTATGAGCTGAAACAACACAACGCTTAGGATTTTGTTGGACAACTTGACTGTCTATGTTCAATCTAATTACATTTTGAAACTTTGCTAACTTAACTACTTCATGTTGTCACAATGCAAAGTGATATGTGGAACCCAAAATTTTTTACACTGAAATAAAGCCTGAAATTAAATGAGAAATGCATTGGTATCTAAAATATTTAAATTTAAAGGGCACATAGTTTACTCCTTTTTATGATTTAATATTAATGTTAAGGTTCTTCTGGGTGTGTCAGTTTAGGTGCAGTTCAACACACAGTTCAGATGTTTTTATTATAATGTGTTAAAAAGTGTCATGTTGGGGGCGTTTACACAGTTTGCTGTCTTAGGTGTGTAGGGTCCAGCCAGTTGGTCCAATGACGGTATCCAATGGTGGATGAAGGTTCACTGCATGTTCGGTCTTTCCAGTGCACAATGTTGATTTATATTAAACTTAACTCATATCTGACTCCAATTTTAGTATGAGATGGTTTAGAATATTAATATGTTTATCCTCGTTTTATCTGACTCCAATTATAAAACATTGATAAGATTATTTTGTTTCCTTTCACATTATTTTAGATTATGATTGAATATTCTTTTATTTTGTTATTATACCTTATTTTCATTTACTCAGATTCCGATAGCATCTCGAGTCTTGCACCGGCCGGGTATACAATCTCTTAATACAAGCTTGTCAGTCTTGGTCATTAAACAGAGGCGATTAACCACTCTCCTAAAAAGGCAGAACCCTACTTACTCAATTTAGGAGATTTTTATGTGGTCCCCATGGATCTGTTATCTACTTAATCAAGACAAAGTATTTTAATAATAATCGCGCAGGATTATACTATTGTAGATGAAGGCCTAAATATCCACATTTAAAGTAGTTTCAACAATATTTTGTTGTTCTAAATAGTTGGCCTTTTACAGTCCAAGTATACATGAAATAATGCCAATTTGTTAGTCGGATCTCTAACAACATTGAATAGCGTGCCACGCTGCTTCGTCTAACATGTTTTAGTCCGTTACTAACCTGTACAGTGGCTTGTAGTGCTATGGACAACAACATTTATCAGTGATAATAACACGAGGTTTGAATAGTTCAAAACATAACAATTTATTAGTCAGGTAAATGTATTATGCCAATTCAATCAGTCAATTCATAAACGATCAATACAAAACATCAAATTATCAAAGATAAATCCAAGATTAAAAGATGCATTCCTGACTTTTTACATAACGTGTAAATTTTACATAACGTGGAGCTTAAGCTCCACGTTATGGGCTGATCTGGGTAGGCAGAATCGCGCTGAGTTTTTCTCAACCCTTACCTTAAATAATCCAAAAATTCCCTCAAGGAAGGGGGTGTGAATGTATAACAAAAGACATTCACACTTAGTGTCACACCCCTCACAGTGGTTCAAAAGATGCCTGAAGTTATATATTTATTGTTCTGATTATGTCTATTTCTGAGAGAATGAGACCATTGTACCAATCGCACTGAGACATTTCAAATGATATCAAACATGATAGTTAAAGTCAGTTTGGTTAGTCTAAAACATTGAAACATTGAAATGACCATATGTGTGACTTGGGGGGATGAAGCTGAGTCTCAGCATAGTCAGATGCAAATGCAGCAGGAACTGGTTTTTCCCGCATTCCTCCCTGGTGGGTTGTGAAGTCACCAGTCTCTGTTTTCAGCTCATGTTTTGAATTGTCAAAGATATCAGAATATTTGCAATATTTCAATTCTTACAGGTGCATGTTGCTTCACATGAAAATTAGTTTCGGCTTCCCGCCCAACGTAACAAGGGGGTGGAGTCAAAATCTCTACGCTCTGTGTTTGCAACAGACAGGCTGACAGACAGAGAGAGAGAAGTTAAGCTAAGCTAAGCTAGGATTCAGCCGTACATGTACAACTCGGACACAGATTAAGCAGAGAATACAAAATCATTTGTGTCTTTGTATAGTCTCGGTGTACAATTGCCAAGCTTGTACACCGAGACTGATAACCACATACACTGAATTAACTTTGACTAAGGCACCGAATGTGCAGAAACATGAAGTGTCCCGAATCGTCGCGCCACGCATTCCACAACTCCACACACAGGCCTCCACCAGTGCAAACACAACGGCGCTGCAGCTGCCAAGCTCCGCCGCGTGCACCCCGACAGAAACCCACGCCCAGAACTCCGAAATGCACGGCTCCGCACCACGCAAAAAGAAAAGGGCAATGATTCCGATTACAGCAATAATGTGGAGAATATTGATCTGGTGTTGAGCCCAATGAGCTTTTCATCTAAAAATAGAGCACGGGTGTTCCTTTAGTGATATTGCTTTGTCTCACACGCTGAAAATGGCAGAAGTGAAACAACAAGAAACTGAGGATATGATTGTGACGCGAGACTGTCAATCAATATTGGTGGGCGGGGGGGCCGCTCTCCTACGTAAAGTTGCGGTCGGTCTGTAAACCGCTCCAATTGGTCCACTTTTTTTACGTTGTTAAATTGAAAAAAAAGGACTGTGTGTGTTTATATCACCCCAATATGACGGTCTTACACTATACTTACACACATGTCTGTCCAAACAGCTTGAAAAGTAGAATTTTCACCATAGGTGCCCTTTAAATTTTTTTATTATATCAATCTTATGTAGCAGGTGTAGTAAATATTGCAGTAAAACAGTCCATCTTATGCTACATAAAAACACAGAGCTACATAAAAAAAACTCCAAGAAGAAAACTAAAAACAAGATAGCAATCTACATAAAGTGCATGATGTGTGCAATATTTGTGTTATCAGTGTAAAAAAATTACAAACAAGTGCAGAGGGAATAAAAGTAATTATAATAATCATAAACTGATAAAAATGACAAGCTAATTCAAAATAATAAAACTATAATAATACACAGATAGTTCTAAAAAGACACTTCTTGTTTCAGGCTATAGGCATGCTGCAATTTCAGCCTGGTCTTAGCTGGTCAGGCTGGAAAATGACCAGCCAAATCCAACTTAAACCAGGCTGGTCAAGCTGGTTTTAGCTGGATTTGGCTGGTTTTGGCTGGACTCCCAGCTTGGCTAGGCTGGTCAAGCTGGTTTTAGCTGGTCATCTCCCAGCCTGACCAGCTAAGACCAGGCTGGAAATGGCTGGAGACCAGCCTGGAAGTGGCCAAAACCCTTCTAAAACCAGCCTGGAAGTGGCCAAAACCCCTCTAAAACCAGCCTGGTCGAACAGCTAAAACCAGCCAACCAGCCTAGGCTGGTTTAAGCTGGATTTTTCAGCAGGGTTGACAACTGAAATATCTTTTTAAAAAAGCTAGCTACAATTAAACTTACATTGCATATTCTTAGAATACATGAGCTATTTTTCATAATAGTGGCACCTTATCAAGTTTTTTTAAAGCCCCTAACTATGTGTCCATCATCAGGCTGTCCTGTCCACCATTGTGTTTGTGAATCTGAAAGGGATGTTCATGCAGTGTCGGGATCTTCCAGCTTTGTGGAGGAGCAACAAAGTAGATCTGGTGAGCCTTCTGAATGTGTTTGTGTGGTGTGTGAATGATGTGTGCAGTGGTGTAAAGTAATGAAGTAACTTCTAAAGACACTGCAATTTAATAGTTTTTCACATTGTTTAAAGCAACCTATTATGCAAAAATCACTTTTATAAGGGGTTTAAACACAGTTGTGTGGCATATAGTGTGTGAATATAGCCAGCCACTACTGGTAAAAAGAATTAATTCTTTTTTTATATATATTTATTATAGGTGACCTGATGAAGACCATGTCGGTCGAAACGTCGTGACATTGACATTTAAGATTGTTTGAGAGCTAAAGTGGCAATGTGCTAATTTTCTTTGGATCTTTTGCTACTAATGTTTGTTTTTTGATCAAGCACCTGCCTTCAAGATTGATAGATGTGCGCACATTTCTGTTTTTTAACAAATACTGGATACTCGTAGCTTGTTAGTCAAGGTTCAAAATGCATGACCTGAGCATTAATATAGCACAGCTAGATTTTTTATTGGCCCTTTTTTAGATTTTTAGGTTACCCCGTTTTCACTCCAAGGGTAAACACATTTCTGTTGGGTTAATTATTACCTATAGGTGCATAATATTAATGTAATGTGTTCTCAAATTAAACTAATCTCACATTTTACATGTATAGTCAATGAATGGCAAATAATATATTTACACTTAGAAACACAGGCAGGGTCTATGATGGAAAAACATTCATAGCACAGCACTCACTACTCTTCAGTACTTTTAGAAAGGCTACTTTTATTCATGATTTGAGTAGTATTTAGAACAAATACTTTTGCTCTACTTGTACTACTTTTTTGTGCAAATAATAGTATTTTTTACTTGAGAATGATTTTACACTTCTCTTTCCACCACTGGTCTTGACTATTTCTCTGTCTGCCTGTTTCTCCAGCTGGTGTGGCTGGTCACGTTTCTCTGTACGGTTCTGTTGAATCTGGATCTGGGTCTGGCAGCTTCCATCACATTCACACTGCTCACTGTCATCTTTAGGACTCAGCGGTGGGGGAAAGGCATTCGAAAAAAGATGATTGCTGAAGATTTTATTGAAATAATACCTTTACTTCTTTCTATCTAGTCCCAGGTACTCTTTACTTGGCAGAGTTCCTGACACAGAACTGTACTTAGAAACAGAGTCATATAAGGCGGTGAGACTTTCCTACTGCTCAATGACAGCATTACCACAGTTTTTCTGATTTATTTAATAAATATAATCTAGATTCTACAGTGGAGATCAAATTTAGAGAACAACTTAAATTCTATTATTAAATTACCTTAAATGTTAGCGGTCACTCCTTAGTCCTGTTTCAAGTTTCCTAACAGGAGTAAAAGATTTTTTTAAGCATATTTCATGAGATACATATATTCTGTAGCACAGCATAAAAATGCATACAAGATATTTGAAAAAGAAGACTGATCAAAATTATTGGTGTTAAAGGAAGCACAGTTGTTTAATTTTTTTTTTTTTTTACATTTTTAGTAATATGGACTGTGTCCTGAGTGACCATGCTAATAATGTCACACACCATTGGGTAAAAACACAGCTAGATTAGACAGGAAATGCTTATGTAAAGCTCACAAGGAAAACAAGACTCAGCACTGGATGTGTGTGTGTGATGTATATATAGTCGAAGTAATCAGTCTTCACAAGCTTCAGTTTTGTGTGTGTAATCAAGAGGTCACCTGGAACTGGTGTGTGAGGCCAGTGCATTTGTAGGTCATGGGATTTGTAGGTCATGTGAATGACAGGGAGTTTTTATTGGTACAATGTATCATGGTAGTTAAATTTGCTACCTGCACAAAGTCCTCCACATACTTCTCAATTAAAAGATCCCCTGGACAGAGTCGCATAATCATTATTGCTGAGTCTTGTTTCCCTTGTGAGCATTACGTAAGCATTTCCTGTCTAGTCTAGCTGTGTGTTTGTTTAATGGTTTATGTTTGTTTTGCCATCTGCCTCAACCTCTTCGCATGTGAATATAATTACCCTTTTGAATTTCCATTATACAACCATTTGCTCCTGTACTAACTTTGCCTGCCTGAATAGTCTCATATAAATCTGTGTCTGAACTCAACCCAAGTTGTAACCCATTCATTACAGAAGTATGTTTAAATTACGATGACCAGCTGGAGTGCCCACTAAACTCCTGACTAAAAAGTCATTCTTGCTGTATAATTGCTTCCAATAGTAGCTGCTGACCTGCTTTTTTGTTTGCTTCAAGATTTTATCACATGCACTCAGTGGAGCTAGAGACGTCACATATGCGCATTAAAAGCATTGTATGCACCTCAGCTTGCATGTGCACCCAGTCTGCAGCCAGACCCTTGTCATTGCTTCAGCTTTCTCTTATCACTTTGACAACTTTTAGCCTTATTCTGTTCATACTACATGATAATGAGTGGTAAATACCTTAGTTCATCTATCAACATTATTTCTGCAGGAGTCCTTTAGGATGATGAAAACCACAACTACCAAGGTTCCACACTCGAAATACGCCTTTGTTTGTTGTGAATACACACCTTTTAGTGGTAAAAAAAAGGCATACTGCCCCTTTAATCATGCATCTGATGGTAGTTTTGACAAATCCCGAAAGCTGAAATTTCAGCCAATTAAGCCGATAAGCAGATAAACCAAGTGCAGATAGGCTGATTGTCAAAGGGGTTGAATTTGAGTCCCTTAAAAAGCTTTCTATCTTTGAATGCTGTATTTTCTTTTCATAAATTAAAAACTTTTAGTTGAAGAGTCTTGATAGCATTGTTCTATAGCACACAAGTAAAATTCCTTCAAATATTCATTGAAGAGCACATTAATTCTGAAAATTAAAAAAAGGAAAAGTGTTCATATATTGTGCTCTTATTTGAACTCTATTGGTTTTTATTGTAAAAACGTGCTGGATAAGTTGGCGGTTCATTCCGCTGTGGCGACTTCAGATTATTAAAGGGACTAAGCCGAAAAGAAAATGAGTAAATGAATGAATAAATGGTTTTTATTGTGCTTCTAACCAGGCTAAAGCAATCCCAGGTATCACCATCTTCCGTTCTTCTACAATGATCTACTATGCAAATGCCGAACTCTATCATGAAGCCTTGTTGGAGAAGGTACCACTTTTACACACATGACCTAAAAAATAAGCCACGGCAGATTTCAGCTTGAATTTCTATGCTTGCAGAGTGGAATTAATATTCCGAAGATACTCGAGCTGAAAAAAAGGAAGGAGGAAGAGGAGAAGTCAAAAAAGGGACAAGCGAAGGATCAAGATAAGCAGGTGAGAGAGGAATGCTGGGATACACTTTATTTTAAGGTGTCTTTGTTACAGTGTAACTATTCATATAACTACTGAGTAATATTAATTCATTACATCAACATACTGTATTGTCAGGGCTAGAATGTGGTTAGGCTTAGAGTGTGTTGGATGTATGGACCACCTGGAGAAGAGGGGACCTGCTCTTTCCTCAGTGGAGGGCCGAGGATCACAGTCGAAAACATCACCGACTTTAACATCACCACTGCTGGCCTCGGGGTCGGCGGTAACCAAATTTTCAATAAAAGAGGACAGTCTTCTCTCTCCTCTCCATGCCCTGGTTTTATGCCCTGGCTCACAGCTGGCCCCCAGGCATGCGCAAATATGTGTTTACCCAAGTGAACCTACTCACGCAGTGCAAGGTCAGGGAAGACGAGGAGCAGGTCTTGTTAGTTGCGCCAGGATTTCCGAACTCACACTTCTCGCGACGCCCTCTCCGTGTCGTATTTGCCTGAGAGAGGACCTCCTCTCACAGGGACAGGGCACCATCTGGTACAGATCTCACGCCCACATCTCTGGAACCTCCATTTGTGGTCTATAGACGGAGCGTAAAGACTTAGGTCACCTACCGGGGTTTGTGATTAACACCATCACTCAGGCTAGAGCACCCTAGGCATGCCTACACCCTGAAGTGGAGTCTATTTGCTGATTGGTGTGATTCTCGACAAGAAGAATTTGCCAGATTAACGTTGTGTTATCTTTCCTTCAGGATAAGTTGGAGCTTAGGCTGTCACCCTCCACACTGATGGTTTACATTGCAGCCATCACCGCTCACCATGATGCAGCGGATGGCAGCACGGTCTGGAAGCATAATATAATCCTCCAGTTCCTCAGAGGAGTGTGGCGATTAAATCCATCCCGCCCCTCTCTCTTGCCCTCTTTGAATCACTCTGTAGTAGAGGTCTGCATTCCCGCGGCTGTCCCGCGGGCGCCGCAGGACCCGACCAGATTTCTGCGGCGCGGGAATAAATTTCCGAATAAATCGCGGGAGCGGTCGGTAACGGGTTTAATTTGGGACAGGAGCAGGCTGTCTAGCAATATCGCGGATATTGCTATGCGAATTAGAGAGAGAGAGAGAGCGAGCTTTGCCTGTGTGTGTGCTTGGTGCTTGTGTGTGTGTATGTTAGTGTGCGCGCTCGCGTGAATGAGAGAGAGAGAGTTTTCCCAGATAGCAAAATACACTCGGGCCAGTTCTGGCTAGATTCTCGCCTGCCAGAGACTTACCACTCAGTCCGGCTCCGGCTGCCGGACTCCGGATGCTGGTGGACTCACTGCCCGATTCCGGCCCGAATCAATCGGGCCAGATGCGGCGGCCGTAAGCGAGCCGACGCTGCCGCATCCGCGCCGGAATCGGCCCGAGAGTAATGTGCGCTGCGGCCCGGAGCTGGCGTGACTCAGTATTTATATACCTTTATATAAAACCTTTTGGTATTACATTGGTACTTGATACATGGTATTACAAGCCTTTGAGTTGATATAACAGCAAACGCCTGTGTGTCTGCTTGGTGCTTGTGTGTGTGTTAGTGCGCGCGCGCACGTATGAGAGAGAGAGAGATTTGTCTGTGTGTGTGTGCTTGGTGCTGTGTGTGTGTGTGTTTATACAGACAGCTTGGCAGTCTGGACTGTATAGCTGGGGGATTTTCGGTTTTGTTCTCCCCCGCTTTTAGCGGGATCGGGCGCGGCGGGCAGAAAACGGGGCGGGTCGGGCAGCGGGACAATAAATTCTTAATATAAGCGGGAGCGGTCGGGTTCGGGCTAAAACCTGGTGGGTGCGGGCGGGAGTGGGATTCAAAATTTAGTCCCGCGCAGATCTCTACTGTAGTCCTGGCATGTCTGCAGAGAGATCTGTTTGAACCACTCGGTCTCCTTAAACATTCTGTCCATGTAAAGAAGCACTGCTTCTGCGTGCCTGGAATTTGGGCCGACCTACTCTCACGTTATTTTGAGACCCCGGCCCGGCTATGTGCCTAAGGTTCCTACCACCCCATTTAGAGACCAGGTGGTGAACCTGCAAGTGCTGCCCTCAAGGCAGACCCAGCTCTTTCACTGCTTTGTCCCGTTCATGCTTTACTCCTTTATGTGGAACGTACACAGAATATATGATCATCTGAACAGCTCTTTATCTGTTGTGGTAGTCGACAGAAGGGAAGTGCCTTATCAAAACAGTGGTTGGCACACTGGATAGTAGATGCCAGCACTCTCGCCTATCAGTGCCAAGGTGAGCCGTGTTACCCAGGGGGTGAGAGCAAACTCAACAAGAAGTGTTGTGTCCTCCTGGGCTTTAGCGCCTCTCAGTTTATCATATGTAGCGTTCCCCCGTGGTTAGACCTAGCCCATATGTCCATATTGTCATCAGGTCTCCCCATTTGGGTAGCAGGTGGCCTCCGCAGCATACTCCCCCTTGGTGGACTGGCACGCTTTTTCCAACGTACTGTTGTATTTAAAAAATCCCTTGACTACAAGACCCCGAGCTAAATCCTTTCTAAATTATTCCCATGTAATGGTAATTTAAGAGGCTTGGGGACATTGGAAGGTTGCGCCCTTGGTGATGCTTGTGCACTGACAGTATGCTTGGCAAAATTCACATCAGAGGCGTGGCGGGCTTAGCTGCTGTGCCGTTTTCCATACACTCTCCCATAGAGTCTTTCCAGACACACGTCAGAGTTCCCACTGAAGTGGAATGTCTCGGTTACTAGCATAACCCACGTTCCCTGAAGAAGGAAAGGAGAAGAGTGTCTATGATGCCACAACAGCTGGGCTTTGATAGCTGAGTGATCAGCTCCTCAGTAGGTAACTGCTCACTCCACGTGCTGCAGTTATATACTCTACTAATGATTAATCACCGGCACGATCTCTGCCAACTCACTGGCAATTTTTTAAATTGCAATTCATGATTGCTAATGAAGGGCGATGCGATGGTGCAGTAGGTAGTGCTGTCACCCTACAGCAAAGGTCGCTTGTTTGAGCTTCGGCTGGGTCAGTTGGCTTTTCTTTGTGGAGTTTGCATGTTCTCCCCTTGTTCGTGTGGGTCTCCTCTGAGTGCTCCGGTTTCCCCCACAGTCCAAAGACATGCAGTACAGGTAAATTGGGTGGGCTAAAGCCTGGTTTATACTTCTGCGTCAAGTGACCGGCGTGACCCACGGCGCATGCAACGCGCATAGCTGTGCATTTATACTTCTGCCCACTGTCTCTGTTGGTCTGAATTAACACTTGCGAAACGCTAGTGGGCAGTGAGGTGTAAATGTTCCTCTGTGTCGAGTTTCTTCTCTGCTTTTTTGCTTTTCCTGAACACTTCCTGGATGTACAAGTGGCTCAAACTCGCTCATTTTGAGGCAGGAACCGGCAGACGTGCAACAACTTTTAACTATGAGGTAAACACAAAACAAATCTTTCCATCCGGAGCTCCTTCACGGGACTCCACACTTGTAAACCATTGCTCCATTGGGCTTGCGTCCAGCTCGCGCCATTCGCGCGGCTCTCGGTCCCGCCCAGACTCGTCAGCGCTACCAAGCCGACCAATAACAGAGCTTGCGCTACGCATCGTTGCGAAGTGTAGTTACAATTTTTGAGAGGTGCACGTCAGTGACACCGACGGCTACAGCGAATGGCTATGCGTCAGCGCCGTAGCTTACGCCGGCGTTTGACGCAGAAGTATAAATCAGCCTTAAATTGTCAAAAGTGTATCTTTGTAAATGAGAGTGTATGGATGTTTCCCAGTTGGAGGGGCATCCGCTGCATAAAACATATGCTGGATAAGTTGGCGGTTAATTCTGCTGTGGTGACCTCAAACATTAATAGCGGGACTAACTAAAAAAAAAATGAATGAATGATGAATGATTGCTAGAGACAAATAGAAAGTAACTTTGTGTGGTTCATTTTGTAGTGTTAGTTCTTTGTAATGCAGTTATTTATTATATTTCATGGATGTGTTTCTTGTTTATAGACTGGAGTTTTGAGAGAGTTATTGAACAGGATGCTGGTCTCTCTGCACCACCATGAAACTGACCACGAACACATTGTCAATGACACCAGCATAGCAACAGTAACCCAGGGTAACACGAACTGCAGTTTCCAGTCAGAGCAGGTTACAGAGGAGCAGGAATGGGGCAAAACAAACACACACTCCTCCAGCTGCGAACAGACACACTCCATCATCCTAGACTTCAGTTCTGTCAGCTTCATCGACACAGTCACCCTCAAAACAATCCAGAATGTAAGTCAAACCAGATTAATTTATACAGAAAAAATAATGAAAAATGTCACATCATGTGAAAAAAGTTTGTGACCCGCAACATGCATCTGAAGTAGACGGGAAGGAATTAATTGATCATTTTAAATGAAGATCAATGATTCAGAGATTTTTGATTGTGAGACTAGTTTTTAACAGCAGGTGGTGCTGTACGCTTTCCAAATATTAATGGGGCATTTACACACAAACTTTTAATTTCAGTCAGCCAATCCCAGGGCTTCCGGTTAATTGTCACCCTATACAAAATCGCTTTGTTTAAGATCTAATTTCTTTAAAAAAAAAAAAAAAAAAAAAAAAACAGCTGCCTGGCTGAGATATGGTATTCACCTTATTCTTTGCCGACGAGCAGGCACAGCCACTTGAATCTTTTGGCTCGAGATTTCCGGTCTCATTCACTTCCATTAATTTTTAGACATTAAAAACTGCTCGTTTCGCTGTTTGATGTTGCAAACTGATATTTTCTTATTATATTATTCTACTTAGTCTGTATAGTAATGCAAACATTTGTTTGTAGAGCAAGTAGTTTGACCGATTTCTGCTGTTTATTATTCCGAGTCATTTCTCCCATAGGTGACTGAATCGGAAGTTCTAAAACAATCGTGAAAACAGGCGCACTTCCGCATTTAGAATAGGGTTAATAAAGTGGGTATCAGACTCAAGAAGAAGCACTGCAGTCAATTATATTTTTCCGCGTTATGTATTTAAATATAGAAATAAATTTTACCCCAGTTTTTTCAATGGACTTTCTGGGCTAGCCTGCTGCTGCTGCGGTGTTTAAACGTTCTTTCATCTCTTTTTACGCTGTAACAACCAAATGGATGCTTATTTCTATTTAACTGAATGTTTTGTTATCCGCTTGTTAAGTGTGACGTCAAACAAAGCGGCTTCCGGGTCCAAGCGCTCTATTCAACTAAATGGGGAGATTTATGAAATGGTAATAATAAACGTTTACAAAGCGATTTAATACTTTCGAAAATCACGATCACAATATATATGTCCATGTCTAATATCCGATTACCAGAAAGTGATTCATTGTTTTATAAATTGTTAAAATTTAGGTATTTATTATGCAGCAAGCCCAGAGATTGTGGTGTACACTATGACTTTATATAAAATTAACTTTAATGTGTGATAGGAATAAAACGTGACCATAAACAAATGATTTCTCCACTCAAATGAATGGCGGATTGGACCCGGAAACAGTATTACATATGTCACAAATTCGTCACCACTTAACAAGCGGATAACATTACAACATCAATGCTGTAACAGTAACCTTATGAGATTAAAAATAGTCACATTAACCTCTTACTGGAAGTTCATCATTGGCAGAAAATCACTAGCTGTACATAGCCTATTCCTTATAAATACCACTTGAATCTGCTAGGGATGCACTGAAAGGAAAATTCTGGAGCGAAACGTTTGGGTGACCTTGGCCAAAAACATATTTGCATTAAGTATTTATTATATTCTTGTAAGAGTTTTCCTCAATTTAATTCAATGGCTAACTTCTATTATACTGAATAAAACAAAACACACACGCACAGGCCTAAAAAATAACCACATTGGGGACCAGGACCACAAAACCCACTTTTGGCTCATATTTTTAGCATGTTTCTCTCTTTTGGCCGATAACTGAAAATAGCATTTTGACAATTTTTAAAAATTAAGTGCATCCCTAAAAATAATGAGTTTAGGAAAGTCTAAAGTAAATTATAAGGGTTAATAGTGATCTTTGTTTACATTAATCTTGTGACATAAAAGCCAATTTACATGACTCCACCGAACCCACAAGCACTCTTCCCTTGAGAGTTTGAGTGAATGGGGTTAAAACTAAACTAGAGCGCCATCTGCTGTTAAAACTAGCCAAGAATATTAATTCAAGGCAGAACAGCAAGACATTTTTGATCCATAGCTCTATTTATTTTCTCATCATAAGGATAATTATGTTGATAAAGACATTTAAAATTAGTTACATTAATTGTGCTGGTTTTGCGTAAAACATATATGCCTTGTAGTTGGTGGTTCATTCTGCTGTGGCGATATAGATAAATCAGGGACTAAGCCGAAGGAAAATGAATGAATGAATAGTTCTGAACGCTGCTTTTCTTACTCTTTCACTGTATCATGTTGAAATATATTCAAGATAAAATATACATTTTATTGTAACTGCAGTTTGGATTACTTTAATAGTTGGATACTTTTAGCATTTGATCATATGTTGGATCTCTATTATTAATTCAGTTTCAGTTCTAAAGCAGAGATGACAATTTTAATAGAAATGAAAATAATGCTTGTTTATTTTTTTTCTCTTCTAGATATGTCGAGATTATGCCAAGGTAGATGTCACTGTTTACATTTCTGGATGTCAAGGTGGGTAAAACTGAGATAAACCCCTAAATAAAGCATAAACATCTGCAGGCTATATAAAATAGCAATCAATGCAAGTGGCAGTTTCTCTTGGGGGTATAAAAAATCACCAGAGAACATTTATCATAAGCAAAGAAGTATAAATCAGACTGAACTTGGCTACACTGTAAACTATAATACCATGAAGCCTTATTAATGAAATAATCAAATTAAATATGATGAAAAAAAATGTTAGTTGTATCTAGACAGCATATTCCAAGTTAATTACAAATTGTGTGTGTATACAGTAGGTTTTTGAGAGTGGACACCAACTAGATCACTATTCATGGTGCTTTATATAACGGGTGGAGCTAAATGTCTGTTTAGGCTCTGTTTTTATCTTGCTCTCTGAAATATCATTAATGTGACCTCACTTTACCTGTGTGTGCCTGTAGCGTGTGTGGTCCAGCAGCTGGAGCGAGGTGGATTCTTTTCAGGGTCAGTCTCAAAAAGACGACTTTTCCCTTCTATCCATGATGCGGTGCTGCACTGCCTGTCTAACAGAGATCTGTCCAGCTCTGAATCAGCACTGGTGAGACCGTCTGTAAATACACTACACATCAACAGTCAAACTATTTATCTCTTTCTTCTCACATTCATACAAACTGTTGTTCTGTTACAGGAATCGCCCTGCATCACAAGGCTGTGACCAGTAGATGTCAGTCTGAAGATTCTGTTTTAGTTTCTAATGACACTATGCTCTTGGATATTGTTATACCACAAAAAAACCCATTAGTCATTTTCAGATGTACTGACAAATCTCAGTGTCAGACGTCATGCCCTTGGACCCCCAGTTGCATGTCTGTCATAAGACATACAAGATAAGAAACACTTCAGGAACTGACATACTTGCTTACAATGTTTATTCACATTATGGTAGTCGGCAGAAGGGAAGTGCCGTATCAAAACAGTGGTTGGCGCACAGGATAGTAGATGTCAGCGCCCTCGCCTATCAGTGCCAAGGTGAACCGTGTTACCCAAGGGGTGAGAGCAAACTCAACAAGAAGTGTTGTGTCCTCCTGGGCTTTAGCACCTCTCAGTTTATCATATGTAGCGTTCCCCCCTCTGGTTAGGGCTAGCCCATATGTCCATATTGCCATCAGGTCTCCCCATTTGCGTAGCAGGTGGCCTTCGCAGGCTTACAGAACTCTTGGTGAACTCTTGATGCCTATTAAAATGAATAAATTAGATAAGACACATTATTATAACATTAACCACATCTTGTGGTTAATGTTAAGAAACTTCTGAATATTTTTATATATTGTCATATAATAATAATTATTGTTATTATTATATAAATATAAATATAATAATAATAGACATGGCGGCTCAGTGGTTAGTACTGTCACCTCACAGCAAGAAGGCCGCTGGTTCGAGTTTGCATGTTCTCCCCATGTTTGTGTGGGTTTCCTCCAGGTGTTCCAGTTTCCCCCACAGTCCAAAGACATGTGAAATAGGTCAATTGAATAAACTAAATTGGCCGTGGTGTATGTGTGTGAGTGTGAGAGTGTATTGGGTGTTTCCCATTACTGGGTTGCGGCTGGAAGGGCATCCACTGTGTAAAACACATGCTGGATAAGTTGGCGGTTCATTCCGCTGTGGTTACCCCTGGTGAATAGGGGGTGAAAGAGCTAGTTTAGCTGCTGAGCTGTATTATAAAAGGATCTCTGTCAAGGTTGGTTTTGGCAAGCTGTTATGTAAAATAGCATGTAAAAAAAAATTAAAGGGACAAACTCTATGAAATTTATTTTACTTATTCAGTAGTGTCTTTATTATTATTAATATATATATATATATATATATATATATATATATATATATATATATATATATATATATATATATATATATATATATATATATATATATATATATATATATTCTAAATACATGATGTGTATTTGATGTGTTGAAATTTAATACTTTAACGTTATTTTCATTTTCTAAATGCAATATTTCTGGTTAGTGAAATTAATGGGAGGGTGGATCAATTATGGGCAAGTACATGCAGAATTATTTTTCATTTAGGCCCTGGATTTTTATTTTGATACATCACCAGCTGTGTTGTGGTGGCAATATTAAACATAAGTTTTAGTATGTTTAGCAACACACCCTACCCTTTGGCCTACAAAACAACTGCTACGCTGTTTGTTTTAACAAAACAACTGCTACGCTAATTTAGTGCACATAAACATGCTTGTTTTGATGTTGAAGTAGTGTTAACTATTTATTTAAGACATTATATATTGAAGATGATGTGATATCTGATGATTGCATATTTTTCTTATATTCCAGCGTTGCTTACCATATAGTGCCACAAATCCAAACAATACAAACATGTTAATCATAACAATGGATGACATCAAGCACAATAATAACACGTAAAATTAATAATAATAAAAATAATAAAATAAGATAATAAAAACAGAGCCAAATAATCAAATTAAATAATATTTACAAAGTCCTTATAAAATTTCAGTTTTAACAGTTTTTGCTGTAAACATTTTGTAAAGTAGTAATAAAACTATTTAAATTTCTGCAATTTAGGTAGTGATGAAGAAAATTTAGATTCGTGAACATAATATTTACACAGTAAAATGAATAAATTACCTATAAAATCTATGTTATGTTTGTCAAGAGAAAAGTAACAAATTATATCACACATGGAAAAAGTCATGTTAAACTTACATTTTGATGAAAAATAGATGGATAAATCAAACTAAAACACATTCACATGTGGGCATTTGACAAAAAGATGATTAATCGATCTGAATGAATGAGTTAGGATTACCGAATTTAGATACAATCTCATTTGTTGGGTAGATGTAAATGTAATTCTTTAATTTTGTTAGGAACACACCATTTTTAAGGTAAAAGACAATTTTTTTTTGCAATTAATTTTATCTATTAGAGAATTCCGAAGAAATTTTCCCTTTGGAGTGATTTTTTTGTGCGGGGAGAAATTGTGAACGAAACATAGCCAAAGAGCCTAATCGTGAAATTTAGAAAATTTTATAGAGAGTTTGGATGGAGAAAAATTACAAGTTAACAAAAAATTTGAGACCTCCGATCTTTTTATATAAATATGTGAGATAAAGTACCAAATCAAATCTTTTGCTTTTATTAATTTTAGGAAGAAAATTTAGCTCTAGTCATGAAGAACTGTTTTTAGAAATATGAATACCAAGATATTTAATATTTTCTTTAATAAGAATATTTACTGCCGTTGTCATTCTACAGATTTTGTCTAAAGATTTTGGCCCTGATGACGTTCCATATTTTGTCCGAGCTGGCTTTCCATACTCTGCGTTGTATCCCACAAGTCCCACCCTAGGTTCGTGTTTCGAAACATCAAGGAAAACTCGAAACTACTGGAAAGAAAATTGTTGGTGCCGTTAGACCTCAAGGTGATTAAAAACTCACTCCACCCGCTTAAAGCATGTAAAAACTTGACTCTCGGAGGTTGACTTACTTTTCTCTCAGTTTTAACCAAATCAAGTGACAATTACAGAAGACGACGCACAATCAACAAGATTTTTTTCTGAATAGAATTTGTGGAGTTCCCTCATATAGTCATTGAAACCATCTTTTTAAAAGCGTAACGTGAATACTGCCGAAGCACTCGAACAGCTAATATGGATTCACTCTCTGTAAAGGAAATTTCTTGTCCAATATGCTGTGAAATCTTCAAGTCGCCAATTCTTCTGTCATGCAGTCACAGTTTCTGCAAAGAGTGTATTCAACAGTTCTGGAGAACCAAGATTTCTCGGGAATGTCCCGTGTGCAGGAGAAGATCCTCAAAAGACGATCCTCCGAGTAATCTCGTGTTAAAAAACCTGTGCGAGTTGTTCGAGAGGGGCAGAAGTCATGAGAGCTGTTCTTCATCCGGGACCGAGGAATTCTGCGGTTTACATAATGAGAGACTCAAACTCTTCTGTCTGGAGGATAAACAGCCTGCGTGTTTAGTGTGCAGAGATTCAGAGAAGCACGTCAGGCACACATTCAGACCCATCTGTGAAGTCATTTCATCATGTAAGGTAAGGTTTCATATATTCACATGTCTTTCTCTTGTATTGGAGCTACTTCATATATGTACACCATCATAGCACTGTATTTTCTGTATAAAGCCTATACATAGCCTGTGTGTGTGTGTGTGTGTGTGTGTGTGTGTGTGTGTGTGTGTGTGTATAATATATATATATATATATATTATTTGTATTTATTATTTTTTTAATATTAGGTGGAGTTGGGCTTTTTACAAGAGAAGCTTAAACACAGAAAGAAGATTAAAGTACAATGTGAAAAAACACTTCAACACATCAAGGTGAGGAAACAGAATAAGAAAGTCAAAAGATCTTCTTTGGATATGTGAAGGATGTATTTCTGCATTTTTGATTTATAATATTCATATACCATTAACAGATTCGAGTTTATTATGGTTTACCTTAGGGTTGTGGCTAGACTCCGTGTACCCCAGTAAAAATCTAATATAAAAGCTTTGGGTTATAGGATTGATTTCTGTTATTTATCTAGCTATCATTCTAATGCTTTTACAGATGTGGGCAATGAATACAAAGGGTTCACTTAAAACAAAGGGAAACTAAAGAAAGGGGATAAAAGTAGGGGTAGATCTTTATTGCTAGCAACATCTCTGGTTAAGATTCTGTTTAGTGTGTTGTAAAATAACAACCAACAATCAGCTTCTGGTTCATTAACCCCATCTACATGGTCCCTTTAAAGCAGGAGTGCCCAAACTAGGTCCTGGAAGGCCTGTGTCCAGCAGATTTTTGCTCCATCTTGCCTAAACACCTTCATTAGTTGCATCAGTTGTGTTTAATCAGGGTTGGAACAAAACTGTGCAGAGCTGCGGCCCTCCAGGATCTGAGTTTGAGACATATGGTTATGTAACGGAGGCCAGCTAGTAAGTGCTTTGCAGGTAAACCTCACATCTCTGACCTCTAAAGGTGCTCTAGTGACAGACGCTATAAGCCATGGTTTTTAGCCTCCTTGTTAGAGCAACCGACTCTCATGCGGGAGATCGCCGATTTGATACCAGCTCGGAGTGGGTTGGGGGGCGTAGGACCGGCGAGGTTACATTTGTGCTGTGACCTGGATGGGAGTGAGGTTTAGGGGGGTGAGTCTAATAGAGGCCAGCTAGTAAGTGCTGTGCAGGTAAACCCCACTCCTCTGACATCTAAAGGTGCTCTAGCACCAGACGCTAGGGGCCATGGTCTTTAGCCTCTTTGTTAGAGCAATCCCATTTGGAAGATCCCGGTTCGATACCAGCTCGGAGCGGGTTGGGTGGCGTAGGACCGACGGGGTTACACTTTAAAGGGATAGTTCACCCAAAAATGAACGTTTACTCACTATTAACTCACCCTGAAGTGGTTTCAAACCTTTTTGAGTTTCTTATTTCTGTTTAATCCAACATGAGATATTTTGAAGCAAGCTGAAAGCCCTAACCATTGACATTCACAATAGGAAAAACAAATATAGAAATCAGTGGTTGACAGTTTACAACATTTTTCAAATTGCATTTCTTTTGTGTTCAACAGATGGAAGAATTTTTTTGGGGGTTGAACTATACCTTAAACTTAATGTTTATATTAAGTTAATATAGGGTCGCATTGCAAAAAAAGCCTTTAGCATGCTGAAGTGTGAATTGTCATTTCTACTGATTCAAGTATGTAATCTATATGTAAATACATTTGTAATGACACATTTGTAAACTTGTTTTTTTGTTTGTAATGTATTTCAGTTGAACTATATTACTTTTCTGTTCAATCCTGTTTATAGTCTATTGATGTGTGCTTTTATTGAAGATGATTGAAGTGAATGTAATGTGATTTCAGTCTCAGGCCGAGCACACAGAGTGCCAGATTAAATTAAAGTTCGAGAAGCTTCATCAGTTTCTCCGAGATGAAGAGGAAATTGCAATGACTTCACTGAGAGAAGAAAAGGAGCAGAAGAACCAGAGGATGAAGGAGAAGCTTGAGGAGATAAACGAACACATCTCAGCTCTTTCACACACTATCAGAGACATGGAGGAGATGATGAATGCCAATGAAGTCTTGTTTCTAAAGGTCTCGTTTCACATAATTAATTCATATTAATTATATTTAGTATATTATATTAGTTATATACTAAATTGTCTCTTTGCTCTGCAGAATTTTTCAGTCACAATGGAAAGGTGAGTGATCTGCTGGTGTCTCATGTCTCTGTTGTTCTGAAGCTCAAACTCATCACAGTTGTGATTCCTGAATGTTTTGCTAGGGTTCAGAGTTCACTGTCTGATCCACAAATGACTCCTGGATCTTTGATTCATGTGGCGCGACACTTGGGCAACCTGCCATTCAGAGTCTGGAAGAAGATGCAAGACATTGTTCACAACAGTGAGTTTTTAGAGCCGTAACATCCCTCATGTATGAACAGCAACGTTTTGGGGTGTAACGATGCACAAAGTTCACGATTCGGTGCGTACTTTGTTTTTTAAGCCACAGTTTGGTTTAATTTTTGTATGTTTAGGGAGAAGAATTGATAGCTGAATTAATAAAAGCTTTCCTTTGTTCTATGGTTAAAGTAAAAATTATTAACACCTGCTGTAAATAACATTTTTTCAAATATTTCCCAATTATGTTTAACGAAGCAAGATTTTTTTCACAGTATTGTCTATATTTTTTCTTCTGGTAAAAGTCTTATTTGTTTTATTTAGGCAAAAAAAAAAACTATTTTTCAATTTTTAAATACAATTTTAAGGTCATTATTATTAGCCTTTTTAAGCATTTTATTTTCTGATTGTCTACAGAACAATCAATCATTATACGATGGTTTCTCTAATTAATCTAGTAAAGCCTTTAAATTGCACAATAAGCTGAAAAGTAGTATATTGAAAATTATCTAATAAAATATTATTTACTGTCATCATGGCAAAGATAAAAGAAATCGGTTATTACTAATTAGTTATTAAAACTGTTATGAAAAAAACTTCTTTCTGTTAAATAGAAATTGAGGGGAAACATAGAAGGGGGCGAATAATTCAGGAGAGCTAATAATAGCTTCAACTGTATGCTTTTGAGATTGGACAATATTTGGCTGACATAAAATGGTTTGAAAATCAGAGGGTTCAAAAAAATCTAAATACGAATATAAATCAAACTACTAAATATGACTGAATATGGATTTTGATATATTAACAGTAGAAAATAAACAAAATATATTTATGGCAACATGATCTTATATTCTAATGATGTTTGGCGTAAACATTTTTGACTCAGTATCCTCCTGAGACTCCGCCCTTTGACTTGTGTCCTCTGTAGTGGACATTGCGTTTTCATTAATTGTCTTTGAATTTTTTGAGCTACTCTGTCAAGTCCTGTTGCACTGTTCAGAGGACATCATGGGCTTTTTAGTGATATGTCATTTGATTGGCTGGCATGCTAGGAACCACTTCTTACACTGCATCCAAAATGGCCGACATACAAAAAAAAAAGCACATTTTATGGGAAGGAGAGAGGTATGTAAAATTGAGCTTTTTAAATGTTTTTACTATTATTATTACATTTATATTTGTTTATTAAAGTGTCAGGAACAAAACATTTAGCTTTCAGAGCTATTAACTTGTTTGTGTTTCAAAATATCATCCTTTTTTAAATGTCCACTATAGTGGACACCAGGACCATCTTAATGTAATTAATGACTGCATGTGGCAGAGAGGATTCTTTATAAAATAGTTGAGGGAAACTCTGATTTAAAGTTTATCAGAGAATTAGAGACAATTAGAGCCTGACAATCAGTTTTAAATTGCTTTCATGTTAAATTTGTTTTGGATTAACATCACTTTTTTTTGTTTTGTTTTTTTGAGTTCGGCTTTCTTTCAGACGAAGCTGTTTCAGGAATTATAATACAAAAGGAAAAAATGGCTTTTGTTTTGTTTTTGTTACATTAATATTGGATTAATATCCCTTTACAGCCATATCCTGTACAGATTTGTTGTCTGAGTGGCGGTCATTTCAAGCTAAAATTGGTCCTGTGGTCCACTACAGTGGACATGCTGTAAAATTAAAAATAAAAACAAAATGTAAAAACTTTTAACCCAAAGGATGTAGGAAATCACAGAGAAAAAAAATAGAATTCTTCTGGTCATCAGGAGGATGTATTACTAGTCCAGCATAAGACCATCCAGGGTTCTATTTGTGAACACTGTGAACAGTAGAATAAAACAGAATTTCACCTATTACAAAAAGTAATTCTAAATTATACAAACCAATGGTGAAACTGAATTCTCCTCTAATGTACTGTAAATAAAAATACATACATGGAGTCAGTATGGACCTTCTTGGTGAAAAAGACATGTTTTGCCATATAAAAAAATGTATATGATAATTTTCATTCCTACACTGTTCTACTGAGAGAAAAAAGTGACCTATATACGGGTGAGCAAATTAACTGGAAATCTGCATTTTTTGCTATCCATTTAAGATTATCCATAAGCTGGAATGCTATAAAACAGGGGTCACCAATCTCAGTCCTGTAGGGCCGGTGTCCCTGCAGGGTTTAGCTCCAACTTACCTCAACACACCTGCCCATAGATATTTACATTAGATGTCGCCTACCCTATTGTTGTCTATTGGACGGAATGCGTCAATAGCGCCGCCATCTTGCTACAGGGTAGCGCTCCTTTGAAATGAATGTGGGACCAAGGTACAGTGGAGGACTGTGGCCATCCAAAGCCAGAGATATACACATATACACATATATCTGTGATCGGGAGTTTTCCTGGATGTTAGTATGTAATTTTTTTTTCTAATTACGAAAATTATAATTTTACATCACTTCTACATTGATGGATCAGTGACCGCACGGGCATTCCTGACAAGAAGCTTGTGTTTTTGTGTACAGACATGTACTATTCACCCATTCTGTTAAATTTCATCTAATCCGTGTCCTGAAACACACCTCCTCTCCTGCTTTCACTTCTCATACTGACGGAGGGAGCAATTCGTTTGTGAATGAATCCCCCGAACGACTCTTTCACTGACGTTAGCCGACAATAATACAAGTTTCTGGCAGCGCAGCATCTCGTTGTCATATTTCTTTTGCATTGTTTGCTGATTTTATTAAACAAAACTAGCATAAGCCGAGTGTTTAGTGTGAGTTGGCGCTACTTTGCCTTATGGTGAATGCAGTAAGTGACTGTTATCATCAATAACGTTACCTGATTAGCACAAAAGTTCAGAACATACAAAAACAGAAGAAAAAAACTTAACATTACCTATGAAATGTTCTGCCTTTGTGCTTTGTTTTCTTTGTTTGCTTGTTACTACACCCGTAGACAGCGCTAAAGTCCCGCATCTTCACGTAATAACACTGTCTTGACTAGTGCGGTTTAATGACATTTGTCCTGGGATCACTGTACCAATGTGGCGGCGCTATTGACGCATGCTCAGGGTCCCTATGCGATATCTAGTGTATATATCTATGGTGTTTGATTAGGGTTGCAGCTAAAATCTGCAGGACACCGGCCCTCCAGGAACAAGTGTGGTGACCCCTGCTCTAAAACAATGATATTAGCTCTTCCTCAGTGCTCATGGTCAATGATGATTGCATAAATATTGTGTCTCGCCAGCTCCTGTGATCCTGGATCCAAACACAGCTCATCCAGATCTCCTCTTGTCTGATGATCTGACCAGTCTGAGATGCAGCACTGAAAGTGGAGATCTTCCCGATAATCCAGAGAGGTTTGATGAGCATTCGTGTGTTCTGGGCTCTGAGGGCTTTAACTCAGGAACACACTGCTGGGATGTGGAGGTGAAGGAGAGCTCGTCCTGGGGTCTGGGAGTGACTACTGCCTCAAACCAGAGAAAGGGTTGTGATTTCTTTGACTCGGGTGTGTGGAGTGTGCAGTACAGACTGTTTGAAGAGTCTGGTTTTCCAGTTGGGCAGAAGCTGGAGCGGGTGAGGGTACAGCTGGACTATGACAAAGGAAGGGTGTCATTCTCTGACCCTGTAACTAACACACATATACACACATTCACAACCACCTTCACCGAGACAGTCTTTCCATTCTTATACAGCTTTACTTATCTCTGGATCTTACCCAATTCCTTGTAAAAAATAATACCTATGAACAGTAGTGTGTTTACTGTAGATCCTGCCATAAACCGCTGTTCATAATTACCTATTATGCTTTGCATGTATGCATTAATAGGATGCTCCAAACTTGATTCGTATATAGTCACGCTTGGACAGCTTTGAATTGATAGTTTTAATCTATTCTTCTTGCTTTTAACGTCTTTGAACTAATACTGCTGTTGACCAGCACCACATTCTGGAGTATCACTATCTCTAAAGTCAGGGCCGGAGTGGGACTCAATTTAAGCCCTGGAGTTTCAAGACAGACCGGCCCACCTCAGTTCACGACTGATTCCAATTCAGTTTCTAATGACACTATCACGTCTTTTTCAAGAAAACAGCTGCTTTAGAAATTCAACTGTCCAACAGCCCTAACAGTATTATATCTTAAAGGGCCATGAAACCCCCTCGTTTCAGCAGGGTGTTTTCACACCTCTACTTTCGAAAAAGTCAGAAAAGTGGGCGTGTCCAGCTCTGTTTAGGGGGGAGTGTCGGAGGAACTAAAGTGGGATGGTGTGGGAGTGTCTATTTGTGCACGCGCGAGTTTCAGAGTCAAAATACACACCCACACAGACAGGAGAAAGCGATGGTGTTTAACCTACATGGACATCTGTAGTCGAATTATTTGCTGAATTAATAAATGTTGGACTTTAACTGCAGTTTGGCTCTTTCATTCAGGGAATTCATTCATGCCTCTCGCGACAAACGAGATATTTGATTCGAGGATCTGCTCCAAGCGTTAATTTTTCATGCAATGTTTGATACCGCACGGCGAATGAGAGAAAAAAAAAAACTCCGCATTTCCCGGAAACTTAGATGCACACGGCAGGTAGCGTCAGAAAGCCGCGTGTGTTATTCCGGTCACTAAATGCGGTGCTAACATTTCTGCACTCAGTGCTATAGTTAACTTAATTCGATATGAACAAACTGAATAAACAAATAGCACTGGTCGCTCACTTACCAAATCTGTAGAGACAGGACAATCACCAGCAACTAGAGCCGCGTCTTTATGGAGAGAATACTACAAGCAAATCCAGATTTCAGCGTTTGCAGATGAGAACAGCTCTCAGGTAAACAATGTTCCTCCTTAGACACGTAAGTTATTGTTGTCGAGCGTCGCTTACACTGTTAATCCACACGTGATCCAGATAAGCTCTCACAGACAGAAAATGAAAACGAAACTTAACGCCTGCAAACTATAAAAGCAACACTTCACGCTTGTTTTGCCAACACAACGTGGCGTCTTTGTGGTGTAAACACGGTGACACAAATGAATATTATTGAAGTTGCACAATAGAGCGCGCTGATTGGTTTGAACCAAGCCTTACTCATGCATTAATGCATCACACTGTAAGACGTAATAAGACTCACTCTGGCACAGACGCCCAGTCTGCACGCTGGAATACAACGCTATTATGTCATGGCCGTGACGCAGCTTCAAAAATTCGTTTCAAACAGGAAGTACGAATTTGCTTGAAATAACGCAAAAACAACCAATTTACACTTTTTAGTGAAATATAGGTGTCCTAATAGTGTTTTTAGCAGTGTGGGACACATATACGACTGTCAACAGCTCAAAAAATGTGTTTTGGTGTTTCGTGACCCTTTAACAATAAAAATGAAAACAAAAAAAAATAGTTTTTCAGGTGACATTCGAACACGGGTCCGCGGCATTATTACATAACGTGCTTACCACTGGTCCACAGTGGTGCTATTGCAATGGGAATAAAAAATAAGTAATGACCCTTAAGACACAGCATTACTTTCTTTTGATGGCTTAATCTTTTTCTCCCCTTTTTAGAAGTTGTCAGATTTATTAATGTAGTGAATCATCAGATTTTCATTGAGCAGATGTATTATTCATTAATATTAATTATTCGAATTCTTATATTCACTAAGGTGCCGCTGTTTGGGGTCGATCGTTACATCATCATCATTAACGTTAGTTAACCTGCGGGCTGCATTGTGCTCACTGGGTTGCGAGAAAATAAATAAGAAGAGCAGCGCTGCGGCAATATAATGAATAAAAGAGTGAGGCTATGTTCAAATAAAAAAATAAATGAAAAAAGTGTGACTGCTGAGAGTGCAAGCAGCTAGGGACACCGGCCCTCGCGGCCAAAAAACAGACCGGCCCACCGGGAATTCACCCGGTCCTCCCGATTAGCCAATCCGGGCCTGGCTAAAGTGTACTTACTTTTTTTTTTTTTTCAAAATACCAATAAATGGACATTCAGTTAAACTGTTTATTTGAGTAATGTACTGCTCTTTTAGCCGCCAGTGAAATGCCCAGGGGACGGGAAAGAAACCCAGTTTTATTATCGCCATTGTACACGTCGTCGCTTGCACTGGTGGAATTACTGCTCTGGAGGACAGCTCAGCAGAAGATCTCTTCAGTGTCATGTAAGAGGCTCTACAGCGAATGTAAAACCACTCACTCTGTGTGCACTGGTTATATACTTAACTAATGATTAATCACCAGCACCTGCAGAGCTAAGCTCTGCCAATTCATTGGCATTCTTTGGCCCGTTTTCATCTAGTGATCTTCCATTCATGTCGGAAGACACACTTCAGAGTTTCTAGTGAAGGGGAAGAGTAGCTAGCACAACAGTATGGTATCAAAAGGGTGGAGGGGATAGGCATACAGCTGAATGCTATTGGTTTGCAGAGAATCATAACCAGTGTGTGCAACAAGGTAGCAGAGCGACAACACAGGAATCACATTTTTTTAATACACAACAGAGACATGACACTGTGACCCAATGATGGCATGCAGCAATGAACCACGCTAAACAAAGCTTGCCAATTCTTGTTGCAAACAGCCACATGCCAAGTAGCATGAACTGATCTGCTCTATGTCTTCTATGCTCCTCCATCTTCACTACTTAAGTCAGTACTTTCTCTGATGTCATCGTTTTTTTGACACCACCACTGACCCTGCTTGTGTCCTGGGTCTTTATTTGCATACCTGTCACATGCCTGGGGGTGTTGCTCTGTTGTTCCCTCCTCCCCTTTCAGTTTTTATTTGCTGTCTGCTGTTCTTCTAAAATCTTGGTGTTCAGATTGGCTCGTAGAGTTTTCACGAGTGGACCAATCAGAAGAGGAAGGGGGTGATTTAAGCGCTCTAGTGATGACTCGGAGCAGACTTGGGGGTCCTTTTTGTGTGTCTGTCCTTTTCTCTGGTTCACTTTTTTTTTTTTTTTTTTTTTACATCTATTCAGAACGTCCAAGCTAAATCTACTTAAATCTACTAAAAGGGAAGTAGAAGTGAAGTATGTCACGTGACTTACATTTTTACACACACAGTTGATTCTCTGTTAATCCATTAGATCAGAAGCGGGTGCTACCCTTTGTATGTTTGTCCAGTGAGTGCAGTTTAGTGATGGGCATGTGATGCCAAAGATGCTTTTCAATCTATTAACATATTTCTCTTTAATTATTTAGAAGTGGGGAAGGTTGAGTTAGCAGATGTTTAATTTATTATTTTCTCTGATTTGGCGCAGCTTATTTTCCTTCCCTATATTAGCTTTGTTTTATTTGATTTGTTTGCTTTATTTTGCATTTATTGTACACATTGTTAAATTTATGTTGGGTGATTAAATATTCTTTTTTTATCTTTATTGTATTTAAAGCAAACCACTTTTTGCCACGTTTGTTGTCTGTGTTGATCCTTAGCAGCTAATGTCTCAGGGTAATTTGTAAAATATTGGGCTGTCATAATTATGTTTAGCCCTTTTCATCCTCCGAGCCAAACAAGCCATAACAGTACCCCTGCATCAGGCTAGGCCTGGTAAAAGACCATACCTGCCAACACTCCCGTTTTTTTCCCGGGAGTCTCCTGTATTTTTACCCATCACCCGTCCCCAGCCTCCTCTCTTTGCTATTTAGTTTGCAATTCCCACCCCCTCCCACCACTTTTGGGATGTCAGATAGGGCATGAAGATTTAAGGGGGTTGCGCAATAGATGCATCGTGTTAAGAACTGTACATTTCTGTCATGACCCCTGGCCTGACTTCTACATATCTGCGGTTAATTTTCTTTGCTCAGTAGAAATACTGAGATTGACTTATTACTGAAAATACATATGATAAATCCCTAAAAAAATAGTAAACAATTATGAAAAGTAAATTCAACAATTTCAATTTTAGTAAATAATTGACAACAAGAGATAACTTATCTTCTTATCCCTCGTTCAGACTAAACATTTTTTATTGTTGGTTATGACAGCCACTGTCATAGTTTTATTGTTGGTTATGACTCACATTGTTAATTTGGTATCAGATCATGTAGTTTCTCTAAAGATAAGCTTGACGTGGTGACCAAATATGCCATGACTACATGTTACTTCCGTGTTTGTGTGATGTGCACAATGTGCATTCTACCATCAAGAAGCTGCATGAATTGCAGTGTATATTTAATTGAATATCAAGTGTGCTCCACAGATGGCAGTTTTCCCATATATGTAATAGGCTTCAGAATGAAAACAGTAGATGAAATGATTCATTCCATTTCAGCAAGATGCACTTCTGGAGATGCAGAAGATGTTTCCCAGTACTAGCTGTAAACAAAGGTACACAAAAACCAACATTATTTAAATTAAAAATGGCATTAAAAATGTCAGTAAACAGCATTTTTATAACATTCCCTGCACTGCAATGTGAATGAGAACACAATAAGTGATTTGTTCATTTACACCAGGGGTCTCAAACTCAATTTACCTGGGGGCCGCAGGAGGCAAAGTCTGGGTGAGGCTGGGCCGCATAAGGGATTTCACACAAAAAAAGTCCTCAAATGTCATTATTAACAGTTTCAATTATTTCTTCTGAACATGAAGTGTCCTGAACATTAATAGAACATTGAGTGAAGATTATGAACAGTTCTTCTGAACATGGCATCTTTTGCCTACTCCTTGCTGCCAGAGACTTGACAGCGCTTCTGCTCACAAATCTGAACCACATTTGGCTTTAGAGCGGAAGCAGTTGAGACCCTCAGTATGGCTTGAAGATGATCATCATTAAGTCTAGACCTGTACTTTGACTTATTGAAGTTTAAGGTGGAGAATAACTACTCACACACTTCTCACACACTCAAAACTTCCATTCCCTCACCTAAAAAAGGCGTATATATGTATAAATAAAACACCCCCACCCCACTCCAGTCACATCAGTCTGTGCCAGTCTGTATCTACCTATAATATATATAAGATGCAGGCTGTAGCTAGGTAGGTGGCAGGCTGCAGATAGGTAGCTAAGTGGCAGGCAGGGGCGGGAACAGCTTACCTTGGTTCTGGCCGGCGCGAGTTCCCTCCCGTCACAGCGCTGTGTACGGATAGAATCAGCGGAGCGGGGAGCACTCTCTCTCCCCGCTCCGCTGATTCTGTCAGTGTACAGCGGTTGGCGCGGGCCACAAAATATTGCACTGAGGGCCGCAAATGGCCTGCGGGCCGCGAGTTTGAGACCTCTGATTTACACGCTAATTCCAGCTCTTGATCACCATCATGTATTTTATTTTGTCATGGTTCCTCAATGACATATAATACAAGGAAGCATAATGCTGCCGCAAATCCACTTTCTTCCATTTCATATTTACCTAACAGGACAGCAAACTCTTTTTGTATTGCCATTTGATACACCGTACAGAAGAGCTCATGTGTGTGCTCATATTGGTCAACAGCACCAATGATAAGCAATATGTTGTGGATGAGAAACTTTTTAATATGCTAGACTTTCTGTGTTGACTTTGCAGACATATAGCATTGTCATGCAATATGACACATTACTTAAAAAGAAATGAATGAATCTTGCGTCCTGATGCCCATTTGTCATTTAGGCGTTATTCAGATTGCACACATTCTTTCATGATTTCGGTAAGATTCGCTTGACAGAATGTCGCGGGGATTCGTAAATGACAAATGACTGATTGATTGCAAAGCAATATGTAGACTTTAGTTTTGACTAATTTGGCTGGACTGATTTGCTTTGCTGTCACTTTGAGTTTCCAGTCTCTCTTAGCCCCCCTGGATGTACTTACTTTCCCAACATTCTATTTTATTCTTATTAAATAGTTATTTAAGGGCGAGGCAGTGGCACAGTGGTTAGTGCTGTCGCCTCACAGCAAGAAGGTCACTGGGTTGCTGGTTTGAACCTCGGCTCAGTTGGCGTTTCTGTGTGGAGTTTGCATGTTCTCCCTGCCTTTGCGTGGGTTTCCTCCGGGTGCTCCGGTTTCCCCCACAGTCCAAAGACATGCGGTACAGGTGAATTGGGCAGGCTAAATTGTCCGTAGTGTGTGTGTGGATGTTTCCCAGAGATGGGTTGCAGCTGGAAGGGCATCTGCTGCGTAAAAACTTGCTGGATAAGTTGGCGGTTCATTCCGCTGTGGCGACCCCGGATTAATAAAGGGACTAAGCTGACAAGAGAATGAATAAATAGTTATTTAAGTAGACTTTTGGTGGCCGTGTTTCATGTTGAGTACTACTGTATCTACTGATTGGTTTAAAAGAAAAAAATTGACACTTTAAAACATTTCTTAGGAATGTATGCAATCAAAAATAATTAGTTACATTAACAAAGTAATTTGGGCGAATTACTTTCGCAGTGGGTAATGCTGTTGCCTTAAAGCAAGAAGGTCGCTGGTTTAAGCCTCGGCTGGGTCAGTTGGTGTTTCTGTGTGGAGTTTGCATGTTTTCCCTGTGTTTACGTGAGTTTCCTCAGGGTGCTCCGTTTTCCCCCACAGTCCAAAGACATGCTACAGGTGAATTGGGTAAGCTAAATTGTCAGTGGTGTATGTGTGTGAATGAGAGTGTATGGATGTTTCCCAGAGATGGGTTGCAGCTGGAAGGGGATCCGCTGTGTAAAACGTGTGCTGGATAAGTTTGCGGTTCATTCCGCTGTGGCAACCCCGGATTAAAAAAGGGACTAAGCTGAAAAGAAAATGAATGAATGAATGAACAAAGTAATTCAAATAGATACACCACTTGTTATTTAAATGTAGTAACTAGTAATCTATAATCTATTACATTTCCAAAGTAACCTTCCATACACAGATAAAGAGAGCAGGGAAGTGACTGTTGACCAGGAATGAGAAACCTGCTCTACAGACACACCTGTTTTACACATGTGACACAAACACAGCACCAGGAAGCTGTTTTAGTAACAGACGTCTGGGAAAGAGAAACTGAAGTGCAGTTGAGCTGTGTTTGTGTCTTTTGGTATTCATGAGGTAAAATGGCAGAAGCAAGAATTTTTGTGGATCAAAATGAATTCATGTGTTCAGTGTGTCTGGATCTCCTGAAGGACCCAGTGGCCATCCACTGTGGACACAGTTACTGTAAGAGCTGCATTACAGACCACTGGAATCAGGAGGATGAGAAGAAAGTCTACAGCTGCCCTCAGTGCAGAGAAACCTTCAAGCCGAGACCTGCTTTAGCTAAAAACACCATTCTGGCTGAAATGGTGGAGAAACTGAAGAAGACTAAACCTTCTGCTGACGTTTATGCTGGAGCTGGAGATGTGCAGTGTGACGTCTGTACTAAACCAAAATACAAAGCCATCAAGTCCTGCCTGGTGTGTCAGGAATCTTACTGTCGAACTCATTTTGAGCGACATGAGGAGTTTCACTCTCGTAAGCCACACAAAGTGATTGATGCCACTGAACGACTGCAGGACATGATCTGCCATAAACATGAGAAACACCTAGAACTATACTGCATCACTGATCTACAGTACATCTGTGTGATTTGTAAAGAGTATGAACATAAAAACCACAAAATAGTATCTGCTGCAGCAGAGAGGACAGAGAAACAGGTATGAACTTGAATGATTTGTTTACCCTTACATGAATATCTTTTTAATCATCCACTCACTGTCATGTCATGAACCTTTTTTTTGTTTCCTCGAGGAAACCTTGAGCAAAACAGATCTTCAAATAACTTGTTTGTTTCATAGTGTTAATGACATTTTAATATCTAAAGAGAGAATCTTTTGTGAAATGGAAAGTAGTTTTGGTGGATGTTAAAGGGCACCTTTGGTCAAAAGATATACATTTTAAGCTGTTTGGACAGACATGTGTGTAGGTAAAGTGTATAGACCATCATATTGGGGTGATATAAACACACTCAGTCCTTTTTTTCCATTTACCAACATAAAAACGGTGGACCCATTGGAGCGGTTTTCAGAGCGACCGCAACTTGACGTAGGAGTGCGGTCCCCACGCCCACCAATATCAACTGACAGGCGGATCACCATCCTCAGTTTGTTGTTTCACGTCAGCCATTTTCAGTATGTGAGTCAAAGCGATATCATTAAAGGAACACCCTTGCTCTTTTTTTAGATGTAAGGCTCATTGGGCTCAACACAAGATCAATTTTCTCCACATGATCGCTCTAATCAGAATAGACCTTTTACGCAAAAACCGGAAGTACATCAACAATGTGTAAACCCAGTTCCGGTATGAGTTTTTTTTTGGCGGAGAAATGGCAGCTAGAGTGTTTTTGGCGAGCCTAAGTTGTCTTCCGAAGTTAATTAAATAAGTAATTAAATACGTGCAGTTAAAATAGGGGAGAGCGGGGCAGAACCTAACACAGGGCCAGTTGTAACACACTTGTTTTAAATACTTCCACACATGCTAGTATGATAAAAATTTGTGTATTTACTACGTCACAGCAATAAATTGTTTAATTATTTAAAAATAATTTTATTTTATTAGTTGAGTTTCGTGAACAGCTTATATTATTAACATTAATTTGTTCAGGTAGAAATGCATAACGGTACACACAGTTGACTAGCGTTAACTAAATACACTATGAACAATCTTACCTGCAGGTGAGATAGAGGTAAAGTTGGTTTTATATTTGCACATTCAGACTTTCCCCTTAACAATATAATTTCTTTAAAGTATTATTTGCAAACTCTAAATAGCGAAATCATATTAGCAGCCAATGACTATCAAAGTACAACATTGTTCACAGTCAAATATCCAGTGTTAATGTTGTTTTCAAGTCATATTTGCATGCTAATTTCGATCGAATATTCAAAGCAACATGGTAAATAATATAGAGACTTCTAAATGAACGAATGTGTGAATATTAAACCAACTTTACCTCAATGCAGGTGGGTGTTAAACGTAACAAGTTAGTCGTGATCCATCCTTACTGCCTTAGCCCCTATGTCGCTATCTGCACAGCATAGCTGTTTAGACGTATGTAGGTTCTGTCATATACTGACTCCCTTCTCAAAGGAGCTGTAAAGTTGTCCCAAGGGAATAGGCTCGGGACAACACCACTCTTCAGGCGACGAACGACGCAGCCACCACTGTAAACATCCGGAGCGACGTGCCGGCTGCAGACATAGGTGCTACCTGTTTTTACATGAAAACTATGCCCTTCCTCTTTTTACATCGCCTGTATCCATTTGGGTTTCAGGTCTGGATCCACAGGAAAAGAATGAAATAAAAGGTATGGCTGTTATTGGTTGGAAGACGAACAGCCTGGAACACAACAGAAACTGTAATTCTTGACTCTGCCATTTTTCGTATTTGCCGCTATGATAACAGGAAGTTCTAATGCACTTCATTGACGTATTTCCGTTCGAAAAATGCGGAAGTGCGTAAAAGGTCTATTATTGTTTTTCTACCTTTAGGTAGGTTTGTGTACTTTTCATTGCATCTTCCTTAAACTTCAGTCGTTTGCATTTCTCGCTATCACAGAAGCTCCCTGTGATCTTAACTAGGTCCAGCTGGAAAAGTGCAAGTGCGTTGCCTCATGTGCGCGTCTCTCCATTGGAAATAAAATAACGAACTTGCCTGCAGGTCGCACACCAGAAGCGCCGCTCTGCGTGGCACGACGCTCAGTGCTACACACACAACGGCCCTTCAAGTCGGAGGCTGGGCGCTGCGGACAGAAACCTATGTTTAGAATTCAAAAATTCATGGCGCGTCGATTATGGACACTTCTTGTGTCTGGTGTGCCGCGTCGCGGCTTCAAGCAGCGCATCTAGTGCCTCAGTCAAAGTTAATTCAGTGTAAGTGGTTATTAGTCTTGATGTTTAAGCTCAGCGCTTGAAACTAGCACATAGTTTGCTGTAAAACTATAGGTTGTATAAGACACAAATGATTTTGTGGGAATTTTGCGGGAATTTAAAACTAATTTTCATGTGAAGCAACACATGAAACCTGAGGGGCGGACTGGCAATTCTGGCAAATGGCAGAAGGCCCGGACCACTTTTTAAATGTGGCCAGTCAGTTTTTTTTTTTTTTTTTAATCTGTATTGTTTTTAAAGGCAGGCAACTTTTATCTCTTGCTAGATGTGATATTATAATGATGATGATAATAACAGTAATAATAATAAAAATAATAATAATAATAGCTAAATGTAAACCATTTGGCCCAATCGGCGATGGCTGACTGGTTTCGTGCAGCCAGAGACTGTACATTAGGTCATAGTTATTCATATTTTTTCATTAGGTCACCTATAATTGTTTAATAAGTTAAAATTTATTCAAAATAAAAATGAGGCAAAGCCTAGCATAAGCAGTGATTCAAATAATGATGACACTCGCAGTGAGAGAGTTAAAAAGGATGAGAAGATGTGGAATCAGACAGACAATGTGTACAATGTCAACTTAGAAACAAGGAGAAGCCAACATATAGACAGTGGCAATAAACGACACTGCAGAGAATGACATATATAGGTATTTATAAATAAAATTATGCTGAGTTGTTGCTAATGCTGCTTGTCCATTTGTGTGTAAAGGTGTGTGCACATTCATGTTACTTTTATTATAAGTAATAGCAAACAAACAGTATAAACACACAGCACACGGACTCGACAAGATGCACAGATTTTTTATTTTATTTATTTATTTAATCTTTTATTCAGATAAATTTGTTATAAACAGGTTGTTTTTGTTTCAGACACATACATTAAATGTTGAAATATCCATTACGTATGGTACTGCTCTTATTATTCTACCATCTGTACACCATAAAAGTAGTGAATGTGCGGGTCCGTGGGTGGGGCTGTGTCGGTGTGGTAGAGCAGGGGTTCCCAAACTTTTCAGCCCGCGACCCCCAAAATGAGAATGCCAGTGACTCGCGACCCCCAATATTCTCTGAGGTGGTGGTTATAAATACAGAAACTTTGTATGAAATGACGCACACACACCAATAGACCCAAGTCTATTCTTTGTTTTTTTTTTTTTTTTTATGTATGTCAGTGCTGTAAATGTGCTAGAAAGTTTAACCTGGTGTTACAAAATCTGCTGCATGTGACAGTATTGCTGTGTCCTTAAGTATATTGTAATTACCCGAGAAGTCGCAATCCAATAGAACTAGTAACTATAAGCTACTATAGTAACTATATAGTTTATAGCAACTATAAACAACTATTTTTTCTCATCAGTAGGTTATTGATAAAATACAGTAAGTCTTAAGGTTTAATAAAAATTAATTGATTTTTGAAAATCACCAGGCGACCCCCCTTTATTGTCCCGCGACCCCTCGGGGGGTCCCGACCCCCACTTTGACAACCTCTGTGGTAGAGCATGGGCTGGTGTGGCTAACGTTACATTGCCAGGGCTGAATTTTTGTCCCGGTCCGCCTCTGGTTTGAACAGTATAACATCCAGTCCATTCTACACCAATACTGGATTCATTAAACATTCAAGTGATGTTTTTGTTATTTTAGTTTGCTATTCTTGAATTTTCCTCCAGAAAGAGCTGAAGGAGATGCAGATGAAGCTCCAACAGAGGGTCCTGCAGAGACACAAAGATCTTCAGCAGCTGAGAGGGGCTGTGGAGACTCAGAAGGTTAGTCTGGAGAAGAAGTTTAAGTCTCACTGTGTGTCACAGGCTGTGTGATTGTGATGTGTTTAACAGCGCTCTGCACAGACAGCAGTGGAGGAAACTGAGAAGATCTTTATTGAGATCATCCGCTACATTGAGAGACAATGCTCTGAGCTCAAGCAGATGATCAGAGATCAGCAAAAGACTGCTGTAAGGGATGCTGAAGGGCTCATAGAGCGACTGGAGCAGGAGATTAATGATCTGAGGAGGAGAGATGCTGAGCTGGAGCAGCTTTCACAGACACAGGATGACATGCATTTCCTGCAGGTAACAGAGATTCAGTAGAACAGAATCAAGGGGGACCTGAATAATGACTGGAGAATCAGTTTCTTTCAGATTCAATGCAATGATGTCTGGTCCTTACAGATGTTTTATAGTCACATCCAATATTCTAGATTCACATATAGTGTGCATGGCAAAAACAAGAAGATGTGCTCTTCCTGCTCACTTTATCAGTACCTAGTTATTGCACCTTCTTTTTACTATATACTACTATATACTTTATATTACTCTTCTGTCTTGTCTTTATAACGTGACTTTGTCATATTGTAAGGTGTACTTGAGGGCTTTGAAAGGTGCCCATAAATATAAGGTTTTATAATTATAATTAGAATTACCTGTAGGTTTCAAACAAGACTGAAAGACTATTAGTTAGTATTACTCAAGTGTGTGTTTTATTAGGGTTAAAACTAAACTGTTAAACTAAACTGGCCCTGCGGGAACTGACTTTGACACTTGTGACTTATGGTAATTGCTTGAAGTGTGGAGATGAGTTTCGATTTCTGTTTTATGTAGCGTTTCCAGTCTTTCTCCGCTCCTCCTGAATCTACAGACTTTCAAACGAGTCCGCTTGGTTCTCAGTTTTCTTTTGTTGGGCTGAGAGAATCTGTTCGGCAGCTGAAAGTCAAACTGGAGGATCTCTGCAAAGAGGAGGTCAAGAAGATCACTGACAGAGGTAAAGTCCTGGAGATTCCTCTGCTCTCAGAAATGAGTTCATTCATTTGAACGTGTTTAAATCATTTAATATCATGCATGTATATCAATAGTCTTGTTCTCTCAACATTACATTTACACGATTCATGTCTGTTGATTTCTGCAGACACATTTACCAACACTGTTCCCGAGACCAGGAATGACTTCCTACAATGTAAGTTGCTAAGAAAATGAGCAGACAAACTCACTGAGTGTGTTTGTGTACTTAAGCCCAATCATAATTTCATTTTGTTCCCCTACTCCTTCTCTCTGGCCCTTAAAACAGAGTGTGAAGGGGAAGGGCTTCAAAATGTACCCCTTTAGAAATGGGACAGCACTACAACACCAGCACACGTCATCATATGTCATTGCAATCTCTCGCTTTATATAAGGTTGTCGATTGCGACTGCTGTAGTTACTCCAGTTGTGTTATTTATAGGTATTTATCTTCAGGAAATTACTAAAGGCAATGAGCTTGTGACAACATTGACATTATAGCAGACATTGTAAAAAAAAAAGTTCATTCCCAGGCACAAGACATTTCTGATAGGGTATATCAGGGTCATTGAGAGACAGATGTGAAAGTATGTTGTGGGACTACTATACAGGAGTTATTATTGGGGATGATAAATTGTGAAATTTAGTGTTTTTTGTTTTGTTAAAACTTCATAATATGAAAAAAAAACAAATTTCTGCATGTTCTGACTAGAGATGCGCGGATGGGCTATTATTTCATCCGCAACCGCATGACAAAATTCATCATCCGTCAAAATAGCATCTACAGTGTCAGGATTCAGGCGGGAGCGCCTGCATAGCCACTATAATGCGCCCTGCTGCACTGAAGGAGCGCTCGCTTGCAGCACTTGTTCCTGAAATGCATAGAATTCTCTTGGAAAGGTGCTGTAGTCGTGGGAATGACTGGCCTTATTTCTCCCAAAAGGAAGTAGATTTTCCTCTGCTGATCCGTCTATACGGAAGTTTGTAGAGGAATACTTCTGTACTTCATCCAGAATTAGTGTATCCGATTCCTCCTCCCATTCTGTGAAGTCAGTCCTAGGCTTTTTCGTTGGTGCGCCAGCTATGCCTATAAAAACAGTACAACCGCCCGAATTTAATTAAAATATTATTTTTTCGTAACGTCATCCGCCCGATCCGCGGTTTATCCGCGGAGTCCGCGGCTATAACCGCCAACCGCGCATCTCTAGTTCTGACTTCCGTGTGCAGCTACGTAGATGGTGTTGCAAATTTTTAAACCCTTTGATTTTAGGTGTGATCCTGAAAAATCTCAATTTCAAGGGTTATCAAGCCTTTCCCTCTAGCCCTACGCCTTCAAGCTAAAGAGAATTGGGATACTCATACCCCTTCACATAAACGTGCAAAACGAGGGGTAAGAGGAAGAGCTAAGGGCTAGAATTGGGATTGGGCCTTAATATTGGAGGAGAAAGAAATCATGATAAACAGGTTTTAGTTGATCATGTAAATCCGGGGTCACCAAACTTCACCCTGGAGAGCGGATGTCTTGCAGAGTTTAGCTTCAACTTGCCTCTAAACACCTGGAAGTAAGGGCGTACTCACACTATGTACAGTTGCCTTGAACCGGGCCGAAGCACACTTGTCCCCCCTTCGGTCTCCTCCGACAGCCCGCACTCACATTGCATTCGGGCCTGGGCACGCTTACGTCATCGATGATGCGCTGTTCAAGCGCTCTCGCTCAGCACAGTGGAGATTTCTTTATATCGTTTTAAGTTGTTTGAGATGCAGTGACATGCAGTCATATATTCTACCGAACAGATCAGCCACTTTTGAGGCTCATAAACAATCATAAAGTCCTCATGCTACAGAAATTAGGAGGTTTGCTAAAGGTGCAACTGTCGTGCAGTTAAGGGGTTTGCGTCTTTAATAATCTACGACAGTTTGAGTTCATTGAACTGTAAGAATAATTAATAAATCCATAGGAAACAGTCCCTTAAAAGTCACGTCTCATCTTCAGTTTCGAGCCCAAGTGAACCGCGATCTGGCACTCACACTTCTCAAATCATCTAGGAAACGGGCCTGGGCACGGTTCCAATAGCATAGTGTGAGTACACCCTACAAGCGTACTGCGCCTGAGCCCAAGTGTACCGTGCTTTGGCACTCGTCTTCCAACCAGGTCAAGGACGGCCAAGTTTATTGCGCCTGAGCCCAATTCAGAGCACTCACACCTCTCAAGCGATCCGGGAAAAGGGCCTAGGCATGGTTCAGATATCATAGTGTGTGTACACCCTAAGGCCCTGTTTACACTAGTGTGTTTTAGTTTGAAAACGGCGTTTTAGATCAAAAACTATCCGCGTCCACACTAGCGTTTCACCTAGCGTTTCTGAACATATCTCCGTCCACACTACACCACCAAAAACGTATATCACGTGACCATTCGCGCACTCTGGGCATGCGCGTTCTAGCGAATATATGCCGCTGATGTAGTAAAAAAGACAGAGTTTAACTGCACAATGGCGCCTAAAACAGACAATAGTACAAACAACGCTCCCATTTCTGTGTCCATGTTGTTGTTAACAGTGAAGGCTGGTCTGTTGTCTTCCGGTAGTGTCAAAGCCATGTGCTATAGTCATGTGATAGGGGCTTGACGAATAAGGGAAGGATACGCAATGACACAAAAGTCCCAATCAGCTAGCGAATGTCTGCGGCCCGGCCTTCGTTTTCAGATCTCTCCGTTTTCCCCCATATACACTGAGACGTAGCAGTAGCGTTTCAGAATGAAAACGGCTTCTTCAGCGTTTCCAAAACAATCCGTTTTCGGCACTCGAAAATTCCGGCGTAGTGTGGACGGATGGCTTAACCATAGCAAAACGTATGCGTTTCCAAACTAAAACGCATTAGTGTACACGGGGCCTAAGTTTCAGGTATACCTACAGTAGTAAGGGCTTGATTAGCTTGTTTAGGTGTGTTTAATCAGGGTTGGAGCTAAAAAAGGACACCGACCCTCGAGAACCAAACTTGATGACCCTTGATATAAATGATAATTTGTATATAATATCTTTTTTCTCCTGTATTGAGACAAACCACTGATTTATTGATCAGACGAAGAGAAGACATGGTCAGTCGGCTTCATAATTCTTGATTCTTTTGATTTCTCTTCTTCAGATTCCCATAATTTCACTCTGGATCCAAACACAGTGAATAAATACCTCTGTCTGTCTGAGAACAAAAGGGTGATCACTGATATTGATGCAGTCCAGTCATATCCTGATCATCCAGACAGATTTGATGATTGGCGGCAGGTGTTGTGCAGAGAGAGTGTGTGTGGACGCTGCTACTGGGAGATTGAGTGGAGCGGTAAGGTGTTAATATCAGTGTCATATAAGAGCATCAGCAGGAAGGGAGGAGGTAATGATTGTGGATTCGGACAAAATGATCAGTCCTGGGCTCTGTTCTGCTCCTCTGACAGATACTCATTCAGACGAAATAAGACAGACACTGATCTCCCAGTAAAGTCCATCAGCAGCAGAGTAGGAGTGTATGTGAATCACAGTGCAGGAACTCTGTCCTTCTACAGCATCTCTGACACAATGAGCCTCATCCACACAGTCCAAACCCAATTTAGTCAGCCTCTGTATCCTGGGTTTGGTGTTTATGGATCTGTGAAACTGTGTTGATGAAGCAGAATGGATTATAAAATTTAACAGAAATGTCTTCCAGAGTCTCTTATTTTCTTTTCGTGCACTACAACTTTATGTACTGTAGACCGTAAGATCAATGTGTGTGTGTCCTTCTGAGAATTTGTGTTTGCACTTTTCTTATGTGTAAATGTATTTTTTATTCTAGTGATGATTAAATGTTTCATTATAAATTATAAATTTATTTCATTTTCCTTCAGCTTAGTCCCTTTATTTATCAGGGTTTGCAACAGCGGAATGAACTGCCAACTTATCTAGCATTTGTTTTACGCAGAAAATCTCTTCCAGCTGCAACCCAGCACTAGGAAACACCCATACATCCTCGCGTTCACATACATGCGCTACAGCCAATTTAACTTATTCAATTCACCTATAGCGCATGTCTTTGGACTGTGGGGGAAACTGGAGCACCCGGAGAAAACCCATGCCAACTCGGGCAGAACGACAGTGCTAACCACTGCATCACCCGAATTTTTAAATGCTTAAATATTATTGTATTTTTGTGTTTCATAACTGGAAAGACAGTGTTAGATGGAAGTTTTGACAATCTCGCGTGTCTTGTGCGCGCATTTAGAATGTGCACAATATACTGACACTAAAAAGAAGAAACTTTTGGATAAAAGCATTATTATCATTACAAACGTATTCTCTGAGCTTCAGATTATTCCGATTGAACCACAGAATACAAATGTTGTTTTTTGAATATGTTTTTTTGGGGGGGGATTTTTAAACTTAATTTAACATTTCAGTCAGAACTGTTGTTGACTATAGAGATAAGGGAGCTCTGGGATTTCCTTTCTTCATTTTTCTTCGCACCAACTCTTCAGTTCGCGACACATATTCCAACACATTAAATTATATATGATATTTTATATATGTATATTTATACAACAGTTCTGTCTGGTTTTCAAATCTGATTGGCTGATTGCCGTGCGATATTCTGCAATATCAGATCTCCTACAGCCTCTTTACCCTTTGTGTATTACTCCACCCACATGCAGCCAGCAAAAAGCAGACACTACAGATCTAAAGTTTAAAAGATGCACGCTCAACTGTTTAACTGTCAGCTTATGATTTGAATCCAATGTGGAAGAAAGTAGTTCCACATACAAAAGGGTTTTTGAGACTCTCCATGTTTGATTTTGTTTTTATATACACAATTATGCCGTCAAACTTGAATAAACGCAATATCACACTCGTAGCAGTCTGATATTGCTCATATATATATATATATATATATATATATATATATATATATATATATATATATATATATATATATTTTTTTTTTTTTTTTTTTTTTTTTTTTTTTTTTTTTTGCACTTGGTGGTTTGAAGAGAAAGTTTATTGATATGAAATATTTAGATTGCTTTAGTACAATTTCCCACTGTTTCACAAACAAGGTTTAAGGCTTGCCAAGATAAAAAACACACCAGTAATCTTTTTCTAAGGCCATTTTTATAAATGTGTCTTAAATAGCCTAATTTAACCAAGGCCTAGTCCTGGCTTAATCTAAGCCCTGTTTGTGAAACTGGGCCTTTGTGTATGATAATAGACATGCACAATATGTGACTTTTTTTAAAAAGCATTAATACATTTATGCAGTCATAATCATGTTTTGACAGTTGATTTGATGCTTCACAAAAGTTGCAGATGCCTTTACCAATATCAAAATGCTTTTGTAAACATCCAGTTATTCTTTACACAGATTAAGGAACCTGCTACAAAAATACTACTATGGCTACTATAAAAAAGAAAATTTGCTCTAACTGTAAAACTAAATAAATTGCCAACTACTCTTGACATATTAAAGTGTAAAGGCTGAAGCCCACAACAAAGGTGAAAAGTTATTGCGTATCTTATTTAACAAACCGTTTACTATAAATTTTATGTAATTTAGCTCACATGGATGTTTGAATATTAATCAGATGATGTCATTACGCTGCTGTGCCGTCAGCCAATCGTTGCATTGCAGATGATGATTACGAGGATTAATAGATCTGGCCTTCACAACACACGCACCGATCTCAGATCAGTTCATCCAGGCATTTAATCTGATTCATGAACCTGTTTGAAAAACCAAATTAGCTAGAGATCAGTTATCAAGATTAACAGATCCAGGATCTGCCAAATCATCTTAGATCACTTAAGCGAGGCATGAAGAGAGAATCCCTGTACACTAAACAAAACAAGGAGTATATACAAACAAACAGGGAAACTAAGCAAATAGGAAATCACCCAAACTCATCCAAAAGGAAACACAAGCATATACGCATATGAATGAAAACAAAAGAACTCTGAAAATAATATCGGCTGCACTTAAAGTTAAAAGATAATCTTTTTTGTCTTGTTGTCTCAATTGTATATGTTTGATTACTTTTTCAAAAGTCTCTACTACTAATGGAACATCTGAAACATCTCAGAGAGTGAACAAATGAAGCAGAATCCTCCCTATAATCATAATCAAGGAGTCAAGGGTCTGTCCATGTAAATTTCCCTCAGCCACTTCACTAAGGCTGCATTCTTAGATCTCTCAATTTTGACAGAGGGAGTGAGTCGGCTTTATCTGTCCACCCCAGCACCTATATGTGCCAGAATGAGATTGTGATGTCACAATAGTGTAGTTCTCAAGTGCTCAAAGGTTTAAAGCATTCCATTTTTTGTGAGGTTTATTTATAAACTAATTTCTAGAGTGTTTATGATTTATCACGGCCGATCGTATTACCTAATCATTATCTTCCAATCATATGAGCCCTAAGCTACTATAAATAACCACAGTTTTCAGTCCACTTTATCTTCCTTTGGAAGAAACCCCCCCCCCTTCCTCCCCAATTCTCCTCATTTACTATTAATCCGGCGGCACGGCGGCCCAGTGGTTAGCACTGTGATCCCCACAGCAAGAACACTGCCGGCCCTGGCCCTGCCAGGCCGGTAGGTGTTTCTGTGAGGAGTTTGTATATTCTCCCCGTGTCAGAGTGGGTTTTCCCCGAGTTCTCCGGTTTTCTCCCACCATCCAAAGATATACATCATGCATTACAAACAAGTACTTGTCTAGCCCCTTTTCTCACGTGTTCCCTTAGCTACCGCAGCCGGGGAGTTCTGAGATCCACCGAGCTCAAGTTCCCCTTTCGCTCTGCCAACGGGAGGAAGCCTCGGGCTCCCTTGAGCTCATGGCTCTCTCCCGGCACAGCATGCCAATTAAGCTTTTGATAGATCGTCAGCTAAGTGTGAACTCTTGAAAACCCATTTAGATGTTCGGCCAGTAGTAACATAACCAGGCTTCCAGCTAACTCAATCAAACCTCTTCAGCTGCTTCAGAACGCAGCAGCATGAGTGGTCTTTAATGACCCTAAAAGAGCACATGTCACTCTGCTGCTCATCCGTTTGCACTGGCTGCCAGTTGCTGCTCGCATCAAATTCAAAGCTCTGATGTTTGCTTACAAAGCGACCTCTGGCTTTGCTCCTTCTTATCTGCTCTCACTTCTGCAGATTTATGTGCCCTCCAGAAACTTGAGTTCTGTGAATGAACGTCTCCTCGTGGTTCCATCCCAAAGAGGGAAGAAAACACTTTCCCGAACTCTCGCATTCAGTCTGCCCAGTTGGTGGAATGAACTCCCTAACTGCATCAGAACGGCAGAGTCACTCGCTGTTTTCAAGAAAAGACTGAACTATTTAGTCTCCACTTCCTTTCCTAATCTGCAATTGCCTCTCTGGTTCTACCGCTAACTGTATTACAAAAAAAAAAAAATAATTACTAATGTTCTGCTTCTTACATTTTACACACCTGAAACTTGCCTACTGCACTTATTCATTGTTGCTCTTATAGTTGTGTAAATTGCTTCCTTGTCCTCATTTGTAAGTCGCTTTGGATAAAAACGTCTGCTAAATGACTAGATGTAAATGTAAATAATCAATGACATATGAGGAAATGAGATGGAAGAAAATTAGAGAGTGAAGGGTATTAAAAACTGAACATGGATTATCTGCAAGGCACTTTAAATGGCAGCAGGATTTCCTCTGAGGGGAAAGCCTTAAGGAAGTTAGCAAGTTTTTTAAAGCGGTATGAAACATTTGTATTTTTACTTGAATAGTATTTAGGAGTGATTTTAGTACTTCTAAAAAAGTAGTGAATCTGTGTCCCTTTTTTTACCTTAGCTTGAAACTAGAAATGACAAATACTCCGCTTTTATTTAAAGGTGGTGCATGAACACTGCAGGAATTTGAAAGTGAAAGTATTTTACACAGGACTCAAACACAAAGGCAGGAAGCTGTTTTAGGGCCGGACTTCTGGAAAAGGAAAACTGAAGCTTGATTGTGCTGCAGTGATTGCGTCTTTGAATTCTCGCAGTAAAATGGCAGAAGCTCGAGTTTTTCAAGATGAATTCATGTGTTTAGTGTGTCTGGATCTCTTGAAGGACCCGGTGACCATTCCCTGTGGACACAGTTATTGTAAGAGCTGCATTACAGGCTGCTGGGATCAAGACGATGAGAAGAGAGTCCACAGCTGCCCTCAGTGCAGAGAAACCTTCAGTCCGAGACCTGCTTTAGCTAAAAACACCATTCTGGCTGAAATAGTGGAGAAACTGAAGAAGACTAAACCTTCTGCTGACGTTTATGCTGGAGCTGGAGATGTGCAGTGTGACGTCTGTACTGAACCAAAATACAAAGCCATCAAATCCTGCCTGGTGTGTCAGGAATCTTACTGTCAAACTCATTTTGAGCGCCATGAGGAGTTTCACTCTCGTAAGCCACACAAAATGATTGACGCCACTAAACGACTGCAGGACATGATCTGCCGGAAACATGAGAAAGAGCTTGAAATGTACCATGACACTGACCAGCAGAGCATCTGTGAACTGTGTAAGGATTATAAACAAAAAAAACACACAGCTGTGTCATACGCAGCACAGAGGACAGTGAAACAGGTATGGACTGAGAAGAATTGTTTGTTCAAAACTGCAAACCATTATCGTGTCATTCAAAATCAGTTTTGAACAGTTTGTATTTTGTGGGAGAAGTCTGATTATTTTAATCTGTACACTGAAAATGAATACGGTGATGCAGTGGCGCAGAAGGTAGTGCTGTCGCCTCACAGCAAGAAGGTTGCTAGGTGGAGTTCTGTGTGGAGTTTGCATGTTCTCCCAGCGTTTGTGTGGGTTTCCTCCGAGTGCTCTGGTTTCCCCCACAGTCCAAAGACATGCGGTTCAGGTAAATTGTGTAGGCTAAATTTGTCCGTAGTGTGTGTGTGAATGAGTGTGGATGTTTCCCTGAGATGGGTTGCGGCTGGAAGGGTATCCGCTGCATAAAAACATGCTGGATAAGTTGGCGGTTCGTTCCACTGTGGCGACCCCGGATTAATAAAGGGATTAAGCCGACAAGAAAATGAATGAATGAAAATGAATACAGTACAAATGGCTGAAAAAGCATTCATAGGTAGCATATAAGCCTAAAAACAACTGGTTCATTTAGTCTTTCATTTACATAAACCTATGTAAGACTTATTGTCTATTTTTTTTACTAAAAAAATTGTTATGGTACTGAAAAGCTATTTGATTTAGAAAGTAGCGACGCTACCGCCACGCTTCTGAGAAATGTAGTTAAGCTTGTAGCGTCACTACTTGTAGCGACGTTACTGCCCAACACTGAATTCTGCATGACAAGGCTATCGAGTCTGACAGGACAGTAGTTGTTAAACATGACTAAGTAGACATCTTTGACACCAAAAACGCTTTAATATGTTGCATGATGTACAGTATAAGACTACATTGGGCAGCATTATAAGAGAACCGTAAAATTCATTTAATATGATAAAACAGCACTGCTTCTTCTGCGTTTGATAATGACTGGAAAAACTGAAAGCAGCCCAGCTAGCAAAATTCATGTTGCTCAAATCCGGCACACATACAGCATGGAAAATGGCTCTTGGGCGGTCCGCTCCTATTTGCCAGATCTGGGCCACAATTAAGCCAAAGCAATACCACATATCAGCCTTAATCCAACCAGATGAACCAGAACTGACCCTATTCTGGGCCACAGTTTGCTTTTATTCTGGCCCAGATCTGGCCTACACCTTATACTTGCTGGGTGTGGCAAAGTACAATAATCCCAGCATGCATTGCAGTGAATACATTCTATAGCTTATTAATGCTCATGTTTTCATTATTTGCTGTTGATTCTGCTGTTTATATAAAAGTTGTTGATTTTGTCAGTTTAAATATCCTGCTTGTGATGTTTGTGAGTTTTGTTCATTTTGTTAATTGTCACTTTTGTTGAGGTTCATATGCTTATTGATTATTGATGTCTCTGTGAGCGGAAGATAAACCATAGATTGTTTTTTAGCTTATAAACCTTCATAACTCTGTGACATGTGCAAGCATGTTATAACGTTACTTCTAATAATGGATTAAACATTGGTTAACATCATTGAATTACATTATTTCATCATAGGTTTTGCCTCACTTAATTTTATTGTTTTGTTTTGTTTTTTACTTGGCTTGTTTGCTGTAATAAACAAACTTTTCAAGCAAAGTTACTTAAAAGTTACAGCAGCCCAAAAGAAAAATTATTTTAAGAGGTTCAGGGCTATGAGCCCAACTAAAGCAAACACTTTTCTCCATGATGGTGACTTTAGTCTATGTGGTCCACATATGTTTTAAGATAACCTGGCCCACATTTGCCATATCTTATCTGGGCCGCTTTAGGCTCACAGCCACATTAGCCAGAGCTAACTCTGCCAAATATTTCCCAAAAGTGGCCCACATTTGTTTTAGGATAACTAAGCCACATTTGCCATATTTTCTCTGGGCCACTATAGGCTCAAATCCACATTAGCCATGGCTTACTGTGCTGAATATTTGCCAAAAGTGGCCCACATACTGTATGTTTTAAAATAACTGGGCCACATTTGCCATATTTTCTCTGGGCCACTATAGGCTCAAATCCACATTAGCCATGGCTTACTGTGCTGAATATTTGCCAAAAGTGGCCCACATACTGTATGTTTTAAAATAACTGGGCCACATTTGCCATATTTTTCTCTGGGCCAGGTTAGGCTCACAGCCGCAATAGCCAGAGCTTACTGTGCAAAATATTTGCCAAAAGTGGCCCCCATTAGTTTCAGGAAAACTGGGCCACATTTGTCATATCTTCTCTGGGTCACTATAGGCTCAAATCCACATTAGCCATAGCTTACTGTGCTGAATATTTGCCCACATGTCTTAAGATAAATGGGCAACATTTGCACTTACACGTGTGAGCCAATTTAGGTTTAAACACAGATTACCCTTAAAGGATTATGCCAGAATTTTGCCAACTGTGGCCCACATTTGTCCTCCATCATTTGGGCCAAATTGATCATTTTCCAATAATCTGCTCTCGCTCCGTCAGATGATGCGGACTCACAATTTGTGCCTTGTGTTTCCTCCGTCTTTTCATGCTCTCCAGAGAATTCCCAAGAATGTTGATATGCTTTATATATTGAAATATAAAGATAAGAGTGATTAGGCAAATCAGCAGAAGTTAAGTTTCTCTCGGTCAGTGGATTAATTTAGTCTTTTTAGAGGCATATACATCTCTGATTGATCAGTTTTCTTTTTTAAGCAATGTTTAGCCTATATGATCATTTCTATGGCCTGAAATGACTGAGGTTGAGATGTTGGTCCTCTGTTTTTGCACTTTATACTGAGAAAGCTGTTCATTTTATTTATTTATTTATTGTATTTATTTATACAGGGACAATGTACAACATGACATGTTGTGCCAGAGTTAGCTATAAAGCTAATTTACATCTGTAGACCCTGGGCAGGAAGTAACAAATTTAACAGTTATAACAAATACAATATACACTTACAGTACAATAAATACAACACATCATTGTCAAAAAAATGAAATCAAATCAGTGGCTGCATATTTGATTTTGTTTTAGCCAAATTTTAAGAACAGTTTTAAAATTATTAAAAGTGCTGCTCTCTCTGGTATACACTGGTATTTTATTCAATCTTTCTGCTGCTTTAACTGAAAAAACTGATTGTCCAAAAGCAGTTCTCTTAAGTTTAACTGAACAATCACCTCTAACAGATGATCTAGTCTGTCTTATATTGTCCTTGCCGACGATCACACATTGTTTGAGGGGTGGTGGTGCAAGATCATGAAATATTTTATACATTAAACACACTTCAGCATAAAATAAGAAACTGTCAAATGTTAGTAATTTTTGTTGTGCAATACAGTTGCAATGATGATAGCTCCTTGGCCTTTTAGCTAAAATTTTAACAGTTTGTTTATATATAACATACAATGGTTTTAATGTTGTAATGTTCGTATCATCATGTTCACTTTGTGCATGACAGCTTTGTGTTGTGAACCACTTGAATTTAAAGTGAATAAAATAATGGAAACAACAAGAAAAGAGAAAAAAAACATCTGCATCTTGTCATGGCATTGGCCTTTACATATAGGTCTGTTGTGTCTAATATGATTATACCCAAGCTGTTCACAGATATTGCCAGATAATCACTTTACCTCTATTATACTTTTAACAGACTTAGATCATTTGTGATTCTGGCTGTCATCCTTTCTTGCATTGTCTTGAGACTTCCCGTTGCCAATTATACACTATATTGTTAGTAGTCTGGATAGGTCACAGAGAGTCATTATCCTACATCATATCACTTTCTACTAGATGTAAAATGCTCTGCAGTACATTTAGTTATTTGAGAATGTTAACTTCTAATTCTGTAGTTATTTTGTTGAAAGTAATTAAAAAGTAATATAAGAGTCATGTAACATATTTTAATTCTGAGACTCTAATGTATTACAGTTTGGAAGTAACTTGCACAACGCTGATAATCTTTACATACTGGTTTGGTGACAGTTGTTTGCTGATGTTGGTTTGTCCTCCAGAAAGAGCTGAAGGTGATGCAGATGAAGCTCCAGCACAGAGTCCTGCAGAGAGAGAAAGATCTTCAGTGTCTGAGGGCGGCTGTGGATTCTCAGAAGGTCAGTCTGGAGAAGAAAAGAGTTTGAGTCTCACTGAAGCTCACTGTGTCTCACAGGTTGTGTGATTGTAATGTGTTTACCAGCTCTCTGCACAGACAGAAGTGGAGGAAACTAAGAGGATCTTTAATGAGATCATCCGCTCCATTGCGAGGCAATTGTCTAAGCTCACGCAGATGATCAGAGATCAGCGAAAGACTGCAGTGAGTGAAGCTGAAGAATTCATGAAACAACTGCAGCAGGAGATTAATGATCTGAGGAGGAGAGATGCTGAGCTGGAGCAGCTTTCACAGACACAGGATGACATGCGTTTCCTGCAGGTAAAAGAGATTCAGTAGAACAGCATCTTAGTGGACTTCTGCACTGACAGGAGACTGCCATGACAGTTCATGAGCGCAGAATCAGTGGCCTTTCTGTCAGCAACTGGTTATTCTGTGAAGTTTAGAGGTGATGTGTTTGATTTCTGTTTTCTGTAGAGGTTCCAGTCTCTCTCCGTTCCTCCTGAAACTACAGATGCCTCTCTCAGTTCTATATTATTGTTTGATGACCTAAGAGAATCTGGCCATCGGCTGAAAGTCACACTGGAGAATTTCTGCAAAAAGGAGATCCAGAAGATCTCCGACAGAGGTGAAGTCCTGGAGATTCATCTGCTCTCAGAAATTAGTCATCTGTTATAATAATAATAATAATAAATCCTTACATTTATATTGCGCTTTTCTGGCCACTCAAAGCTCTTTACACAATGGGGGGAGGGGGTCTCTTCATCCACCACCAGTGTGCACCATCCTCTTGGATGATGTGACGGCAGCCATTTTGCGCAAGACCGCACACCACACACCAGCTGATTGGTGGAGAGAAGACAAAGTGATGAAGCCAATTTTTGATATGTGGAGGGTTAGGAGGCTATGATGGATAGAGGCCAGTGGGCAGATTTGGCCAGGATGCCAGGGTTATACCCCTACTCTTTTTTAAAGGACATCCTGGGATTTTTAACGACCACAAAGAGTCCTCGGTTTAACATCTGATCAGAAAGACGGCGCTCACTGAGCAGTATAGAGTCCCCGTCACTATACTGGGGCGTTAGGACCCACACAGACCACAGGTTTAGCACCCCCTGCTGGCCTCACTAACACCACTTCCGGCAGCAACCGAGCTTTATCATGTGGTCTCCCATCCAGGTACTGGTTGGGCGCAGCCCTGCTTAGCTGTAGTGGCGACCATGTGAGAGTTGCAGAGAGCTAGATGCCGGTTGTTTTGTACAACATCATATTTGAAAAGTATTTTGTTTTATGACTGACATTAACACTGTTCCTGTCTGTTGGTTTCCACAGTCAAACTCGCCAGCACTATCAACAACACCAGGAAGGACATCTTGCAATGTAAGTTACTGAGAAAATAAACATAACATTTTCTTCATGTGGAAGGAGAATGAAGAGTTTGTCTACATTAAAACAACAACTGATTTATAATTCCCGATTCCGCTGTTTTGTCTCTATCAGATTCTCAGCCGTTCACTCTGGATCCGAACACAGTGAATAAACACCTCCATCTATCTGAGAACAACAGAGTGGTTACTCGCAATAACAAGTTCCAGCTGTATCCTGACCATCCAGACAGATTTGATTACCTGTGGCAGGTGTTGTGTAGAGAGAGTGTGTCCAAACGCTGTTACTGGGAGGTTGAGTGGAGTGGATGTGTGTATATATCAGTGTCATATAAAAGCATCAGCCGGAATAGTGGAGGTTATGAGTGTGGATTCGGACATAATGATCAGTCCTGGGCCCTGATCTGTCGTCCTTCCAGATACTCATTCATACACAATAACATAGAGTGTGATCTCTCTTTAAAGTCCATCAGCAGTAGAATAGGAGTGTATGTGGATCACAGTGCAGGAGTTCTGTCCTTCTACAGCGTCTCTGACACAATGAGACTCATCCACACAGTCCAGACCACATTCACCGAGCCAGTCTGTCCTGGATTTTTTGTTCATATTGGATCATCTGTGGAACTGTGTTCATGAACCAGAATAGATTATAGAGGGATTCTACCCAGATTTCTTTGATCTGCATGGTTAATCAGAATATGTTTTATCTTCATTATATTAGCAATCCAGTTGAACTTTACAGCAGGGGTGTCCAAACTCGGCCCTGGAGGGCCAGTGTCCTGCAAATTTTAGCTCCAACTTGCCTTAACACACGTGCAAGGATGTTTCTAGAAAGTCTGGCAATGCGGCAGTCACAATAGAGTTTGAGCATTGCAAATTTCAGTTGTACGGCGCTACAAAAAGGGGCGGGATTAAACAAGAATATTAGACATTTAAAAAAGCGAGCGATTGGTCTATATTTTAAATTTCTGTCCAGAGAGGTCATGTTTTAACATTCAGCTGCTCTCATGCAGTCACATGATGTGGAATTTCGCAGGTCAGAGTTCACCAAGCTTAACTTTGCAGTGCAGCAAACTGTCGCACAAGCTTGAGGGTGTTTTCATACATAGACTTTTGTTTCGGAAGCTGTCACGTTTGCCCTGTTAGCACAGATCGTTTGCATATGTAAAAGCACCAATCGCACTCGGATCCGCGCCAAAACAATCGCTCCGAGATTGCTTGAATGAGGTGGTCTCGAACTCGATTGAAACAAACTCTGGAGCGGATCGATTGTAGTGAGAAAGCGATATGATCCGAGAGCGGTTATATCACAGTTTATTATGGATGTGTAATAGGCATACGGCTAAATGAAGAGAGAATTATGAGCAGGGCGGGAGGTCATTCTAGACATCCCAAGTCTCCCGGAAGATTCGTTAGTCTCCCGCAAATGCACAGAGACTCCCGGATGCCCACAAACGAGTGATAATCTCCCAGACATCGCGCGTCTTCTCCCAGTCCTCAAATATGTTTCGCACCCTTCTCAACCCTCCCCACCGCATTCCTCCTCGCTCTTCAGACACATCGCGCGTACCCTGTCAAACACCATCAAACCACTACCATCGACCTGACAGCTGAGTGGGACTCTGCAAAATAAACCGTGAAACTGACCAATGTGAGGAGAGTTTAATCACATGTGACTTGTTTTAGCTCTTTTGGTCCGTTTACCCTGCTGAAAAATCCAGCTTAAATCAGCCTAGGCTGGTTGGCTGGTTTTAGCTGTTCGATCAGGCTGGTTTTAGAGGGATTTTGGCCATTTCCAGGCTGGTTTCCAGCCATTTCCAGCCTGTTTTTAGCTGGTCAGGCTGGAAAATTACCAGCCAAATCCAGCTAAAACCAGCTTGACCAGCCTGGTTTAAGCTGGATATAGCTGGTTTTGGCTGGACTTCCAGCTTGGCTAGGCTGGTCAACCAGCTAAGGTCATCTCCCAGCCTGACCAGCTAAGACCAGGCTGGAAATGGCTGGAAACCAGCCTGGAAATGGCCAAAACCCCTCTAAAACCAGCCTGATCGACCAGCTAAAACCAGTCAACCAGCCTAAGCTGGTTTAATCTGGATTTTTCAGCAAGGTAGAAACTTTGCCGTGTGAAAGTGAACCGCACCAAGAACAAAGAGCAACAATGTAACAATTTTAATCCCTGTTTCAGAACAAATGAATTGATTCACTGGTGTTAAAGCACCCTGACTTTCTGGTGTTCTGACATTTTATCCGACCAACACTGTATTTGAATAGTTCTGAGGTTGGGGTTAGGGATTAGGTAGGTTAGGGTGATATTACAACTTCATATCACACTGCTCCACATTAAAATTTACACTTTTAGCAAAATCTGGTGGGTAGCATATTGCGTCATAATAATGTGCTACCTATTTTTTTGAATGGGAGGACGGACAATCTGACAAGGCAGGACAAATCGACAAAACACCAGTCTGACACATTTGCGTGTGTATGAATGGAAGCCTATGCGGCAAAAAGTCCAGTTTGACCTTGGCTTAAGAGCTTGATTAGCTAGCCCAGGTGTATCTGATTAAGGTTGGAACTAAATTTTGCAGGACACCCAGCCCTCTGGGTCAGAGTTTTGGCACCCATGCTTCACAGCTTAACTTTTACTGAACATATAGGGCCCTATCATACACCCGGCGCAATGCACGACGCAATTATTGTTTGCTTGTTTTAGCTTGGCGCAGGAGTCGTTTTGATGTTGTGTGCCACGCTGTTTAAAAAGCAAATGCATTTGCGCTCATATGTGCGCCCATAGGCGTTGTGGTCTAAAAAGGGAGGAGTGTTAAGGTGTATTCCTGGCGCGTTGCTATTTTGAGAAACTATAATAGATTTTTTAAAAGACAAGAACAAAGCCGGTCTACTGTCCAGCTCAGAGCGCGTTATTTGTGCGCCTCACTTACACACTGCTTAATACACACAAGATGTAGAGCAATACGCAAATATCTTTACATAGGAAAAAGAATAAATATATTAAGGATATATATCGGATATAAATTTAAAGGATTAAAATATTACATAACATATTTTCTGGCCTACACAAATATAAAAACCACTGCCTTTATGTCTTCTTCATCTCGGGAGGCTTTTTCACTTCATTCATAACAATTTGCTTTTGTATAATGTTATCATTATTAGCAGTATTATTTATTATATCCATATTTATATTTGTTTATTAAAAACAAGCTTAGATTTGCCCACCTGTCAGGTTTTAGACCATATGGGGCACAGCATGTGTATTAGGATATAACTCAGTTTTTTGAACACACTTCATTATTATTGTTCATTTATTTGTTTGCTGGAAATTAGAACTGAATATAGAAATAGTTTTGAAACTAATATTTGCGCTTAACAAACAAATTAATTATTTATAGGCTAATGGATGTCTGTGTGTACAAGGTTTCCCTATCCACCTGAGTGAAAGTGAAAGTAGATCATTTATCTCTCATTCTCGCGCTGCAGATGCTCTGTTTAACTGTTTTCTTGCTAGGGAAATGCTCAGTTTTTCCACTTACACTTACTTTACGTCATGTAAATAGCAAATGCACCATGGCGCGACGCAACTGACTCTTAAAGGGAATGGGAGAAAGCCCTAAAAGTGTTTGCGCCCTGCGATTTGCACTTTGCCGTCAAAATAGAGCCCATAGACAGTGAGATCAGTGCATATTTGTGACTCCTGTTGAGTAAGAAGCAAGATCTGTATTATTTTGCATTTAGTTTTTATTATAGTTTCACACACACATATATATATATATTCTTATGAATATTTTAGCCTAACCTTCTGTTGAAAGGATCACTTAGGGATTTATTAAAATGACAATATATATTTGATTGAGTTTTTTCATTATTTACATGTTAATGCGCACATTTTTCACATTTATGTATGCATTTGTTTATTTTATCCGTTAAGACATGTTTGGTCTGATGTTGTAAATCTGATTCAATCAAAATGATCACACATAAAGATGTGCCAAATAAGAGGACTTTAAATCCTTCTTTTATATATATATATATATATATATATATATATATATATATATATATATATATATATATATATATATATATATATATATATATATATATATAAAGTAAATAAACTCACTTGGTATTAATAATTGTAAGTTGTTTTTACTGTTTTACTGGTTGCAAAGGTTAAAAATATCTGTTCATTTTGAACGACTCTTCAATATGACTCGGGAACTACGGGTCCTCTCAGGGAGTGATTCGTTCATCCTCGTGTGAGCACATTTGTGCAGGTGGTATCGTTCATTTCAAGTCTTTTGAGTCGTTCATTGCGGAAAGGCAGAAGCCAACCATATGCGTTTAGAGCCGGAAAAAGAATTGATCCGTTCATTTTTTACAGTCATTGGTTCATCTCTTGAGTCCTCTATCGGGTTTGAGCCATTCGTTCCTAACGGGCCAATCATATGCATTTAAAGCCGGAAAGAGAATTGATCTGTTCATCCCTCGAGCCAATTCTGTCACGTGATGAAGAACCAGAGGACTCGAAAGGTGAACTAATTATTATGGCTCCTATCGGCGCAGACTGTATACATTATTTAAGATTATATGTGACTGTCAGTGTAACGTGAACGAACCAGTGACATTTGAAGACATGAAGAGGTGAGCTGAGCAAAGAGTCAACAATACCTTCATGGACAACAGAGCAGGTAAACATTGAACTATTATTTTCTCCTTCTTATAGCATTTAATTTATGACTTATTTGTCGTGTGATCAACCTTTTGGGCTGGTTGTAGATGTGTTTGGAAGCAATTCGTAACATTTGAATAATATTTTGGCAAATTGAACCAAATGAACGAAATGACTCAAAAAGATTTGTTCATCTCGATGAACGAGACTCAAAGATCCGAGTCAGGAAAATGATCCGAACATCCATCACTGCTCCTGTTATGATCACTTCAAATGAGACCAAGGAGTGAAAATGGTTTAAAACATGCACAAGGCACAAAAAAATGCACGAGACATCATTTTAGTGTGAAAATGTTTTTTATTTAATGCAGCCCACTCTCTGCTCCACAACACTGCTGTAAGATCCCAGTGCAAGGTAACAAACACAAACACATAATACTGAAGAGCATCATCACACTAGACAGATCACCGACAGTCAAACACAAGCACACATGATCATCTCGTGCGCCTGATGTATAATCACACTGAAAGAGGAGCGCTTGGACAGAATCAGCATTATTACCGTGGGACTGGTGTGGATGAAGTGCTGTAGTGAATAACACTGTGTATGTTAATGGCATATGGCTGTATGAATTTGACTTGCTCATAACAGAGTAAACATTTCTGTGTAAGTGCAGGGCAGTGATCATTTGCTAATGATTTCAAATGACACTTTCATATAAGAGCGTGCTTTTATTTTCTTCAGCTTTTGCTAGAAGTCTGGCTTCATTCTCCGGTGGTAGGAACTCAAGGTGATGGCGGCCCCAGATCGGTGTGGTCAAATGCTGCCAGCGCTGAGTGAACGGACAGAAAGAGACAATCACCTTTATAAAAGTATAACAAACAATAAGTTTATACAATAGAGTACATAAAGGCAAGCAATCAGTCAAATAAGCTGCATCGGTGTACGTGGTTACATTAATTAATAGGGGTGTCACGATTTTGACTTTTAATCGAAATCGATCGAAATTTATGCTCAATTTCGATTATCGAATCAAAAAATAGAATCGTCGATGCTGCCACGCCCCAATGTCACGTCAGCTTGGCTTGCCAAGCGGGAAAAAACAGGCTTGTTGAAGTGCTTGTTAAACTGCAGAAGCAGAAGACCCGTCGACAGAACTTGTGTGTAAGCATTTTGGATTTCCAGTGAGTTATGTTGACAACGTTTGTGTTGTCGACAAAAAAAAACACAGTTTTGCAAGCTCTGCTATGTACGTATTACGTACGGTTCGTCCGATAGACAACACCGGCATTGCGATTAGGGTTGTAACGGTATGAATTTTTTACGGTATGATAATCGTCTTAAACAATACCACGGTTTGACGGTTTCGCGGTATACGGTATGTTACAAATGTTACAAAATAATAGAACAGTGAAGCAAATTTGACTTTTTCCAAATAGTATATATTTTAGTTACTATAAACAACACCGCTTACAAAGAACAAATAAATAAATAAGAAAATAATAAATAATGTGTCAAAGTCCAAATAAACATGGTGCAAATCCTCAGTAAAAAATAGATATAAATATTTACTATCCTATAAATAGTTACATAACGAAACTAGATTCAATATGGAACATCCTTAGGTTTTATGTGCCAGCATGGATATGGTTGTCTGTGGATATGGATTTGGATATGGTTGTCTGCAATGCAGACAAACAGCTGCACCTTCATTTGCGTCTTTTGAAAACAGCAAGAGCAGCAGTTCGTCTTTGCTGTGTCACTGTTTTGTCATGTTTCTGTGCTGCTGTGCATGCAAAAGTACTTAGTATGAGAATTATTTCATGCAAAACTTTTTTTTTTGCGTTTTATCTCTCATTCCGTGTTGTTCAAAAAGCTCAGTGTTGGTCCACAAACAAAAGCGAAACCTTTGCTTATTGGTTGTGATATAGCGAGTTTGAACCAATCTGGGCATGGAGGAGGGACAATGCATCAATGTATCATGTCTGGTTTGTCCGGAG